ACTATATTTGTTATTTTTGTTACAATTTGTAGAAGTTGAATTTAAACTTGCATGTTTGTGGAGTGATATATTTCATATTAATCTATGTTGCCAATTTTTTTATATTTTTGATGACTATTTAGGTGGCATGCACGAAACGAGGATATATCCCCTCGAGGGATGAAATGACTTTCCCTATTACTACTCCCTCTGTTTTAGACAGAGCAAGTTTAATAGTATAGCCCACTACTAGCTCCAAATCATTTATAGCCAATTCATATAATAATAGTTACTTACTATACTATCATACCTGGTCCCACCTGTCATACACACATCACGTCTTGGAGTCCGTGCTGCAGCTGACTATAGATCTGTAGCCCGTTGCTTTTCTCTCTCTTCCTTTATCTCTTTAAAATATGTTTATATATAGCTGGCTTATAGACTACTATTGTACCTGCTCTGAGACGTTTTGATGATGCTGTTCAGAGCAAGTTTAATAGTATAGTCCACTACTAGTTCCAAATCATCTATATCTAATGTAATAGCCAATTCATATAATAGTCGCTTACTGTACAATTAATACATGGTCTCACCTGTCATACAGTGCTGCATGTAGCCCGCTGCTTTTCTTTTTTTTATCTCTTTAAAAATATATTTATAGCTAGTTTATAGCCTGCTATTGTATCTGCTCTCTAAGCCGGTCCACAACGGTACTGTTCATGCGACGACCGCGTCGGCGTCGATATCGAGGGTTCAGTATTCCGTACATCCCCACAGTCCCTTGACCTCTGGATCAATCGATCGATCCACGCCACGCATGCGGAGATCCGCGCGAATCTCGGAGCCTCCGGATCGATTCCGTTGCAGCTGATTAGTTATAAACCCGTATCTCAACTGAAAAAAAAGGATGGATGTATACGGGACTGCTCGCTTATATGTAGACCTTCCTCTACTCGTTGGTAAACAATTTGGTTATACGTCTCCGCGTTCTTCTCTCATGGCGGCGGATCCATCCCCACAGATGCATAAGACGAAGAAACTAGTCAGGGTGAGGAAGCAAGTAGAGGTGGTGCTGCCAGTAGAGGTGCTGCCGCCGCTGCCGCCGTTGGCCGTCATCTGCAAGCACAAGGAACACGTATGGATCACGCAGGACGATTACACATTCAGGTTGTTCGATATCAACCTGGTGCTCACCTTGGCTGCCGTCGGGTGCGCCGGGCTAGGCTTCTTCCTCTTCCCGAGGAACCGGGCCCTCGGGATGGCTCTCGCCGCCGCTTTCTTCGTGGGCTTCTTCGCGCACGCCAAGGCATCGATGCTGCTCCACTGGGACGTCTTCCCGCGGTTCGTCCTCGCCATCCTCGACCGGGGCCGCCGGCTTATGGCGGTGGCGTGCGTTGCCATCGTCGTGGTTTGCGTTCTCCGCTTCGGTACCCAGGACGGCGTCCGCCGTGCCACCTTGTTCATTTGGACCGTCGCCATGGCGCTGGCCGCGCTGACCGGCTGGGTCCTCCGCGTCGAGAGGCGCGTCTCCGCCGCTGCGGAATTCGTTGAATTGGACGGCGACACGAGCCTTTGGAACATCCGCAAGGATGGGCGTCTCGCCGCCGTTGCAGATATCGAAGGAGACACCACGTTTTATTTGCTGACATCTCGTGGAATTATTCCAACTGGCTACGATGTAGTAGTACATACTGCCAAGCCATGTGTTACATGTGTATGATCGATCAGGTGATCGAATGATTGATTATTAGCGCCGTTAATCAAATAAGTTACGCCTCTCTGTTTCCGGTCTACTGGCCTGTACGTGGATGTCTGGGTATAAATGTTTGGCTAGAATTCTTATGTGTGAAAAGAAACTTCAGATTTGCTATACCACATTCGCATGAAAATTAGCGCAAAAATTTACATTTGTTTTTTTGTTTGTATGATTTGTGCTGCGATCGTGTGCTTTGGTGTGCTTCTCCTTTTCATCCAGCGACCAGTTAAGATTCGGTGTAGAGGGAGGCTGAGGCGGCGGCGACAGGAGAGGCGACAGTGGTGGCAACTTAATGGGAAGCAACGGTGGTGTGTGAAAAAACGGTTAGGGTGGAAGATGGGCAATGGTGGAGCCACCTCCTAGATCTGGCTGCATCGTTGCAGTTTGGCTAATTCTTAATAGCCGCTCGGGCTCAACAATGTTGCTGGCACTATTACCGAAGATGAGGGAATAGATGGTTTGTTGACGTATAGGAAAAATGGTTGGCCAATGAGAAACGCCATTAGTAGTTGAGGATGAAGGAAGGGATGGTTGTCATTGACGTGTGGAAAAAAAATTACTACCTCCATTTTAGGTTGTAAGACATGTTTAACTTTAGTTAAAGTCAAACTACTCTAACTTTGACTAACTCTATAGAAAAAATAGTAATATTTACAACACTAGCATAATTTCATTAAATCTATAATTGAATATATTTTCATAATATATTAGTCTTGGATTAAAAATATTACTTCCTCCGTTCCAGAATATAAGAAGCTTTAGAGTTGGACACGGCTATTAAGAAAGTGTAATGCCGCGCTTCGAGCAAGACATTAAAGATTAATTTAATAAAAACCTATCCGCGAAAAGTTTCGTTCTTTGTGTGCGAGTCTAAGTCGTGCCATGGAATCTCAAATTTTAATCTCCTTGATCCCTCTCATCGACATCCAAAATCCACCTCATCGAAATTTCTCTTCCAATTCAAGTCTCCGAAATCAAATTCCAAATGTCAATCGCTTCCTTTGAATCCTCGTCAAATACTTGTCCCCGTTACCAAAAATATCAATTCCCATTTTGATTTCCCCCTCTTTGACTCCACCTTATGTTCCTAAGACCAAGTATCAAAGTTAGATCCAAATCCTTCTCAAATTCTCTCCAAATCAAAAGTTTCTGACGAAAGTCTAATTAGGGTCCCTCTTGCTCTGTGGGCCGATTTTCTCTTCCCGGCCCATCTCTCCCTCTCGGTCCGTCTCTCTCTCGCACGTGTGTCGCTCGTGTCCAGGAGCAAGAGAGAGCGCCGCCGTCTCCTTCCTCTCTCACTCGATTTTGGGCCTGTTCACTTTGATGCCATTTCAACCTTACCAAATTTTGGTAAAGTTACCAAAAAAGTGGCTACATTTAGTTTGCTGCTAAATTTTGGTAACTATATAAGAAATCCTGCCAAAATTTTAAAAATTTTGGCAAGTTGCCAAAGTTTTGGTAACTATGCCAAAATTTTGGCATAATGTTTTTTTTGGCAACAAAGTGAACAGGCCCTTTCTCTCCCGGCGCCGACTTCCCGCCACCGCCATCTAAATCCCCACCACCTTCGCTGGCTCCCGCCGTGTCAAGCCCTGGCACCGCCCGTGCCCACGCCCGGCCCCGCTGCCTCTGCGCGCATCCATCCAAGGATGGGAGGCAGAACTCCCTGCCTCGCCTCCTCCTCCTTCGCCTTTTTCCCAAATCGGCAAGAGCAAAGCTCCCCTTTTCTCCCTACTTTTTCATTTTTCCTCTCCCGGACCGATGCCCTGCCTCCACTGCTTGGCACCTAGCGCCATGGACAGCGAGCGCCCCTGACGCCACCGCGCCAGCCCCTGTCCTCGCCAGACTTGTTGTTGCCTCGGCTTCAGCCTGCATCTCCGCCGCTTTGTTTTCTTGCTCTCTCTAATAGGACAGAAACTCCATTAAGCCGTCACGAGGAACTGGCGATGGCGTATATTGTTGTGTTTGTGTGTAAAATTTTTAGGGTGTAGCTATATTTATGACGCCATATTTTTCATCAAAAAATAGTCGGCATGTATTTATATTGTAAGTCCCTAAATTACATATGTAATTTTAGTGTATTTACAATGTAAGTCTCAAAATTACATATGTAAGTACTAAAATTACATACTAATTATATATGTATAAGTGGGGTTTAAATGAGGTGTAACTACTGTGTAAGTAGCTGAAAAAAATCGACTGTAGCATATGGCACCATATTTTTAGCAACTCCGAAATTTTTATTCTTGTGTTTTTAATATGATGTGCATGTAACATCTTTATTTTTTGTCCCGTGATTTAGGATGGAGTGATTCGATGTATAAGTAAAAAAAATATTCACATATAATTTGGGGGTAAACTAATTAGACCCCAGTAACACCCTCCTTATTTATTTTTCCTTTTTTTTTCTTGCTTGATGCACTCTCTATAAGAAATCATCAACCGCAATAATGCAATTACTACAAGTTAATGCACCATCAATTTTTATTTACATCGACAATAATACGAATACTACAAGATTTGATCAACTAATATTGTTCATAATCCAACAACTACAAGCACATGCAACATCAATTTTCATTTATGTCGACAGTAACTTGATTACTACAAGATTTCACCAAGCATGGTTGTTGTTAATCCAATTACTACAGGCACATCCGCACATGCACCATCAATTTCATTTACATCGACAGTAATTCAATTCCTACAAGATTTGGTCTCAGTTTATTGCACACCATATTGTAACTACCTCGATTGGAAACAGAGATAAACCAATTACAATGATTGTTTTCAACCGACCACCGATTTTACGGATCTGTAAATGATTTACCCGAATTTAAATAGAACTAAAAAAACACGAATATTAGGGAAGGACCTAATATCAAATAATTAGAAGGGGTGAGGCTTCAAACCCAGGTCGTCTAGTCCACCACCTTGTGGAGCTAGCCGGAAGACCCCTGGGCGTTTCTCAGAACTAATCTACACAGATCGAACGTGGGCAACCGAACACCAGTTTTTGCGGACTCTGGGCGCGATGTGCGGTGCTCGGAACAATATTCCGCGCTCTAGCGCTCGGAATAGCGCTACCGGTAAATATTACTATATTTGTCTACAAATTTAGCCAAATTTAAATTATTTTGACTTTAATCAAGGTCAAAACGATTTGTAATTTGATGCGGAGGAAGTATTTGTTTGGACTTGATTAAACTTAGAAAAAAATCCTATTTGTTTTACTACGACGTGGACGACGCGGGGTTTGGTGGCAACGAGGTAGAGGCGTAGAGCTCTCATCCAGGGTCTCCAAGGCCACTGGCTAGGATGGAGATGGACAAATTCAGCTCGTCGTATCAGCCGTCGTGGCCACCAGCGCAGGCCACCGTCGACGTCGTCGGGTCGGTGGAGACGTACGCCGCGCGTCAGGAAGAAGAGGTTCTAGGATGTTCTTGTCAGCTGCAAGCAGAAGGTTGAGGCCTTGGAGGCTATGGAGACGCCGGCGACGGCGCCGCTTCGGGAAGGTGAGGGTCAGGGGGTTGGTGGTGACGGTGGCGGTGGCCGTGACGCTGGCGGAGGAGGGGAGGAGCTGACGGGATGAGGCTCGCGCAGCTTCTGGTCGCCTGCGCTGAGGCGGTGGCGCCGTGCTAAGACCGCGTGCAGGCGGCAACGCTGCAGGCCGGCGCGCCGGGCGTTCCAGCGCGTCGCGTCGTTCTTCGTGCAGGAGCTCCTGGACCGGCGAGCATCCGCCGGCGCTGGGCCCTGCGAGCACGGCGTTCTGCATCCCGCAGTCGTCGTGCGCGAGGCGTACGCGGAGGGGTTAGGGATGTACCTCGAGTTCAGAGGAATCAACCGTGGCCTCGAGAGCCTCCACATCGACGACCTCGGCGTCGACGCCGACGAGGCCGTCGCCATCAACAGTGTCCTGGAGCTCCACTCCGTGGTGAAGGAGAGCCGCGGGGCGCTCAACTCGGTGCTCCAGACCATCCGCAAGCTGTCGCCCAGGGCGTTCGTGCTCGTCGAGCAGGACGCCGGCCACAACGCGCCATTCTTCCTCGGCCGGTTCATGGAGGCGCTGCACTACTACGCCGCGCTGTTCGACGCGCTCGACGCGGCGCTCCCGCGCTACGACGCGCGGCGGGCGCGCGTCGAGCAGTTCCACTTCGGCGCGGAGATCCGCAACGTGGTCGGGTGCGAGGGCGCGGCGCGCGTGGAGCGGCACGAGCGCGCGGACCAGTGGCGCCGCCGCATGAGCCGCGCGGGGTTCCAGTCGGTGCCGATCAAGATGGCGGCCAAGGCGCGGGAGTGGCTGGACGAGAACGCCGGTGGCGACGGGTACACGGTGGCGGACGAGAAGGTCTGCCTGGTTCTTGGCTGGAAGGGGAAGCCGGTCATCGCCGCCTCGTGCTGGAAATGCTAGACCGCCGGCATCCGGTGGCCGGCCGCCGGAGAGAGGTAGACACCGATGCTGGACGTAAATAAAGAGCTCGATCGAGCACCATTGTCCGACCATGGATGATGGGCAAACACGATGCTGTTCAAGCCATTATATGAGCATGAACACTTGTATAAATAAGGCCACTGGTTAGAGGCTTGTTGTTTTACAATTTTGTGTAGGTTCTTATTGTTTAATTAGCTCATCTAACAACATACACTTATATTGTCCTTTTATTTTCTGTCAAAGTGCAACATGACACATCAGGTTTGTGGTGGGCTGCCCTGAACTTTGACTGAAGACGTTTTGTACACTTTGAGGGAGATGGTTGGATTTTATGATGGATGATTAGAAGATGTTCGGGGGGATACAAATTGGGTTTCTTTTGTGTGTTTGGTAAAAATTTGGCTATCTTAACCAAACCCTTCGTATGGATTCGTTTGTGGGCGAGCCAAACCCTATATCCTACTCCCTCCGTCCCAAAATATAACAATTTTAGCACTCAGGATTTGTCCCAAAATATAATAACTTATCCATCAACATTCTCTTCACAACCAATCACAATCCTCCACCATTTACTTTTCTCACCTATCTCCACTACTCATCCAATCATAACCTTCTGCCACTCACTTTTCTCACCTACCTCCACTACTCATTCAATCATAATCTTCTATCACTCATTTCTACTCTCTTAATAACCGTGTACAACTTTAAAACTTCTTATATTCTTGAACGGAGGGAGTAATTGGTTAGAGCCACCTTTGCTGTCACTAGAGTTCATAGAGGTTGATGGTTGCAAAGGATAAGCATATCGGAGCATAGATCGCAACACATATCATATGAAAAGAAATATGTAAGATTTTGCTCACCGCCATCCCTTCCCTCATTCTTGGTGGCGGAGCTAGTCGACATTGTCAAGCCAAAGCGAATAATAGCGTTTCTAATTGGCTGGCCTGTCTTTTCCATAAGTCAACAAACAACCAACCCTTCTCTCATCTCTCTGGTGGAGCCAATGGCGTCGTCTGTCTTGAGCAACTAATGGCGTTTCTAATTGTCTGATATTTCTTCCACATGTCAATAACAACCATCCCTTCCTTCATCCTCAACGACTAATGGTGTTTCTCATTGGCCAACCATTTTTCCTACACGTCAAAACCATCTATTCCCTCATCCTCAGTAATAGTGCCACCATTTTTCCTACACGTCAAAAAATCATCTATTCCCTCATCCTACACGTCAACAAACCATCTATAGTCTATTCCCTCATCCTCAGTAGTAGTGTCACCATTTTTCCTACACGTCAACAAACCATCTATTCCTTCATTTTTCATACACGTCAACAAACCATCTATTCCCTCATCCTCATTAGTAGTGCCAGCGACATCGTTGAGCCCCAGCGACTAAGAGTTAGCCAACCATGCAGCCTGATCTAGGAGGTGGCTCCACCATTGCCCATCTTCCTCCTTATCCGTTTTTTTCACACACCACCATTGCTGGGTTGTGGCCAATGGGCGATCGACGATCGATCCCCATCCCCCCTATACGCTCTCTCTCCCCCCTTCCTCCTCCCATTCTTCTCTTCCTACTACACCATAAATTTTAAAAAATAAAAAATAACAAAGTTGGAAAAAATATGTATAGAAATACTATATATAAAAAATATTTGAATTTAAATTCAAATTTGAAACGGATATGTAAACTTTTGACTTATAAACTTTAGATCTATAAACTAATATTTGAATTCAAATTCAAATTTGAATCAGGTATGTAAACTTTTGATTTATAAACTTTGGGTTTATAAACTTTAGGTGTATAAACTTTAGATGCATAGAAATACTATATATAAAAAATATTTGAATTCAAATTCAAATTTGAATCGGAATATAAACTTTTGATTTATAAATTTTGGGTCTCTAAACTTTAGATGTGTAAACTTGAGGTGTACAACTATAGATGCATAGTAAAGTAATGCGGTGAAAAAAAAAAGAGAAACCGTGCGGAGGAGAGGAGAGGGGGCCAATGGCCCCTTAGCAATCTCGACCATTGCTTCCCATTACGTTGCCACCATTGTCGCCGCCGCCTCAGCCTCCCTCTACGCCGAATCTTAACTGGTCGCTGGATAAAAAGAAGCACACCAAAGCACAAGATCGCAGCACAAATCATACAAACAAAAAAAAAGTAAATTTTTGCGCTAATTTTCATGCGAATGTGGTATAGCAAATCTGAAGTTTCTTTTCACACATAAGAATTCTAGCCAAACATTTATACGCAGACATCCACAGGCCAGTAGACCGGAAACAGAGAGGCGTAACTTATTTGATTAACGGCGCTAATAATAATCAATCATTCGATCACCTGATCGATCATACACATGTAACACATGGCTTGGCAGTATGCACTACTACATCGTAGCCAGTTGGAATAATTCGGCGCACCCGACGGCAGCCAAGGTGAGCACCAGGTTGAGATCTAACAACCTGAATGTGTAATCCTCCGGCGTGATCCATTCGTGTACCTTGTGCTTGCAGATGATGGCCAACGACGGCGGCAGCGGCGGCAGCACCTCTACTGGCAGCACGACCTCTACTTTCTTCCTCACCCTGACTAGTTTCTTCGTCTTCTGCATCTGTGGGGATGGATCCGCCGCCATGAGAGAAGAACGCGGAGACGTATAACCAAATTGTCTACCAACGAGTATAGGAACCGGATGGTCTACATATAAGCGATGTATATATCCATCCTTTTTTTCAGTTGAGATACGGGTGTATAACTAATCAGCTGCAACGAAATCGATCCGGAGGCTCCGAGGTTCGCGCGGATCTCCGCATGCGTGGCGTGGATCGATCGATCGATCCAGAGGTCAAGGGACTCTAGGGATGTACGGAATACTGAACCCTCGATATCGACGCCGATCGACGCGGTCTTCGCATGAACAGTACTGTCCTGGACGATGGGCTGGCCGTCTTGAACAGCATTGTCAAAACGTCTTATAACTTAAAATGGGAGTAGTAATATTCATCATTCATTGTTCTCTGTGTACGCCATTTAGGTTTGTGTAATATGTTCTCTGTCATGTTGCACTTTGGCAGAAAAGGAGCACGATACAAGTGTATGCTGTTAGATGAGCTAATTAAACAATAAGAACCTACACAAAATTGTAAAACAACAAGCCTCTAATCAGTGGGCTTATTTATACAAGTGTTCATGCTCACACAACGGCTTGAACAGCATCGTGTTTGCCCATCATCCATGAACGGACAATGGTGCTCGATCGAGAGCTCTTTATTTACGTCCAGCATCGGTGTCTACCTCTCTCCGGCGGCCGGCCGGCCACCGGCCACCGGATGCCGGCGTTCTAGCATTTCCAGCACGAGGCGGCGATGACCGGCTTCCCCTTCCAGCCGAGCACGAGGCAGCCTTTCTCCTCCGCCACCGTGTACCCGCCGCCGCCGGCGTTCTCGTCCAGCCACTCCCGCGCCTTGGCCGCCATCTTGATCGGCACCGACTGGAACCCCGCGCGGCTCATGCGGCGGCGCCACTGGTCGGCGCGCTCGTGCCGCTCCACGCGCGCCGCGCCCTCGCACCCGACCACGTTGCGGATCTCCGCGCCGAAGTGGAACTGCTCGACGCGCGCCCGCCGCGCGTCGTAGCGCGGGAGCGCCGCGTCGAGCGCGTCGAACAGCGCGGCGTAGTAGTGCAGCGCCTCCATGAACCGGCCGAGGAAGAATGGCCCGTTGTGGCCGGCGTCCTGCTCGACGAGCACGAACGCCCTGGGCGACAGCTTGCGGATGGTCTGGAGCACCGAGTTGAGCGCCCCGCGGCTCTCCTTCACCACGGAGTGGAGCTCCAGGACACTGTTGATGGCGACGGCCTCGTCGGCGTCGACGCCGAGGTCGTCGATGTGGAGGCTCTCGAGGCCACGGTTGATGCCTCTGAACTCGAGGTACATCCCTAACCCCTCCGCGTACGCCTCGAGCTCCCGCCCGATCGCTCTCATGGTGTCCATGCGCGCGCCGACGCCGGTGACCCGCACGCGCGCCGGCTTGCCGCTGGCGCGGGCGGCGAGGCCGTCGAGGAGGCCGCGCCACTGGTGGCCACGGTCGAGGCCCAGCGTCATGCCGAGATCGACCACGTGGACGTTGCTCTCTCCCTCGAAGGCTTCCAGCATGCACGCGTTCGCCACGAAGTGCGCGAACCGCAGGTACGGGCACAGCTCGTAGGCCAGCGCGAGCGCCTCGCCGCGCGCGCCGTCGCGCCCCGCGCACGACGACGGCGGGATGCAGAACGCCATGCTCGCTGGCCCCAGCGCCGGCGGGTGCGCCAGCGGCAGCCGGTCCGCGAGCCCCTGCACGAAGCACGACGCGACGCGCTGGAACGCCGTGCCGTGCACGGGCGCGCCGGCCTGCAGCTCGCGCAGCAGCGCCGCCGCCTGCGCGCGGTCGCGGCACGCCACCGCCTCGGCGCAGGCGACCAGCAGCTGCACGAGACGCATCCCGTCAGCTCCTCCTCCTCCTCCTCCTGCGCCACCCCCGCCGCCGCCGCCGCCATCACCGGCACCGACCCGGAACGTCGCCGTCGCCGGTGTGTCCATAGCCTCCATGGCCTCGACCTTCTGCTTGCAACTCTCAAGAACGTCCCAGAACCTCTTCTTCCTGACGCGCGACGTCTCCGACGACCCGACGACGTCGACGGCGGCCTGTGCCGGCGACCACGTCGGCTGATACGGCGAGCTGATCATGTGGTCCATCCTGGTGACCTTGGAGAACCTGGAGACGAGCTCTACCTCGTTGCCATCAAACGCCGCTTCGTCCACGTCGTAGAATCGGTAGTAATAATCAAGTTCTTGATTAGTACAAATAATCGTTGAATCTTGTTGCTGTGTCAGAGTCAGATGATGGCTCTGCTGCTGGGAACAGTCTGAGATGGAGTTGCATGGCTCAGGGGACATGCCCATGTTCATGTGAGGTTTGCAAGGGCAAATGACCTAACAAAATTTGTTACAAGGTTAATACATACCCGGTATATATAGACTTGTAGAGTTCATTAGTATAGTGTTTCATTAGCTTAAAAACATTAGCATTGTGTTTAAGCTGTCTGACATCTCAGGCTAGCCGTTTGCCTGTCTCTCTTTTCGATAAGTAGTAGTGCTACTAGAACCCTAGCTAATACTAGTGTTTTTTATTTGGTTAATTACGATGCTGTTTAACTTGTTAAGTAAGTACAATGCAGATAAAACTCACAATCAGTCTGTCTGACAGTGAACATTGAGAGATTACACGTGGGCGAGAAGATTAGATTAAAAATTGGCACAACATGGTAGAATAAATTTCACTCATCCAGTGTCAAAAAAAAATCAGAAACATGCACAGTTCAGAAATGCATCTCTATCGTCTGTGCTATTCAATTAGTAGATGAGTACAAGACAGATGAGGGATCGCGTTTGTTGCACGGAGGTGTTCCAGGGCGAGGGGAATTTTCGCCTGTTTTTGCTTTGGCCGGAGAGAAAGCTGCAAGCAGATGGCGTTAAGCTGATGAAGATCCAGCAGCAAACTTGATCAGCCATCAGAGATAATTATTAATTAAAACAGGAGGTTGATTGTAGAATCTCAATGACTTGGTGCACAGGGCAGGGCTGAATTAGTCTCTTCGTTAATCGTTAGGAGCAAAGTGGTTATCAATTTAATTACCTCCTGTTTGCACCTTGCACCGGCCATCAGCGTGTGGGATTCGGCAGTATTTCCATATTTGAATGTATTTTTATATTTAGACTGCTAATCTTCGCCACTTCAAATTCATAGTGTCAATTAGATAATAACAACATAAATTTCAGAAAAATCTCATGGAGTGAAGTTCGGTACGCTGTTGTGCAATAAGGGACACAGTACAAAAGGCAAATGCTCGCCGGCAATAGCCAGCAAAGAAAGAATACAGCAGTTGATTACAGCTACACGCAGAGTGTCTGAATTCTGCAGTCTGAACGCATGCATGCAAGATTGATTCCACTAATCAAACAGCTAATCTCGATCAATTAAGTAAATGCTTTTGCTCATCTCTATGCTCATGGAGAATTAAAATAGCTGGAGAAATTGGAGCACTTTCACCCAAAACGTCACTGTGGACGCCACTCTCTTTCGTCTGAACCGCAGTAGCACGATCAGGCTCAGCTCCGATCGAGGGCCAGGTATACATTCTTCCTAGTTCGAGCGTTAAAATTTTAGTTGCCGTATGATTAGTTTGTGCGTTAATACTCCTTCATCGACAATGCGTGTGAGATCTAGATGATTGACAAGTGCATGCCATTATGTCATCATGCCAACCATAAACAAATTAATTATGGTGTTACTGATCCAATTAATATCTTGCTAAGTCATGAGTGTAACGCGAAAAAATGCCGTAATGATATAGTTCTTAACCATAAAAAAATGTCTAACATCATGCAGATTATCTTCGTGTGTTCTAATTGGCTTTACTCTTATTGTATGATGCTTTCACAGAAACAACAGGATACTATACGCAATGGTGCTACACGCTTGAAATTGGTAACCAAGTAACTTTTATTTCAGTTTGGATAGCGTAGTACCTACAGAATCTCATGGTAGAATCTACGTGATTTTAAAAACATTATTTTAGTAGATCATATTATCGGTAGAAGTTGGGGGTTTGTCCCATCTCGTCTTTTTTAAGCTCTTTTCTATTCACTTCTAAACTTTTTGGCTGTGTGTCTACGAGCAGAGGCCGGAGATGTAACCCATTTCTATTATCTTAAAAAAAATTGAGTGTAACGTGAATGAAATATCTCTAGCAGCTTAATGCGAAATATGAAAATTAACTAGCTGTAGTGAATCTATGGTTTGTAAATAGTTCGGTACTACTGAACATGACGTACGCATCAGAAAATTCAGTACTATTTTTAAAATATAAATTGGTTCAAAATATATATCGAGCTTGAAGTGGTTCTGAAACTGAAACAAGTGGCCTTGCATTGTTCGTTCCGCTTAATGGTATTCTAAGATACGTGGATTGATGATTGATCAAGGCAAGAAGACTGTTGTGCTTCCTTTCGCTTTCAAATGAAATTTGAAATTATATAGCATTTCGCTAATCGCTAGTCATGCCTATGTACATCATACATGAGCCCTCTCTACAGTAGTCAGTTTGTATCTGAATTGGTTTTCAACTTGGTCGGCGCAGCTAATCATGGACATTTGGAACACCAGTGTGCTAGTGCCCATTTGTTTAATTTTGGCGGTTCAGATTATACAGAGTGGTTTTTCTTGAGATTTCTCCCGGTCCCAATCCATTCAGGAGAAGACAGGCTATATAGTGACATTTTTGAAAGGGACACCAAAGCCAGATAATTTCCATGTTATGTTTGGTCCAAAACTGGCAGCAGCGGTAACTAATTACTAGCTAGGTTACCCCGATGCACGATGCATCTTACTTAGGTAATTTTTTACATTTTCGCCGAACATAGTGGAGATGAGGCTCAACTTTCTCCAACTTGTGTAGCTCTGAGAGGAAGCAGGCGTACGTACGCATGTTTTGCAGTTGCTTTCGTGATATACACGCACTCGAAAGGTTAAAAAAAGTAAAAAAAAATAAATTGGTCGATTTAATTGAAGTACTTTTTCTGAACAGATGTATGTCCAGATTAGTAATAATAAGATATGTCACTTTTAAAACTGTTTTTTCCGTCTTATAAAAAACGAATTTAGAATCCGATATGACACATCCGATATTATATTGATTTTTTATAGTATGGAGGTATAGGTAATGCGTATTCCTTGTACGAGGAGGGTGAAACCATCGTACGATTAGTGCGAGATTCGTCACTACTGACGATCGCAAAGCAGGAACCATGCGGCGAAGTGGTCCAATTCTCGGTTAATTAATTGCAAATGGTAGTTAAGACCGATGTTGCATCGATGAGATGGGAGCGCCAACGGGCTAATATTTATGCCTACTTTGAACCCATGGGTTTCAGAACGAATTTGGATGATGAATTATCGCCGAATCAGTTCGATTTTGCTGGAATTTGAAATTTGGGAGTGCCTAGCAATCATTCGAATGATTTTTTTCATTCATCTCACTCGGATTTTTCAACATATGGATGTGCGCCACGTTGCAGAGGGAAACGGTCTAGCTTAATCGTAAGTTCGTAACAACGGACCCAATCTAATAGTTATAAGTCCAAAGAGGTTTAATAAAAAAAATGTCATCAACATATGCATTAAAAAGTTACACTGTAATTTTAGTATAATTACACTGTAATTAATTTGTAAGTAGTATGTAAGTTTGTTCTTTGGACACAAAACAATATTGGTTCCTTGCTCAGTTGGTAAAAGGCCTTTGTTCGGCAACAAGAGATCGTGCGGTCGACTCCTCGCTTACACGTGAACACACACATTTTATTTTCCCACCCGGTCCAAAAATCGAATGATATGTAACAAAAAATCTGTCGCAAGATTTATAGCAAAACCGTTGAAATTTTTCGAAACGACGCCTTACATGCAAAGCCGAACTGCTGGGGTTTTGGTAATTCTCCATGGGCTAACAGCTGACATGAAGCTTAACTTTTATTGGGCCAAGCCCATTTGTGTCATAAATGGGCTAGCGAGTAAAAGTTGCCAAGTCAACCCGGCCCATGTGCACTAGTCTACGGTCTTCTTATACGTGTACCAGCGTGCGATGAGGAGGTAGGCGGCGAAGTTGGCGACGCAGAGCGCGGTGAGCAGCCAGAAGAAGTAGTCGAGGTGGCCGCGGTTGATGTCGTCGGGGATCCACCCGGGCGCGCCGCCCCTGCGCGCCGCCACGACGACGAGCGCCGAGCTGGCGTAGTCGCCGAGCGCGAACGACGTGCTGGAGAGCGCCGAGCAGAGGCTGCGCATGGCGTCGGGGGCCTGGTCGTAGAAGAACTCCATCTGCCCGATCAGCGTGAACACCTCCGACGCGCCCACCACCGCGTACTGCGGCACCTGCCAGAACACCGACGGCCGCGCGATCAGCCGGCGGCGCGCCGCCTCGAGCGCGCCGGCGGCGGCCATGGCGACGGTGAGGATGACGAGGCCGACGCCCATCCGCGCCAGCTGCGTGAACCCGCCGTCGTGGCGCGTCACGCGGCGCGCCAGCGGCACGATGGCGCGGTCGTAGAGCGCCACCCAGAGAATGACGCTGAGGGTGTGGAAGATGGAGAGCGCGGCGGCGGGTACCTTGAAGCGGCCGAGGCTGCGGTCCAGCGTGTCGCCCTGGAGGATGAAGGTGGTGGTCACCTGGGTGTACGCCGCCGCGTAGATGATGCCGGTCGCCCACACCGGCAGCAGCCGGAGCACGCACTTGAGCTCTTCCACCTGTGTCACCGTGCACAGTCGCCACGGGCTCTGCGCCGCCTTCTCGCCGGCAGTCTTCACCGTAGCTCTGTCCAAGAACCTAGATCAACAAGCAGCCGAGTTCATGAGGCAAACGATTTGAATAGGTGATTTAGGGCCTGATTAGTGAGCTTAAAATTCTAAAAAATAGTTAGTCGGTAACCAGTTTCTAAGAATTTAGAAAAGCTCGGTTTTCCAGCTTTTGACTTCTAGTTTATTTTCTAGATTTTACAACTACAACTTTTCAAAATTATGACCAACGCTAAACTTTTTAAGGGAGTTTTTAATTCTAGAAAAAGCTGCAGCAGTTAGAAGCTCTCCAAACAGAGCCTTAGTTGCGCCATGACAATATGACATGTCATCTCAAAGAAAGGGTCGGCAATTAAAAGTTGATATATATTATTCTAAACTAGCTGAATTTTTATGTGCAGTGCATAGAGCTAATATATGTTCCACTAAAGTAAACTTTTTTGTTTACCTCCCTTTGATAATAAATATTTGACGTTTACTTGCAAATGTTCCACTAAAAGAATATTTATTAGTAACATCTCAAACTTTGAACTTTCTTTGTTTATTTTTGTGGCAATCATGGTTTTTATATCTCTTAGTATTAATGCGATGGCTTGTACATAAAGAAAGACTTTTAAAAAACTTGCATTTATTATACTTTTGTCGAAGTTGAATTACCTTGAGTTACAAATAAATTTGATGCGGAGTGAGTGTAACTTAACTTGTTGGTTTCTTTGTGGTGCAATCCGATCATCCAGATTCAAGTTTAGACTTGGCGTGAGTGCTCGCATTTGCGGCTAATTATTTTTTTCAGTGGTACATGACGTACCCCTTGATACCAAGACATTCGCAGTGAATTCGTTAGTATCAAAATATGTTGACTCAGTCTTTTAAAGATGCTCATAGCTAGAAATAGGATGTGCATGTATGCATTTATAGGGGTGAGTATGCGCGCGTTGTGAGCGCATACGTTTGTACTATGTTTCTAAAAAGAAAAAGAAATATGGCATATTATGTGTTTATGGAGTGATATTTCACATATTAATTTATATTATCATATTCATTTTAAAGAAACATTTGAGTGACATACGAGAAAGGAGAGGATGCCCGCTTGAGACCTTGTTCGTTCGATCCCTACAAGAATAAGATTGAGAGGAATTAATTCCACATCTCATAATAGGTATGAAATTATTCTTCTTCAAATTCTCTTGTGGGTGGGATTAAAAGGAAAAGGCCTGAGGCGGAAAATCCATCTCCTTATAGACTAGACTGGACGATTAGTACTATTAACACAAGAATTTGATGGTACTAATATTTGGGGTTAATCAATCCACATGATTTTTAGCAATCTCAAATCATTTTTTCCTCCAATTCAAAGAGAAACGACAAAGGCAATTGCACTAACTGGAAATGCATACGCTTGCTCACCTAAACTGACCGGTGTGGAGGAGTCGGCGGCGGCCATGTATCGCCGGCATGCCATCGACGGCGTCGCTCTCGTACAGCATGGACGAGTCCGACGGTATCTCCACGTCGAACTTCCTGACCGCGGCGACCACCACCTGCGCGATCCTCGTCAGCGGGCTGCCCCCCGGCGGCTGGTCCCGCCGGTACGTGGCGGTGCCGGCGAGGAACACGGCGACGGACAGCGCGCTGAAGATCGCCGGGACGCCGTACCCGACCCCCCACCCGACGCTGGTCTGCACCCACACCAGCACGGTGCCGCCGACGAGCGAGCCGCAGTTGAGCGAGAGGTAGAACCAGTTGAAGAAGGAGCTCTGCCGCCGGCCGCGCTGATCGTCCTCGCCGTCGTCGAACTGGTCGGCGCCGAACGGCGCCATGATCGGCTCCAGCACGCCGCCGAGCGCCACCAGGTACATCCCGGCGTACAGCGCCGCGCTCTCCAGCCTGATCACCGACGCGCTCGCCGCCAGCACGCCATAGCCCTGCATGCTCGAAAAAGAACACGCGATGTATAAAGCGTGAGCTAGAGCTCTCTGCACACATCCACGACGTACGCCGGCGGCGGCGACGAACGTACCACGGCGGAGATGACCATGGAGAGCACGATGGTCCAGTATCGGCCGAGGAAGGCGTCGGCGAGGTAGCCGGCGACGAGCGGCGCAATGGAGCCGGTGCCCTCCCAGTTGGTGACGTTGTTCGCCGCCGACTTGCTGCCCTCGTGCAGCCTGTACTTGAGGTAGTTCACCAGGTTCGTCGACACGCCGAAGTAGGCCATGTTTTGGAAGAAATTGTTCGCTGATCGACCAACGCATGCACCAAAGCACAGAAGATCGATATGCAAGTATGCAACACGTTACACGTACTGGGATATACTACCAAAATGTCTGAATTTACGAGCGTGTTTTACTTTACCGAGGATGAAGGTGCAGGCCCACCGATTCCGGCGATTTGACTTCCGGCGGTCGGCGGCGGCGCCGCCGTGCCGGTCATTCGATTCCACGCCCTCCATGGTTTCAGCAATTCAGAGAATCAGAGATCCTGGAAAAATGGCTGGAAAAGGATGCAGGGTTGGTGTATCAGAGATGCTGCGAGGCTGAGGTCGAAGGTTTCGAAGGCTGCTGGAGCTGTACAGCTCTATCTTCGATACACCTATACGATCTCAATATCTTGGCCCTTTTACTTAGGGAATGGCTTATCCCTCAGGGATAAGCCTTATCGTTTACTACATGTCATTTAAATAGTTATAAAATATTTAATAATAATAATAATATAATATAATATTTGATATATTACTTCGCAGTCTAGTAGCATTTAATAAAATGCACCATTTTTTTATTTAAAAAACACTTTCAATTAATGGACTTGCAGATGCAACTTATATTCTACTGAATGCAAGAAGCAAAACCAACATGCTAGAAACAGAGCTAACATGCAACTAGTACTAGTAAAGAAAGAAATAAAGGAACTTAACAATCTATGAGCCGATTTCAAAACGGGAAGACCGCCACTCAACAATGCTAATGAGGAAACACTATACTATTTCAAAAGAAGGAAGTTTGGAAGCAATCCAAGGAGCAGAACAACATGGATATGAAAAAAATATAATCCACTACTTGGGGAAGTGCCGTATAAGTGTAAAGCAATAACCACAAAAAGGAGGATTATACTCAAAGAGTCAATGTCTAAAGAAATAGGAGTATATTCCTATGTCCAAATCAACTAATTCAACTGAGCATCTAAGTTTAAATTCTACCTATGTAGGTTGTAAAAAGACAGTAAACTCTAATTAATATACGTTTTTGTTTTATTGTAACTTGAAGAAGTCTAATCTGGGCATATTATTGTAAAAAAGTCATAAAGATAATTATCAAATGCTTAGGTTTTAAAACAACAGTACACATAAATTTGCCTTCAAATATTATTATAACATTATAATTATAAGTTTATTGTATTTTATAAACTCCTAATATCAACAGCATTAGATATTCATGTCTTCATCGATAAAGGGTAGAGATGGAAGATCACATCGAAATGCCTTAAAATTTCATAGTGGCATGTATTTTAATAAAAATAAATAAATGGTAGAGCAATAAGTAATTTGAAACGAGCGGAGTATATATTGGTAGTGTTTAGCAATATCTATAACCAGTAGAGTATTCATTAGAGTTCAAAAAGAATTCCTAAGCACTATTATGTACTCCCTCCATCTAATAAAAAACAAACATCACATTAGATGTGACACATCCTATTATAACAAATCTAAACATAAGTTTGTCTATATTTATTATAATAGGATGTGTCGTATTCACGAGATTAGTTTATTTTGTGATGGAGGGAGTACGACATTATTCATCAGTCACCCCCGAAGGTACTAGCATACACTGAAATATAGGCTGTATGTTGACCATAGGGGTGAAAACGGTAACGGTAATTACCGGCCGACCGGCGTTCGTTTTCGACTTTCTACCGGCCGAGCCATATGGAAATGGTAATCGACCGAAACAAAAATAGAAATGGTAAAAAATATGGAAATGAAAACAGAAATGGTTTTGCTGTTATACCGATCGTTTCCGTATTTACCGTATTCTCGTGGAAATTACCGTTTCTTATAATATGGTAATTACCGTATTCTAAATATGTCGATATTATAGGACATGTCTATACTTGACCCACAGCTTATAGATTGAATGACTCTTCAATAAAATCTCTAACTTTTGTACATGGCTAAAATGAAGTTAATTTATAATTTATATAGTATAAGCTTGAATTTATGTATATATATATATATATAACATACTTATGTAAAGTTAAATATATGTTTTTATAGTTTAATGTTTCCGTATTTGTTACCGGTTTCCGATCTGTACCGACATGTTTCTGTCTGTATTGTTCCGTTTCCGGTTTTCCGATATTTCCGATATCGTTTTCATTTCCGACTTTACCGTTTCCGATTTCGTTTCCGAGAAAAATATGGTTACGGAAATGGTTGAGGCTGTTTTCCGATCGTTTCCGACTGTTTTCATCCCTAGTTGACCATCATACCCTCTATTCAGTATGGGCCAACATATATGTAGCCCACTCCGCCATACAAAGCCCAAATCCAAAGTGATGTGGCCTATTGAAGCCCAGCCCAACACTGCTGATATACGGTCGATGCAAGTACGGCAAACCTTACGGTTTAGGGTACGGTGGGCCCCACCCAGCTAATCTACGGTCTTCTTGTACGTGTACCACCGTGCGATGAGGAGGTAGGCGGCGAAGTTGGCGACGCAGAGCACGGCGAGCAGCCAGAAGAAGTCATCCAGGTGGCCGCGGTTGATGTTGTCCGGGATCCACCCGAGCCGCCCGCCGCGCGCCGTGGCGCGCGCCACGACGACGACGATCGCCGAGCTCGCGTAGTTGCCGAGCGCGAACGACGTGCTGGACAGGCCGGAGCAGAGGCTGCGCATGGCGTCGGGCGCCTGGTCGTAGAAGAACTCCATCTGCCCGATGAACGTGAACACCTCCGACGCCCCCACCACCACGTACTGCGGCACCTGCCAGAATATCGACAGCGGCAGGTACCCCCCGTCGCCGTCGTCGCCGTACAGGCCGTGCCGCGCGATCACGCGCCGCCGCGCCACCTCCAGCGTGCCGGCGACGAGCATGGCGACGGTGAGGATGACGAGGCCGACGCCCATCCGCGCCAGCTGCGTGAACCCGCGATCGTGGCCGGTCACGCGGCGCGCCAGGGGCACGATGGCGCGGTCGTAGAGCGGCACCCAGAGCATGACGCTGAGGGTGTCGAAGACGGAGAGCACGGCGGCGGGGACCTTGAAGCCGCCGATGCGCGGGTCCAGCGTGTCGCCCTGGAGGACGAAGGTGGTGGTCATCTGCGTGTACGCCGCCGCGAAGATGATGCCGCTCGCCCACACCGGCAGCAGCCGGAGCACGCACTTGAGCTCCTCCACCTGCGTCACCGTGCACAGCCGCCACGGGCTCGGCTCTGCCTTGTCGCCGGCGGTCTCCACGGCCGCCTTGTCCAAGAACCTGTGAATCATGCAACAAACCGGACGAGGAATGGCTAATTTAGTCAATGGACTAGTTATAAAACTTTCGAAAGAAAATTTCTCTAAAATCTTTCAAATATAACTACACTGTAACTGTAGTGTGTTTGTATTATTACTCAAGTGTAAATCGAATGTAACTAGTAAAAAATTTTAACAGTCTTGTAACAGCTCAAGTGGCTAGCACGCGTGGCTTGCGAGCATAGGTCCTGAGTACGATCGTGCAAGCGCACAAGCAAATCCAACGGACGAAAAATGGAAAGTTTTTTTTACCCTATTTTCTGTCCACGTAAATTTAGCAAATCCGTTTAGGGGAATAGATAGATCGTCTTAATTACTTCTGTTCCGGCGCAAACGTAAGAGTGGGATGTTGAAATGGTCACGGTGCATGCGAAAATGACTTCCCAAGTTCTCATTCACCTCTACCCAGGTCAGAACCAAATGGAAAATGATGAGAAATGGACCAGACACGAGTACGACAAACTTACTTCTCATTCATCTCCACCCGTAATTTCCAAGAGAAAAGGACCACATTTATATGCGCTCGACGACTCCAAGTCAACCAAAAGTATTGCCCGGCTACAAACTTTCTCTTGAAAAATACTCGTATAAGCATTTTGAAAGATACCCCAAATTTTGTACGCGCCTTATGGTTGAGAACGTCTTTCTTTACAATCTAATCGCTAGTCTTTCTTTCACTAAAAAAAATACCGTCGATGTCACAAGGAACAGTACGCAAATTAGGTGCACCGGTAGACTAAACACTGTCACTAGAGTCACTAGACTACTATAAACTTTTTTTAAAAAAAATTCAGAGAAACTACTGAGCAAGTGAGCAGTGTGACACGTGTCCCAATTTTTAAGGCGATGCATGTTACGCCTACTCACCTAAACTGGTCGGTGTGCACGAGCCGGCGGCTCCCCTGTATCGCGGACATGCCATCGACGGCGTCGCAGCACTCGTGCAGCAACGACGCGTCGGCCGGCACCTCGACGTCGTGCTTCCTGGCGGCGGCGACCACCACCTGCGCGATCCTGGTGAGCGGGCTGCCCCCCGGCGGCTGGCAACGCCGGTACGCGGCGGTGCCGGCGAGGAACACGGCGACGGACAGCGCACTGAAGATCGCCGGGACGCCGTACCCGATCCCCCACCCGACGCTGGTCTGCACCCACACCAGCACGGTGCCGCCGACGAGCGAGCCGAAGTTGAGCGAGAGGTAGAACCAGTTGAAGAAGGAGCTCTGCCGGCGGCGCTCGCCCTCGTCGGCCTCGTCGAACTGGCCGGCGCCGAACGGCGCCATGACCACCAGGAGCCCGCTGCCGAGCGCCACCAGGTACAGCCCCGCGTAGAACGCCGCCGCGCCGCCGTGCAGCAGCGCCGGCGCCGCGGCGCTCGCCGCGAGCACGCCGTAGCCCAGGACGGAGATGGCCATGAAGAGCAGGATGGTCCAGTACCTGCCGAGGAACGCGTCGGCGAGGTAGGCGGCGACGAGCGGCGTGATGGAGCCGGTGCCCTGCCAGTTGGTGACGTCGTTCGCCGCCGACTTGCTGCCCTCGTGCAGCCTGTACTTGAGGTAGTTCACCAGGTTCGTCGACACCCCGAAGTAGGCCGTGTACTGCATGAAGTTGTTCACTGCCCCCATACGTGACAGCATATGATGCATCCATCCACATCAATCACAGATGCAAAATCATCTCGAAATAATGAGATAATGAGTATGTGTTTTGTGTTACCGAGGATGAAAGCGCTGGCCCACGTGGTCCGGCGATCCTTCTTGGACGTCCGGCGATCGTCGGCGTCGGCGTGCCGGCCATTGCAGGATTCTACACCTTCCATGGTCTCAGCGGTTTCAAAGAACCTGGAAAAGAGTTGAGACGATGGGGACGATGCATACAAGACGAAGGCTGAGGGTGAAAGGTTTCAGGAAACGGACCTCTGCACTGAACCGTTTGGAGCGATCGATAGAGCTGTGAAGGCCAGCTGCTCTATCTTCGCATTCACTCCAGCTTCACGCTACGCTCTCGGTATATTCGTCGCGCCCTTTAATAGACACTCTCGTAGGGTGGTTGGATTTTTCACATTTTGGTCCTTTTGAAAAACTTATTTCGTAAGTAGACCCCTAGAAAAACTTATCCCAAAAATGGTCCTTTTTGGGGCGCCAGAGTGCCTGGCGCCGTCATTCAACAGGACGGCGCCAGCCTCTTTGGCGCCGTCCCCCTGCCGACGTGGCGGGGCGATGCTGAGGTGGCTAGGGGGAGTGCGCCAGAGTGGCTGGCGCCCCCCCGAATTTTTTTATTTTTGTTTTATTTGTTTGATATTTTTTCACGCTTAGGGACACACAAGAACCAACCATAGAAAAATTGAACTCAAATGGACGTAATATGTGACATGTAGAATTTTTCCTCTCCTCTCCTCTCTCCGAACTAGTGCAGAGGAGAAAGATGTGCAACTTTTTTATTTTTATTTTATTTTTTTGATATTTTTTTCACACTTAGGAACTCACAGGAACCAACCATGTAAAAAATAAACTCAAACGGACGAAATATGTGGCATGTGGAATTTTCCAAAGCTCCACCGAAAAACTTCTCTCCTCGAAAACACAATCTTGCAAGCGGAATTTGGAGGTTTTAATATCGCCGAACCCGGCAAAGCTGGAGAGAATCGGATGTAACTTTTTCTGTAGATGCCCGTGCATATATTATTTGCCTGATTCCGTGTCCGTATGAGAAAGTTACGCCTATTTTAATAGATGACATATTTTGTCCGTTTCGGTAGAGTTTTGGAAAATTCTACATGTCACATATTTTGTCCGTTTGAGTTTATTTTTATACGGTTGGTTCCTATGTTCTCCTAAGTGTGAAAAAAATATCAAAAAATGAAATAAAAATAAAAAATTACATCTCTATGTACTGTTTAACTTATATAGAGATTAAGTAATTTCATATAGTGGTAGAGTGCATATAGTGGTAATATTTTGAATTAGATTAAGTAATTTCATATATAGTGGTAGAGTGCATTATGTTTAACATGTTGATCAAAGAGTTTTACTAAAGGAGTTATGGTCTAATTTTAGTGAAGGTGCAAAGTAGACTAAGTGGTATGCTAGATATTTTCAGACTTAGCTAGGTGGTAGTTCGAGTTTAAATTTTTTTTGTGGTTGGTTGTATCGTGATCCTGAGTGTGAAAAAACATCCGAAAAAATAAAATAAAAATGACACCGTTGCAACTCCATATAGAGAAACAGGAATGGAGGCGGCGGCGCCAGCCATGCTGGCGCCCTCCTCCCTGGGGCGGCGCCAGCATGGCTGGCGCCCTCCTCCTGCCACGTCGGTTCGCGTGTGCCACGGTGGCAGGAGGACGGCGCCAGAGAGGCTGGCGCCGTCCCGTTGGATGATGGCGTCAGCCACTCTGGCGCCCCAAAAAAGACCATTTCTGGGATAAGTTTTTTCAGGGGTCTATTTGCGAAATAAGTTTTTTAAAAGGACCAAAATGTGAAAAATCCAGCTCTCGTAGAACTCCACGATTTTGGGTTTTGGTAATTTGCTCTGCGTCACATATAATTGGTTATGTCGCCACTTGAGCTAGTTGCAGAGTTGAGAATGAGAGTGCTGAGGGAGGGACCTCTGGAGTACTGCATGACATATGGTCCCATAGATCATCGTTGTCTTGCATGTCAATCTGTAGTATGTATTGCATGTGCAGTACTACAGAGGATCTGAATTGGAGAGTGCTGCGTGCATTGAACTACTGATATGTGCGAATGGCAAGGGGCAACGTTGTAGCGGGTACGCTTTCCTAATTAAGAAAAGGCCAGGTCAAGTGGTCTGCATTTTTCATGATAAAATTTCACAGAACTTCCAGCCTCATTGCTTGCCCATATTTCCTGATAAGTCAAAATGGCTGCCCATATTCCCTGATAAGTCAAAATGGCTTATTAGAAAATAAAAAATAATTTATAGGTAAATCTTTTATATATTTGTTTATAACAACTTAAAAGTCAGTGCTAAAAGAAAATTATATATGTTGAAAATATCTTAAAATCAACTTCATATGCAAGTTTAAAAATTTAAATTTTAGCTATCGCTTTAATTTATTAGGCCAACCGTTGGTGCTCTTCATATTTTAGGGCACTAGTTACTTTCACAAAACCCTATATTTTGAGGCTTGTTTCAGCAGAAGAATCAATCCTGTCAATTCTACTGTCAACACGTGGTTACAGTCTGCCCCAAGACACGTGTGGTTCACTAAAACAAACCTCGAAGTATATGATTTTGTGAAACCAATTACAATTAAAATTTACTCATTTTTCATGCCGCATAAAAGACGACAACACATACATAATAGGCCACAAATAAACTTCCGTGATAAATCGCTTGCAAATTCACACTGAAGCACGGGAGTATATATGAACTCCAAGATTTCTGTACCGTCATGGATAAAGTCATACACGCATTAACTCTATATCATAAAAAGAGTTTCCCACCGAATTAAGTATAGTTTAACTGGTTAGGTTTCTTACGTTGAAACTAGTCTATCCGGATTCAAATCCTATATTTGACACGGGTACTTCTATTAAGGGCTAATTATTATTTCAATGGTAGACGACGTATCTGTCGACAGTGAGATACTTGTGATGACTTCGTCAAACCCAAAATATACCGATCCAGTCTTTCAGTGGTGTTCATAAGTGTGTAAGGTGCAGGGTGTGCGTCTGTGCGTTCATTACGAACAGGGGCGGATTCAACGTGGGTGGGTGGGGGGGGCTTGAGTCCCTCCTACAACCACCAGACTCATGGATACCCCCCGAGTCCCCCCTCAATTTTTTTTGTCATGGTTGGTAAGATAGAAGTTGTTAAAGGTCTCTTAATAGCGTTTTAGCACAATTTAATACTGAGATGATGTGTTTATACTGGTGTACTAGCATGTTGAGTATCCTAATCTTTTGTTTCTGATCCACCCCTGATTACGAAGAGTGTACGTACGTTATGAACGGCTGTGTTTGTATTTTCTAAAGAAAAAAAAGAGCTGGCCAATAAAAGCAAGTGACCGTGGCGGCTGTCAGTGCACAAACATGTGCAATATGCAATGTGACGTACTACGTGGCCGTGCTTCTACCAGACAAACGGAGCCGCACCGCACGAAGAATAGGCAACGGCCGCGAAAACGCATGTGGTTTCCTTTCACTGTCCAAGCCCTCCCATGCATGCATGTGTCCGTGGCACATTGGTCAGCTGAAACATAGGCCCACACGAGAATGATGGTGCCTGCATATTTTAGTACCAGTGGCCTCATTGGTTCCCCTAAAGCGAAACTATATTAAAAATATCTTAAAACCAACTTCAAAAATATATTTTAAATTTGAAATTTTGGCTTTAGCTTATCTTTTTTTAAGCATAGCCGATGGGGCTATTAAGAGTAACAGGGAATGCGTGATGGTATTTCTCTGAAATTGTCCGGGAGCATGCATGGTGTGGACTCTGGAGACTGGAGTGGATATCTAAGCCATAGCTAGGCTTTGGCCTTTGCCCGATCCTAGCTAGTGGCTGCTGGTGACGATCGATATAGGCCATTATCTCCTATCACGAATTCAGGATAGGCAGTAGTGCTCTAGTACTACTCCGGTTTACTATCTCCATCCTACTAGTGCGTACCAATTGGAGCCAAGCCAGCTATTGCTATCTATCATTAATACTCCTTCACGTTTGCGTCCATCTCGATCACCCTACAGAATATAATGCATATACGGAGAATTTTCTCGTGCTTTTCATTTGGCTTCACCGTGAGCAGGACATGACACAAAAATTAACCGTGCGCGGTGTCCAGACCTTTGGTCCGCCGCGCTTGCCGATCGGTCGGCGTGTTACGGGAAAACGGACACGGTGCGTGTGTGAATGAGCGTTGTGGTGGCTTGCGCGCAAACGCACAAAACCGTGGTTCCGAAGGATATTAGTTCATCCGTGTCATAAATATGTTTATCAGTATCAGGATGTTAGTTATATTTAGAACATAATATTATAATATACAGGTAAGTAGTTTAATTATTGGTTATTAAAAATCGTCGGTGTTGTATGACACTGACACAACCACTATGGATGATCCGACCGAAACAAGGAGGCGCCGAGCGACGCGCGGCCTTTGTGCAGCCGGATGCAATGCGGCGCGCGTACGTCACACGAACCGCCGAGCGCAACGGCCGGTGTCTGGGTGGCGGAGCAGAGTGAATGAGTGATGGGTGGAAAGCAAAGCGCGCGGTGCCACGCCATGACGCGGACGGAATTTCAGGTTTGGGATGAGATGGGAAGGACAGTGAGTGGTGTGATGTGGTGTGGTGCGGCGTTGGATATGTTTCTTTTCTTTTCCTTTTTTATGTATCAGCTCGATCTCTTTTCACTGCTAATAATGCAGATCAATCAGCATGGGTGTAAGTGTGCAAGGGCGTAGACGAGCAATAGTGGCGACAGGTCATGTGTACCGTCAAGCTCGCTGCTGCCTTTTCCGTCTTTTTCTCATGCTGTGTTTGTCACCGTGCGCGTCCACCACTTTAGTCCGTGTGGCTCTGTTCCGATGTGCATCAGTTCATGCATGAGTGCACGGATCACGGATGCACCTATCGATCCCAGGTATAGCCGCCGTATACCAGTTCCTACTTCCTAGTGCAAAATCATCATACCGGGGTCCATCTCATTCTCATGCACCAATGCAATCAGTCTACTATTGCAGTAGTACGTGCTCTTCGTCTGTCTATAGATATATATTGCTCCCAAAGTTGCATGTCGCTGTTGATGCCGTCGGCTGTCGGGGATCCAGCCGAGCCGAGCCGGCGCCAAGCCCCTTGGCGTCCTCGCCGGACGGCGGGGCGCGCTCTGGTGATTGGGCGCAAGCATGGATGGCGCGCGGATTGCGTCGGGCAGTGAAGCGCGGGAGCGGAGGACGAGGAGATTTCGAATTAAATTTTTAAATATACATTATTTTTCTCAATTTTGTGTATACGTACATACATGCTTCTAAAAATTTTACAGAAATATACGTCTTCCGCTGGTTGGGGACGCGGAACCGCGCTGTCGACGCGGCTCGAAGACGTGGGATCGACTGGAGGGGGCGGTTCCGCAGCTTCAACACGTGTGACCGGGACGGTCCCGCGCCGAGATAATGCGGCACCGCTCAACCCGCGACTAGGCCGTGTGGCACCAACGCGGTACCGATGGGAGCGGACGGGAGTGACGGCGGAATGCGTCAGACTAGGTCACGGTCCCGCGGAATGGTTAAGCGGGTCCGCCAAATGCAAACGATCAAACACATAATCAAATAAACTTTTGTTCGTAATGCTGCTAATGCATGTGTAATGTGCTATATATGCTAATATGCATCACTGTGCTACACTGATCAAGCGGCGGTGGCGCTGACTGATGACGCGGGAACGCCCGCGGTGCCGCATGCCTGTTCTGCGCCACCGCCAAGCGGTGGCAGGCATGCACCCGAGCAGCGGCCGGTGCGGCGGCCGATGCGGTGCCGCACCGCCCCGGCGCGGGACCGCCCCAGTCACGCATGTTGGCTGGAGGAGGCGGTGCCGCATCACCAGCCTGCGGGAGACGTATATTTATGTAATTTTTTGACGTATATTTATGTAATTTTTTCAAACACATGTATATATATACAAAATCGAAAAAAAATAATGTATATTTTAAAATTTAATTCCGTGGATTTCGTGGAGAGACAACCGTGCGCGGTGGAACGCGTCCGGCGGCGGCATCTCGATCTCCGTACTTCAATCTCGGAACAAGCTGGGAGGCTGGGACGGACCAGATTGGATTTTGTGGGCCTAGTTGTTCCGCTGGCACGAGGCCCCGTGCCGTAATACTGGGCTTCGTCAAAAGCCCGTTGTATTTACGGATGGAATAAGTTCACTTTGACTCCCTTTAAAGTGATCCGAATCTAATGCATGACCCTCGACCGCAAAACCAGATAGGATGACTCCCTGAACAATTTGACAGCGGTTTTGGACGGCGGTTTTATTGACGTGGTGATGTTGACCTAGTATTTTTTTTGAATGACGAATGGGGCCCACATAGTTTTTTATTTTAATGCCTCCTAAGCGTGACGTCAACACCACAGACCAAGTCAACATCGCCACGTCAGTGCCATGTCAGCAAAACCGTCGTCCAAAACCGCTAAGGAATTCAAATTGCACTGGTTTGAATAGTTCGGGGGGTCATACCGGTTGTGCGGTTGAGGGTCACGGATTAAATTCAGGTCACTTTTTAAGGGAGTTAAAGTGGGACTGGTTCCTTTACGGACACGGGACATAGGCGAGTTTTGGGCCATATAGATGGCCCGCATAGGATCTCTATCGGTACCAGGCTGACTTCTCCAGCCCGTACGGTCAAGAAGCGGCCCAAGTAACCAGGGTCACGTAGGCGGCAGGCCAGCTGGCCATTCCAGATAGACACCGACGGTGAAAAGAACGGCTTGACTCGGTTGCGTTGCAGCCTGCGTTTTTCCACTTTGAACCTTCGTGCTCTCGCCCGTCGCGTCTGACTGGTTACTATTACTCGTATATACGTAATACCTCCGTATTTTAATATATGATGCCGTTGACTTTTCGACTAAACCATTCGTTTTATTCAAAAATTTTATGTAAATATAAAAATATTTATGTCATGCTTAAAAAATATTTGATGACAAATTAAGTCATAATAAAATAAATGATAATTACATAAATTTTTTAAATAAGACGAATAGTCAAACGTTAGACAAAAAATCAACGGCGTCATACATTAAAATTAAAATATGGAGGTATATACGTCATACGTATATTGTACCTGCTGGATTGGTCATTGGCAACGCGTTACTACATCTTACCACATGATTACTTATACCCCGTGCCGCCGTGCGTACGTGCGTGCCGTTGAACCGTTCCGGTTAATCGATCAGCTGCTTCTCACAATCAAAATTCTCCGCGGTCTAGTTGTCTATAGTTATAATCGCCGTGTCGCCGGCTCACACGTACTATGCGCACAAGTAGCACAAGTACAACGACACGGTCTTTGCGACGAGCGAATTGGCTGCAGGATGCAGGGGGTATCCTCCGCCGCTCGTGGCGTTGACGGCGGCTCGCTCGCGGGTGAGGATTTGTTACCTCTTCCCAGAAATCGCCTGACCCACCCGCACCGACAACACATGGAACGTGCGTGATCAGCAACCCCTTTTTTTCTGGGAGGAGGTAGAGAACGTGACCAGCAATCTTGGGAGTGAGAACTGGATGCTGTGTACTAGTACTAATCTCGGATACTTGGCCTTGTGAACAGGCTAGCTAATTGGTCTCGATTGCGCTTTGGTTAGACTGGTTAAAACGGTTGACACTTACACTAACCCGTAAACATACAATAATTTCAGAACATTCTAACGGAATTCACCATGAGAAGAGAAACAGAGGGAGGCGGGGGTTTGAATTGAAAAAACACGGTCGCATTTGGGAGCGGGCGTTCGCGTCGGCTCGGCTCGGCCGCATCCACGGAATCAAATCAATCCAACGAGCGAGCGAGCGAACGAACCAACCCCTTCTTCGCCTCGGCTTCGCTTCCCCGTCTTTTCCTTCCGCCTCACCAACCTCGTCTCGTCTCGTCTCGTCTCGCCTCTCGATCCTTCCACCCCACGCCGCCCTCTGCCATCATCGTCGTCATCCCATCCGGATTGCCACCCAACCAATCGCCATTTGCTTCTCGCTTTCCCTCTCCTCCCCCAACCACTCCATCATCATTCGCAATCCAATCTCGCTCTTGGTTGGCGTCGATTTTGACGCGGTCTGGTTCGTGAATCCGACGGAGCCGGGTGATCTGCGGCGGGACTTGCAGATCCGAGCGGGCGGGGCGGGGCGGGTTCGCTCGTCGGATGTGTGGATCCTGGTGAGGTGAGGCGATGCCGGGCGTCGGCGTGAAGATCTACAGCGTCTTCTTCAAGTTCCTCCTCCGCCACAAGCTCCAGTCGCTCGCCGCGGCGGCTGCGGCGGCGGCGGCGGGAGGGGAAGACGACGCGGCGGCGTTCGGGGTCTCCTGCCGCGCGGACGAGGCCACGGCGCCGTCGAACCCGGCCTTCTCCGCGGCGGACGGCGTCGCCTCCAAGGACCTCCACATCGACCCCAACTCCTCCCTCTCCGTCCGCATCTTCCTCCCCACCCCGCCGCCGCGCCCGCACAGCCGCCGCGCCAGCGAGCCCCCGCCCGCCACCGCCAACGGCGGGAGCGCGCCCTACAGGGGCTACCTCCCGCACGCCGTCTCCTCCCCGCGCGCCGCGGCGTCCGCGCGGCGGAGGCTGCCCATCGTCGTCCAGTTCCACGGCGGCGGGTTCGTGTCCGGGAGCAGCAGCTCCGCCGCCAACGACGCCTTCTGCAGGAGGGTGGCCAAGATGTGCGACGCCATCGTCGTCGCCGTGGGATACAGGCTTGCGCCCGAGAGCCGCTATCCCGCCGCGTTCGATGACGGGGTCAGGGTGCTCAGGTGGATCGCCAAGCAAGCGAATCTCGCCATGATGAGCAAGGTCGGTGGCGGGGTGGACACGTTCGGTGCTTCTACCGTCGAGCCGTGGATTGCTGCCCATGGTGATCCGGCAAGGTAAGATTTGTTCAATCCCTCTTGTTTGTACTTGTGTTAATCGGTAGTAGTACTGTATTGCAGTAAATGGGTAGGAACTTAACACTGCATTGGCAAATGAGGCAAACAAAAGAATTGAGTGAAGATAATTGGGTTTTTCTTTCACAACCTTCTATCTATTGATCTAATAGTTCTAATTTGTCATCCACTAGCATTTCTTGGTACTGTACATCAAAATTGCTCTAGTTTGGTGACCATATTAGAAGGGATGAGTAAATACTTGGTCTGTTGGAGATTCAAATGGTAATAATATTATGAATGTGTTGAGTTCCACAATAGTTTCCATTTCTGAGTGGTACCAGATTTAAAATGTGCGAGAATGTTCGCTGAGACAGGTTCAATGTTTAGTGCCCGTTAATTAGGCTTGTTCGATATGTCATGTGTAATTTATGTTGTATCACGCCATCTGCATGCACTTCAGCTTTTCGTGTGGATTGTGATGATACACAGGCTCACAACAGTGTGTAGCTCCAGAATTAAGAATAAGCATTCAAAAAATTCCAAATGCCAGCCCACCAGGACTGTACTCCAGATGGTTGTTGGCATTTATAATACATTGTGCCATTTTAAGATTCGTTTGACTTGTGGCATGTGTGTTGACTTTTTCTTTGGAAAAAAAATGTAAGTTTTTATCTTGTTGGGAAAGCTCTATTCATCTGGAAGCTAAATGTTGAGTAGATGTCTGTTAATGGTCTCTCCACAATGCAATTGCTTTAAATGCAAGCAAAATTACATGTTTTCGTATTGATGTACCATCTTCACTTCAACCTCTGTCGATTGATGTTGCAACTTCCTGGGTGTAGATGTCTCAACGTTCAAAGTGTTCACCTAAGTTCAATTTCCAATATAATATGTTAGTCTTTACCACGCCAACAACTATTCTTGTCTTGCTGGTCAATATACCTGATCATTTATAGTTATTCCTTTTGTTCTAGTTATTGAGCATTACTATTACTGTAATCTGACCATGCATTCTGTCTTTTGATTGAACAGATGTGTACTACTTGGTGTAAGCTGTGGTGCCAATATTGCTAATTTTGTCACTCGGAAGGCAGTAGAAGATGGAAAGCTATTTGACCCTATCAAGGTTGTTGCACAGGTTCTGATGTACCCATTCTTCATAGGAAGCGTTCCAACACACTCGGAAATAAGGCTTGCGAACTCATACTTCTATGACAAGTCCACATGTATACTTGCTTGGAGATTATTTTTGTCAGAGAAGGAATTCAGCCTGGATCATCCTGCTGCGAATCCCCTGGCTCCTGATAGAGGAGGGCCACCACTGAAATGTATGCCTCCGACCTTGACAGTCATCGCGGAACATGACTGGATGAGGGATCGAGCAATTGCATACTCGGAGGAGCTCCGCAAGGTGAATGTCGATGCACCTGTTCTTGATTACAAGGATACAGTTCATGAGTTTGCAACCCTCGATGTTTTCCTCAAGACACCGCAGGCCCAGGCCTGTGCCGAGGACATCGCCATATGGATGAAGAAATACATATCCCTCCGAGGACACGAGTTCTCGTATTAGTAGTTGTAGCAAATATATCAGAACTGTGAAATAGACTTACGGGAAAGCATCAACATGTTCTTTTTCACCTGGTAATGGGAGCAATTGCAAAGTGGAGGCCAGGAACCTGTTAGCCTAATGTGAGTGAGTACTGGGCTTTTTCCCCCCATTTATTATGGTCTTTGTGAGAGAGAATGTAGTGTGCAAATTGTAGACTGAACTCAAAGACGATGCTCTTCCCCCTGTAGAGCTCAATTCTTTAATTTCTTTTGTACCCTTTGTGTAATATGAAATTGTTGGGGCTTGAATTTACCATTTTTGAGAAGGCAAGTGTCATTGTCCAATGATCAATTTAAAGAAAAAGCGTTGATATACCATCGCGTCTGCCAATCAACTCAATTTTCTTTTACTTGGTTAACCTTTACTTGTTTTGGTTGTAATTTTGATACCACTCAGGTTTTCTAACGCAAATTCCAGAACAATATTCAAATGGAAGTTATCTCCAACTTGTTTTGGTTGTTAATTTTGATACCACTCAAAGGTTTACTTTGCATTTCACCCGTTTACTTCAACCTCACCTTCATTTTGCAAGGTTTAAGGCGACACATTGCTTCGTGCTTACACCAACAGATTTCAGGCCTAAGTTTCGTATGTCTTCCAGCTTCTTGTTTAATCCACATGCATGTTCTTTTGACACATGTATGCTCGTATGATCTTTTCAAGTTTCAGCATCGTCAATGAAGTGAAGTTAACTTCACCCCCTTTTCCCAGTTGCTAATTGTACAATAAACGGACATTGCACTACATGGCTGAAACTTGAGGGCAGCTCCGATGTGAGAAAAATGACTGCTCCTAGATACCTTGTCACTGCAAAAGCATTCTCGTTGCAGTAAAAGGTTGAACAAACGAACAGATCATAATCAGATCTCAGCACTAACTATTCCCTCAGAGAAAAAAAAATAATTCAACACTAATTAAACCTTCAAGGGTTACACGATCTTTCACAGACTGTTCCTCGTTCGGCTCTGAATGAAAGCTTGCAATGATGGTTCTCGTCCAAGGTAGTCAGATATGATATCAAGGGGATTTTTCGAGCCTCCTGGAGCCAATACCTGAATAATGAAAGCATTTTAGAACAATTGCCATGAGTCGATGATGGAAATACATAATGCCTCAGGAGCACTAGTCAGTACCTTATTTCTAAACCGCAACCCCGCATGCTGATTTAGCAAGTCGTCTTTAAATTTTGATGCAAACAGATCAGCCGCAAACACCTGCATTGTAAAAGTGAATGTGCTTTACTAATGGTTTAAAATATATGATGAGTGTAATATGCCTTTGGAGTTATGCTTAGATCAGACCTCACTCCATATGTAACTGTAGCACACAGCATCATAGCCAATAGCAATACGTGGAAAACATGAAGCTGGGCTATTCCCTTCCAACAAAGGTATACCTAGCATTACCTGAAAAAAAAAGGAGCATTACACCTTCAGTTGTCCATGCAAGTAATATAAATAATGAATCAGTTATTTACAATGTACCTTTGGATGAAGATCCTTGATTAAGTCATCAATGTTCACATTTTCGCCTGTATGTATTATCTGATCAACAAGGCCTGGTAACAGCAAAAGAACACGTATTAGCTAGCACTAATGAACATGTCAAAAAGCATATACCAGGTTGGGATTACACATATAAAAACAGTAATTTATTCAGTGAATAGGCGGAAAACAAGGGAAGTAAGACTGTTTTTCTTTTGTTCAAAATACAGGTCTTAAGAACGACAAATGAGTTTATTTATCAGTTATTGTGTTGCACAATTAGAGAAAACGAAGTGCTGGGGACATCAATCGTCAATGTCTCATAGTATCCGTATCTCACTATGTTGTCAGAGTATCAGAGATAGTACTGTTGAGAAACAATCTTCCCAGCAAAATGACTCACACAAAAGGATCTCTTGTTTCAGTTTCAGGCCAGCAAATATGTCACGCCTTCTTTTCAGTGATTGGCAAGCCTCACTAGTGATAGACTTCGTAATGTCCTACAATGATAAGAACAGAAACTATTTCAAGTGCAATTTGAAACAAGTTTCATCAGGTCAACACTAACTTGTCTAAGTCTAAAAAGCCTGTATCACCAATACAATTTTTTTTATGTGTCATCAGATTCACTTCATGTCATAAACAAAAGAGGAAACTATTCCCAGTTCATATACTGCTTTCTTAATCTAAACAATGTTTTTCCGGTCATGCAAAAAACATCCACTTCTTATTCATAAGCTTGGTTGTTCCATTGCCTAAAATAACTTGGTAGTATAAAAATCTAAATATCTCCTCTGTAGAGGCAGTGCACAATGTTTCAAATATTATTTCGGCACATAAACATCATGCTAACTTGCATCACCTGATGGAAGCCAGACATCATTTTTAGAGAAATGTTCTCATAGCACCTGAAATGGCAAATTTCATCTTACACATCAGAAATGACAGCTTCCAAAGTGTTGGTATGTTACTGAAGAAACACAGCAATACCTACCAATTCTCAAGTAACAGACTTGGAATTTCAGCAAAATCCCCCTCCAGTTGAAGACCCGAAAATCTAGAAAAGGTGGCTCTGTTGGAGATATGATGGACCTACAGAATATTGGAGACCAATCAACGCAGTTTTATTTGATGTTCAACAGCGGAAGAGATAATCAGCAATCTGGCATTGGTCAAAAGTCGAATTTCTCAAGAAAGAAAGCTAAATTTCATTTACCATAATTAAGGTATAACGATAATTCCCAAGTGGCAAAAACAGTGCCTAATGAAGTAATAGTATTATAAACTTAAAACAAAACATATTTCTGTGAAGCCCTATTTGTAAAGAACATTTCTGTTAAAAAGTTTGCTAAAAACAAAGTGAGAGAATTTAGCATACCACATGACTGAATTCATGGAATATCCTTACAACTTCTGGGAACCTCAGCAGTGCTGAATTCCCATCAAACTCTTTCGGGCATTGAGACAATAGAACTGCAACTGGAACCTGTTGGCAATGACCACCAAATTAACACCGGGCTCCACTAGAATCCACATGTACATTTCACCGATTATAGATATCACGACTCGTGAGAAACTGAGAACCGCAGAGTCGTTTTCTAGCTTGTAAAATTTTGATTGTCTTAAGTCTCCAGTAGCTTTGCTTTAGCAAGACACCCTTTTTACACTACTTTGAATAACCAGTCCTTTCAATTGAGCCGATTCGAACAATTGATCATGCTCTAACTGCACTAGAAATACATGAATTCTCTACATTACCTTTCTTGTGCCATTAGAACACAGGCATCTATTCTGAAGTGCCACGACGCAGGTATGTGCATATTTTCCTTCCCTGGGAATAAAGTCAAGTAGTTCATCAAAATTACTTTATTTGGTCGCAAGTGCAAGTGGAAGTGTGCATTTTTTTCCCTTGTGATTTGTGTTTCCATGTTATGCTGTTTATCCTTAATGTTTCTTTCATGTGTTCTGTGTCTGCATTTATCAAGATAAGATTTTATCCTAAGAGAATTGGCTTTCAGAAGTAATGTTTCAATATGCATGCTCAACTAGATTTCTAAATAGTAGCGTGAGGCTAGCAAAATTATTAAAACTTCACCAGCATGCATCCAAACAAACCTGGAAAAGATATCCAGAAAAAAGTAACCCAAAAGATCACTTGAACTTGCATCCCAGACAGAAAAGAGACGAACTGTATCGTGCCAAGTCTCAGCATCCTTCATTTCCTCAAATCGCAGTGCTGCCAAAATAAGATGAGAGTAAAACACATCCAGTCATATTTTGGAAGAGGTATATCCAGTCGAATTTTATGAATAATGGGGGGTTATGGTTTATTCTCTGATGGGTACATCTTACCAAACAGATCTTGAAACATCTTCAATATTCCTGATATGACCAGGTCAACAGGGAAAAATTGTTTAATTTCACCAATATCAAGATCAACCTTGAGCTCCTCAGCTCTTTTCATGTAGTATAACAGGTCTTCCACGCTAAATTGAGCATCACCCTCCTCCTCCATCTGAAATTAGAAGATTGACTATGAGTTTAAATTGTTAATAAAAAGAGTGTAATCAATAAAAAGAAAGAGAGAGATCAATAAGAGCTTTGTCCAAAACCTTCAGATCTTTGAGTACGCTGAGCTCCCTATTAGCTAGGCCATTTAATTGTTCTGACATCTCCTCCAAAAACTCCAAGACCTGTAGGTACAAGTCCTTTAGAGCATGAGTGGGTCTTGGTATCATATGCAAATTTAGGTGAGCATGTGAAAGGGGATGCAAATGAAATGGCTAAACATCATCTTGTTGGAAAACTGATGATCTGAGAGTAATTATATCAGTATATTGAGACAAAATTAAGAATGCAGATTTAGCTAAAAAAAATCTCTAGCAGATCTGCATAATGGGAAAGTACAAACCTTCCTTGACGTCCTCGGCATTCTAGGTTCAATAGCATAATCAGCATAATTGGGATACCCCAGCAATCTAGCAAGCCGGTGTCTTAGCTGGACCTATTATTATGTTAAAAGGGGGGAAAACACAACTTGTCAGCTGCTGGTTTCCATTATGAACTGAGATTATGCATCTAAAATAAGCAATTGCTTTACCAGTTAAGAAATTAAAACATTGTAACGCTTAAGTCAAATAATGCTCATAAATGTGGATTGCACCCTAGTGCACCTCTACAGCACAGGTTGGACGTAAAATAATAAAATCCTATTTCAATGAGCTATAATGTTACATATCTTTCCTGGGTAATTGACCAACTGCAGCATAGAACTTAGTTGTGCGAAATAAATGAAATCATGAATCGAAAGGTATAAGTTCCTTATGAGTTTACAGATATGAATATTTGGAGTTACCAATTTTTCCAGGATGGCTATATTCTCTTTTCCACCTTTCTGGCCATAAGCAACAGCAATCAGTTTCCTGGTAGAGCCAACCTTGAAAACAAGAAATAAATTAGACCAGTTAGCGATTATATAAAAGAATTGTAGTAAAAAGATTCTAATCTTAAGTACTCCACAGCATATAATATTAAATGCCTTATGCAGATGTGCATGAAAAGAAGCACAAAATAGAGCTGACCTTGCAATGCTCAAGAATTGGAGTAACATGATAACTGGTCAGCAGAACCTTCCACTTCCCATTTGTATTTTCCAGTTCCTGAGTTGAACAGTCATTGTAATGTAGGATCAGATAGAAATAGTATCATCCTTTTTTCTCTTATCACACTTCAGTTCATTCGTAAAGTCCGAAAATAGCTTTCAATAAAAGCTGAGTACTCCCATTTTTTAACAGTCCAATGTTCGCACATTGTAGTTCCTAAAGGTAAACTCATTAAAGAATGATATTGGATGGATCATGGATGTGTGAACATTCGGAAGTGTGTATACTGCATCCTCCCAGCTTACCTTTAAGAACTCTAGTGGCATCCCAGCCAGGTCTTCCTCGTTCAATAGAAGAAATTTTGTGGAATCATTTAAGCTTTGAATATACTTCAAACTTAAGTCATCAATGTGAGATTTCAGTTTCTCCATCTCCGTTTTCTTGCTTTGAGTTAGTTTAGCACCATTGCGTTCAAACTCTCTTACCTGTATGTGTCATTGACATAATGATTGAATCAGCAAGCAGGTACTCGTTGGGTCAAGAAATATGCTGGGACACCTTTTAAGCAAACAGCATATCCTTTATTTCCCAACAGATTCATAAGTAAAGTAGCTATACATCCACTGTCTACCTTCAACTTTGATCTATAGCTAAAAACGAACAGATATTAATCTTTTAAAGTCAATAAATCATAGGTGAAATGCAAAACGAACAAGAAAAGATAGAGCACGCACAAAGGTACTCCCTCCATTTCATACTATAAGTCGTTTTAACTTTTTTCCTAGTTAAACTTTTTAAAATTTGATCAAGTTTATAGAAAAATATAGCAACATTTTCAACACAAAATAAACATATTATCAAAATATGCTCAATGTTACATTTAATGAAACAAATTTGGTGTTGGAGATGTTGCTAATTTTTTCTATAAATTTAATCAAACCTAAAGAAGTTGACTAGGAAAAAAGTCTAGGCGACTTATAATATGAAACAGAGGTAGTACATCGGATGAAGAAAAGATACAATGACAAGGGACATCTATAGAGCTGCGTGATCATAGCATCATTCAGAGAAGGGAATCGTCTACCATGCACTGGACAAATCTTGTTGCTTCAAGGCCTATTCTTTCACCTTTCTGTGTGAATGCCTTTATGACACGATACACATCTTCACGCTGCCTGGACACCTTGCACGAAAAAACAAGGTACTTATACTAGAGTCTCAACAGGAATTTATTAGATCGGAAAGGTCAATAACAGGGAATTCAGGTTATTGTTTTATTTGAAACAGGGGCCCTTGTTTTATTAAGGAAAGGGAATTCAGATTCTATTAAGAATGTGTTTTCTTAACCATATCACTTCATTTAACCATATCAACAATGGAAAGGAATGAATACTGGAATGATGTTATGTGTTACGAATGCTCACTGAATTGGTTATATAATAATACAAGTATCGTGGATTCTTAAGATACCAAGATACCAACCTATGTGCATGGTTTCACATTATTTATCAACAGTGATTGCAACTCTGTCTGGTAGATGTATAACTACCAGCAGTTACACCGTGTAGATAGAAAAGGAAATAAGTAACAAGTTGCACCTGCACTGCTGGAAGTGAGAATCCAATCGTTTCTCTGCTTCTGCACTGGCCCTTCGTACATCATCAGACGGTGAGACCATTCTAGGAAGCACACAGGCTTGAACCAGTGGGAACTGCTGAGCATCTAATTCCGCCAGAGGTGCAATGACATTAGAGAAGCTGACCTGCAACAGAACATATCATGTACCAAAATATGAAACCCGTGCCACTCTTTGGCTTTATGCAGGCAAATAGACAGTATAGGATGAATATATCCTGCCAGTGTTGAGGCATTTAAAAAGAACCCACACATTTATTCATGTCACATTATCAACTTAATGAAATTAAGAAACAACATACTGTAAAGCGTACGTGTTTCTGCTGCTATACCACAAAAAGCATTTCAACGTAATGGTGGGATGCAAATGAAATAATGCAGCATATACACATTCCAAAACAATGCCTAAGATTTGATTGAAAAGGTATATTCCATAAAAAATGCAGAGGCAGCAGAGTGTTGGATACATACTTTATCTAGGGGAACCGCAGCCACAGCGTCGTATGTTTCCTTCGACTTAGAAACGACGCGATCAGCTAATCTCTTGATGTCAGCAGCTGAGAGGTTGACTTGCGCAGTAAACCCTGGGAGCTCTGCAACCATCCAACACATTCAAACATTCAATCACGCGAAAACTACGCCACTAAATCTTCATAACTCCATGCCCCAAGAGTTAAATTCCTGCAATATTTATTGCGATCAAACACATATTTCTACATCTCACGCGTGGATTTGCGGACAGAAGGGCAACATTATGGGGGCCATTTTTCCACTCTTCACGCCCCCCCCCCCCCCAAAAAAAAAAAAAAAATCAACAGCGGATGCTACATTGCTACACAATTGAGCAGAAGCAGGAGAGGCGTGCACAGCTTGAGGAAAAAGTAGAGCGACATGAGGGGAGCATCGTAACCAAAACTCCGGGGGGGTTTCGGGCGGCGCGTACCTCGCCGCTTCCTGCGGCGGTGGGCGGCGACGGCGGAGAAGGCGAGGTTGAGGCCGACGGCGACGAGCGCCGCCGCGCCGGCCGCGGCGATGACCCGGCGCTCCCGCCTCCGGAGAGACATCGGGGCGGGAGGAAGCTTCTGGAAGGTTCTGGAAGGCGCGCCGCGGGCGGCGAAGAGGAGAGAGAGGGGAAAAAAAACGGAAGAGCAGCTGGAGCAGCGGGCGGCTGAGAGCTAGAGCTAAGCGAGCGGAGGTGACGATGATATGCGAGATCTGGCCGTTGGTATCCGCGTGGACGGCTGGATTTAAGGGAGATTTTTGCACGCCTCTATAGCTGTATACAGAAAATTGATTTGTACAGTACTTTCTACTTTGTTTATGCTGGTTGATAGCGGATTACCAGCTACAGGATCAGCATTAGGATTAATGCTAAAGAGATGGAAAGCTTGTCCATCAGGTTTTTTTTTCAAGCCAAAAGTCACTGTTGAGCTATAGAGCTAAAGATAAGATCTTCTGGATTTGTTCAAATAGAGTTTCGTTATTAAAAAAATAGAGTTTTGTCCCTATCTTTAAACATTGGCGTAGTGAATTTTAATCTTGGTTTTAAGGATGTGTTTGAGATGAGAGGAAATGAGACGATTGAGATGATACACGAAATGAGGTGAGCCGTTACCATATGATTTTTTTATAGGAAGCTGTTAACATATGATTAATTGAGTATTAATTATTTCAAACTTGTAAAAATGGATTAATATGATTTTTAAAGTAACTTTGCTATAGATATTCTTTTAAACGAAAAGACGTACCGTTTAGTAGTTCAAGAAGTGTGCGCGTAAAAAAAAGATAGACTTTTTTCTCTTGATCCAATACCATTTAACATAGACTTAATTAAGCAATGTAATATGATTAGCTTATAGCTTAAGAGCTCATTTAGAACACATGATTTAGAAAATAAAGGAATAGAAAAAATATAGAGATAGGATGACATGGATGTTGAATCTAAAAATGGTCCACATGAGTTTGTAACAAATGTCTTTTGGCAAAACCAAAGAAAAAAATATAGTAACTTCATGACTCTAGAAAGAGAGAGCATTAGGTTAGTTTTCCTCTGAAAATTTTATGAATTGATTATTCCAAAGGAATTTTAAAGAATTTTGTGGAAATCCAGTCCTTTGTTCCAAAGGATCAATTTTCATATAATTCTAATTCTCTAAATTTCTTCCATTTTTCCTTCGTTCCAAGGGTGTATTCTGTACCCTCTCAACTTCTATTTTTTTTTGTCACACGCATACTTCTCAAACTGCTAAACGGTGTTTGTTTAAAAAAATTTATATAGAAAAGTTGTTTAGAAAAACCATATTACTACCATATTTTAAGTTTATTTTTACTAATATTCAATTAATCATATACTAATGTGTCTTTTCATGATCGCAGCCTAAAGAGGCTCGTTTGTGCAGTGCCCATCGGACCATCTCTAAATACAAGCCCATGCCTCGGCCCACAGGCCCATGTGCATGCATCCGGGCCATCCGGCGCGTTGTGAAGGTTCAGATCATGAGCGAGTTTAATGCCTGTGTGCGTACGGAATCAAGTTGCACATTGCCAGTCATGACAAAAAAAAAAAGGTGTACAATGTAGACTCGTATACTAGCCGTCGATTCATCCTCTCAAACATGCCCTGATCCCGAAAAGGTTGTCCAACACACTGAAATTCCTGTGTATAATTATCCATGTTCTTGTTGAAATTGAACGTGCGTTACACGCACCATGCATGTCAAGTTGATTTTTTTTTAACACGGGAAATGGAAGACTGGGTTGATGGTAAGATATATAGAAAGAAATTTAAGCAAGCGGTAATCGGTGAAATAACTAGCTCTAGGATGATATCTTATATTTCAAGACACATTTTGAATGTTTAAGCTTCATATATTTGGGGACGAAGATACTAATAGATAACACCGCTCCATGATGGTGTGTCTGTTTATACCTCTGTGGTTAATATAGTTAGAGAAAATATAGTGCAAATCACATATCTAGTGGAAAACTAGAAACTACTCCTAGATTGAAAAATGAACATATAGGATTTTTTACGTTATAATAAGAGTAAAACTTTTATTCAACAATAGTTTTTTTATTTTCAGTGCACTTGTTTTTCATATAGATAATCCATCCGTGGTGTTTGAATATCCTACGCAAAATGAGGTGATAATAACGTGTGATTAATTAAGTTTTAATTTTTACAAACTTAAAAAATGGATTAATATAATATTTTAGAACAACTTTCATATAGAAAGTTTTCATACAATACATACCGTTTAGCAGTTTAAAAAGCGTGCCAGGAATATTTATAACTTAATCCACTTTTTTTAAGTGGAAACGAACTGAGCAAGAAATGTTGGTCCTGCGGCTTAGCTGTTCGTGGCCCGCGTGCCATCAACCCGTACTCTCTCTGTAGAAAAAGCAAATCATGGGTTTTCGTGTCCAATTTTGATTGTTTGTCTTATATAAAATTTTTTTATAATTCATAGTTTTATTATTATTAGATAATAAAACATGATTAATATTTTATGCGTGACTTATCATTTTAATTTTTTTCATAATTTTTTTAAAATAAGACGGATGCTTAAACGTTGGGCACAGATTTTTTTTTTATTTTTTTTTTTTTACGGAGGGAGTACGTCGTGGTGCCTGACTGGCGACTGCATCTTCATGGTGGACACGCTGGGTCCGTACGCGCGTGAAACCGACTGCTCACGCGCCCAAAGTACAGGGCAAGCTAAGCTATAGCTGTACTAGGCTACTGGCTAGCTAGTGCTACCGTGGTCCGTGGATGTGTACGAGCGCTGCAGGCAATGGCAGGGGGCAGCGTCATATTCACGTGGCAGACGAGGATGCATGGACCGCCGCCCGCCATTCGCTCGCCGGAGACATGCATAGCATACGTCTTTCTCTCGCCGGCCGCCACACTATTATGTCGACACGCTGTGCACACACGCACGGGTACATACGTCCAAATGTAGGCGTTTGCCTTTAATTTGCGAGCTGACCAATCCGAGAGAAACACGTTCAAAATTGGGTGGGTATACCATACTCCCTCCGTTGCGTAAAAAAAAACATTCTTCCTCCGTTTCTAAATATACACCATTGATTTTTAGCACATATTTTACCGTTCGTCATATTCAAATACTTTTGTAAAATATGTAAAATTATATGTATATATATATAAGTATATTTAACAATAAAGCACATGATAGGAAAAGAATTAATAATTACTTAATAAGAAAAACGGTTAAACATATTTTAAAAAATCAACAGCGTCGAATATTTTGAAACGGATGGAGTATTTTTTCAAGTATAAAAATGCTATATATAGGCATATATATATATATATATATATATATATATATATATATATATATATACACACACACACGTACATATACGAGTGATGTTGCGTGCGTCTGTCTCCATGGCGGTCTTCATACGTCTTCTTGGCTGAAGCATTCGGACGCGGCTGGTCACTAGTTAAAAGGCTATGTAGATGAGAAGCAGACTAAATATTAAATATTAATGGTATAGTATATATTTTTATATATAGGCTACTAGATTTATTGTAAGTGATATATTAATTGTCAAGATAATATACTAGCTGACTATACTTTTAAACTTAACTTAGAACTTAGGCTGCGTTCGTTCCTGCTAGTTACAAACTCACTCCTCATTTTTCTACACGTATGCTTTCTAAACTATTAAACGATGCGTTATTTTTACAACAAATTCCTATAAGAAAGTCATATTAATCCATCTTTAAAAAAGAGCTAATACTTAATTAGTTATACGTTAATAAGTCACTCTGTTTTAAGTAATGAACGTAGCTTCAGAGCAAGTGTAATAGAAGGCTATAAGTCGGCTAAATATTGAGGTGAAAGAGAGAGAGGAGAGGAGAGAGAGAAGAAACGAGCTGTAAACCTACAACCGGCTTAGACATAAGAACCAAGATGTTATATGAGAGAAACAAGTGGGCCATATATTAATGGTAAATAGCTATCTATTATATATGTAGGCTAAGAGAAGGCTGCAACAAATTTTATAGCCAACAAATCAGCTGTATTAGCCTTGCTCGGGTTAATTACTTTAAGCACGTATTTGCGTGTTGCCGTCTACGAAGTCTCTGGATTGTCATGCATGCATACAGGTAGGCATGGGCATGATTAAAGTCACTCGCAATCTTCCACTGGTATCTTCACGAAGGTTCAAATTCCTGAATGTTTTTAGAAACTCATCAGATGTGAAAAACAAAATCTCAGATTCTTACGGGAGTGAATTGGTTCCTGCCCAGAAACTCCGATATAAATCAATGAATCCAAACAAAGGGCTTATTCACTTTGATACCATTTTCAGCCATACCATTTTTTAAAAAATTAATTAAAAAATCTACGTTTAGTTTGTTGTCAAATTTAGTAAATACATAAGAAATCATATAAAAAATTTGACAATATTGCCATCTTGTTAAAATTTTAGCAATACCAAAATTTGGTAATGTTTATTTTGGCTACAATCTAAACAGACAAAAAAAAAAAGTCCTGATTGTTTCAAGGAAGAATGAGCAAGAGCGATAATTACCGGAGAAATCAAGTCTTTTACAAGGAAACACTACCATAATAATTTAGTTGGAACAGTAACAGAGTGAGATCAGTAATTTAGTTGGAACAGCAACAGCGTGAGATCAGTAATTTAGTTGGAACAGTAACAGAGCTGTAGCCAGTAAGCGAAAGGGCATGTAGCCATGGTTACCAGTGCCTCAGTAGCAACTGAGATCCTGGGTTCGACTCCCCATGGAAGTGAATTTTCCAGAATTTAACGGCGCTGTGCTTTCAGTGGTAGGCAATGTACCCGTCGACAGCGAGACGCATGTGGTGACTTCGTCAATTTATCCAGGATTTGCCGGCCCAGTCTTCGAAGATGCTCATAAGGGTAGGGTTTACGTGCGTGTGTTTATAAGGGTGAGTGCGCGTGCGTTGTGAGTGTCTGCGTTGTATTGTGTAATTCTTAAAAAAAAAAAGAGCTGTAGCCAGTAGCCTGTAAAGGCTCCCAGCACGAGAAAGATTCACAGCTGCAGGAAAATGACAAGATTTGGCAATCTGATGATCTGATCAGAACGGCGCCGCGCCGGCATGTGCAGATAAAAGAGCATCGGGATTCACGGGCACTGAGTAAAAGCAGCGTCGGGCCCTTTTCTAGCACGAATCTGGATGCTACAGGTATACCAACAGCAAAACGACTGAAAAAAATTGGGTCCAAACAATATGCACTACCACATATGGTGCCATGGTCCTATTCTCCGCTCTTTCCTTGCCAAAAAAGGGGCATCGATCGCGACATGCAACCAAGGCTCAAGTCGTGATTAAAAAAAACATATAGTCATTCCAGATCATTAATCTAAACAAGAACTACTGCTTGACGGGAGGAAGTAAAATAAATATCAAGCATGAGACACATTTCCGGCTGCAACATCGAACAAATAAAAGAAGGGAAAGAAAAGATGCTATTGCATGTGTTCAGTAAGGCACGAAAATAAAATAGAACAAACCGTAGTCCTCTCTTGGTCAATGGCAATATTGATCGTACCGTGCTTCCTGAATCCTTCTCCCGACCGTTTTCATGGTCACATGCACCTGAAAAAGAGAAACTAAATAGAGAATAAAGTGATAATTATCATCAAATCAACATGACACGACAGTACCATCCATCCATACAGACCACACACACAAAAAAGAAGACATTACCACTTGCTAATACAATTGAGATGTGCTTCTATGCTCCTCAGAAAAAAAAAAGCACGAATGTTAAAGATGGTGAATGGTCTAGATTAAAAGGTGATTAACAGGCTAAACGTTATTAGGAAGGGCAATTTCGTCCTTGAGGTAGTTACCCATATCCCAAACGTTCAATCCTGATGCAGCGCCGCCCCGACTGCCGCCGCATTCGATCGCAAGTACAAGAGAAAAAAAGAAGGCATTCCATGATTCCAAAACAGCGAATCCTCCTCTGTTCCGGCTACACATGTGCAGCACCTCAATCCACCATTTGATTGGCATCCATGTTCTTGCCAAATCAAAAAATGAGATGGGGGTAGAGATAAGAAGCATGACAAGAAAAATCAGAAATGGGCGAAGGCAGGGAGCACGCCGCGGTAGACCAACGGGACAGGCGGTGTGGCGAGAGGAGGAAGAAGGGGGTGGCGCAGCAAAAGTATACGGGCGATGCACGGTGGAGGAAGCGAGCACGATCGCTGAGAGTCATCGATTTGTAACTCCTCATCGGCTGATCGAGTATGTGATAACTTCACAGGACAAAATTGCCCCTCCCTAATGACTTTTACTCTGTTAAGCAACTTTTAATCTAAATCATTCATGAGCTTTAATATCCGTGCAGGTTTTTTTAGTGAGAAGCATAGAAGCACATCCCAATACAATTTCTTTTAAGTTCACCTGCTACTAAAACATGTTCTGCGACGTGGATAATGAACAGAAGATAAGATAAAACCACGAAGTATGAAAGTTAAGCACTCATTTTCCCATTCTTTCTTCCCAAGTACATCACTTATATAAAGTAGCGGATCCAGAAAAAAATAGCAGGTATCCTATACCTATTAATAGTTTACTTATCAAGTAATAATATTGTAATTAACATGGCCAAAAACAAACATCCTACCAGGTGTCGTGTGCCCCAGGCTCTAGGTTCTACCTTCTCTTCCACAACCACAAGGTCCTAACCAACCAAATTGGACGCATGTATGTGTCTTTCGCTCACCTTCTACTCACATGCCGTCCTCTTTTGCATTGGCCACCTCGGTAGTTCAATGATCATGCACTCGATCGTACAGCCGAAGGACTCGATGCAAGTGCACGCATGGTGGACACATGCATGTCTGCACAGCACACTGTTGGCAGTTTCCACTGCCACCGAGATGCCGCTCCAAAGTTGCCGATCCGGCGTCAGGATGCCGTAGCGAGATTTGATCTCTGTGGGCAACTTGGATTGGTGTCCCGGTTTGCCATACTTTCTGTCTGCATCTCATAACATGTTGCAGATATAGCCATTGCGTTTGGATAAACACTTCAGCTGTAGTTACTACATTTTCTTTATGCTGCAGCTCAAGGTACCTTGGAGGCCCGGACATGGAAATGGAATCTCAAAAATCATGGATATGTCTTTTTAAAGATCAGAGCACTTCTTGTCGTGAACGAGTTGATTGCAGGTCCGATTAAAAAGAGGAGATCCCAAGTCCAGATCCTATAAGTCATATGCAATCAGGTTCTCCTTTTGGTCTGCTCTTATCGGCTCTGCACTCCTCACTTTGTTTGCTGGCTCTCTTTCAAGTTTGCCTTAGCCCTAGACTCTTGCCTTGCTCCAATGTAACAGTGCAGTTCCTGTCATCTTGGTGTTCTGTTTCTCTCTGCCATAAGCCCATTATCCGTCTGGTGATTTCGGCATTGGATGGAGACCTTAGCAGTATTGGATTATGTCCGCATAGCATCGTTCGCTATCTTGCTGGTTTGGATCCTTGCAGAGCTTGCCAGGCTGAACAAGAGACATCGCCGAGAAGGACATGGCGACATGGTTTCATCACAAAGAAAAGGGGAAGTCCTGCTACCAGCTTATATAATTGTACTTTGCAATGCTTCAATCTCCTTGATGCATATTTGTTTTTCTGTTCTTGTGTTCTGGAAGCGCCAAACTGTCTCCCTGGATTTGATCTTCAAATCAGTCTCATGGCTTCTAGTGACTCTCTTCTTGCTCTACTGCAAACATGAAGGTGCAGGAGTTGTATCCAACTGGCCTTCAGTTCTTCTCTCGTGGTGGTTCTTCAGCTTCTTATCCGAATCACTTCTCACTTCGTTGCATTTGCTTCACCTCTTCAACTCTGCAACTGTTGTCGATTTCACTTCTCTTCCCTTGTGCACATTCATCTGCCTCGTGGCAGTAACTATGAGACCTTCCAAAGCAAACCAGCAAGACCAGAACCAACCGCTGCTTGTGAGAGAAGACAGTGATGACAGTAGCACAGACAGGTTCTCCAACTCCGGGTGGTGGAGCTGCCTCACATTCCAGTGGTTAAACCCAATCTTTGAGAAGGGACACAAGGTGCGTCTTGAGCTCGACCATATCCCATCTGTTCCACAGTCTGACACGGCAAACCAATCTTATGCATTGCTTCAAGAGACACTTCACAAGCAGAAACCTGAGCCAATGCCTATGCGGAGAGCCATTATTTGTGCTGTCTGGACACCTTTGATCGCCAATGGAGTCTTTGCAGGTTAGTGAGCCATTGGAAGAACAAAAGTGGAGCTACCCTTTGACCTTTATATTATACTAACATGATGCTTTGCATTTATTACCAGGGCTTAACACTATTGCTTCCTATATGGGGCCATTCTTGATCACCTACTTAGTGGAGCTACTCTCTGACAAGAATCCTGACAAGGGCCATGGCCATGGCTACATGCTAGCATGCCTTTTCTTTGCCTCAAAGACAGTGGAGTCACTTTCACAGCGGCAATGGTATTTTGGTGCCCGCAGGATTGGTTTCCGGGTGCGTGCAGCACTGATGGTATCCATCTATCAGAAATCCCTGCTGATGAAGAACTCAAGCACAGCCAGCGGGAAAATTGTGAACTTCCTCGATGTCGATGTTGAGAAGGTTAGCGAATTCTTCTGGTACGTACATAGAATTTGGCTGCTACCCTTGCAAATATCCTTGGCACTTGCCATTCTCTACCGTAGCCTTGGTGCAATGGCCTCGCTGTCTGCAGTCCTTGCAACAGTTTTGGTTATGGTGAGCAACACACCACTTGCAAAGTCACAGGAGAACCTCAACATGAAGATCATGGAAGCGAAGGACTCACGGATAAAGGCTATGGCTGAAGCAATGAAGAGTATGAGGATATTGAAGCTGCATGCATGGGAGACAGCTTACTTTGACAAGCTACTGAATCTAAGGGATGTGGAGAGGGGATGGCTCAGGAAATATCTCTACACATGTTCAGCAATTGCCTTCCTGTTTTGGGCCTCACCGACCTTGGTGTCGGTTGTCACATTTGGTGTATGTATTCTTGTGGAGATGCCATTATCAGCTGGAACAGTCTTATCCGCCGTTGCCACGTTCAGAATCCTCCAAGATCCAATCTACAACCTCCCAGAGCTCGTTTCAATGGTCACACAAACCAAGGTGTCCCTAGATAGAATTGAAGAGTTCATCAAAGAAGAACACCAGGGGAAGCCAAGTCGTTCTGACAATAACACTAGGACTAAGGACCTGTCTATGACTGGTGCAATGGAAATTGAACCAGGGGTATATGGTTGGGAAATTGACAATAGCTTGAAGAAGACAAAATTCATGCTTAAGATTGACAGAAAGCTGAGCATCAGCAAGGGTCAAAAGGTTGCAGTGTGCGGGCCAGTTGGTTCTGGTAAATCAAGCCTCCTTTACAGCATCATGGGGGAGATCCCAAGGATTAATGGTGCAGAAACAACAGTTTTTGGGTCAAGGGCATATGTTGCGCAGAGTGCATGGATTCAGACTGGGACAATTCAAGACAATGTGCTCTTTGGGAAGGATATGGACAGAAGCTTCTATGAGGAGGTGCTGCATGGTTGTGCTTTGGATAGAGATTTGGAGTTATGGGCCAATGGTGATATGACTATGGTAGGGGAGAGGGGCATGAACCTGAGTGGAGGCCAGAAGCAGAGGATTCAGCTTGCCAGAGCATTGTATAGTGATTCTGATGTTTACCTCTTAGATGATCCCTTCAGTGCCGTGGATGCACACACCGGAGCACATCTCTTCAAGGTACAGTACATGAGAAATCTGCAACAGTTTAGCTGTAATGAGCTTCAAATGAAATGTACAATAATGTTACAGCACAAAGGCACAAAGCAAGAACCATAATCAAAACAGGAAAACACAAAAGTATTCCACCCATTAGACAATCTGCAAATTATCTATAAGCAATCAAGTACCAAATCTAATTAGTAACCGCAAATGGCTTACTCACTGAATCGTGAGATCATCAGCACAAATATTTCTTCAATTTGTGAAATAAACTAATTCATATTTTGCATCTGCAGGAATGTTTACTGAGGCTAATGTCCTCTAAGACAGTCATATATGTTACTCATCAGCTAGAGTTCTTGAGAGATGCAGATCTTGTTCTGGTAAGGTATCAACTCAATTTCAACATGTTACTAATTTTAACTTGTGATAAAATGGTTGGTAATTGTTAGCTTTAGGTCAAATAAAATGGCTATATTGTTGTAAATATCTTAATTTGAGCAGCTGCTAGGGATGCAAGTGGGTCATATTGGACTTTGGTCAGCCCATTGATGCATCCTAGTCCCTTTGCTTGACCATTAATGCAAGTGCCACACGTGCAAAATAAACATCCAACTAAATGGGAAGCGAACCACTAAGTGGGTGGGTTTTGTATCCTTCAAACCTGTCACAAGCTGTCATATTTCATTTTTGCAATAATTACTAAGAACATACATGTAGAGTTATATGGTCTAACATATGATTGCAAATGTCCAACTGTAGGTCATGAAAGATGGAAGGATTGTTCAATCCGGAAAATATGATGATTTGGTAGCAGACAGGAATGGAGAACTCTCAATGCAAATGGCTGCACATAACCAATCCCTTAGTCAGGTCACACCTGCAAAAGCACATGTCTTGACTAAAAATAAGAGTCACAAGAGAAGGCAGACTGAGCTCACAGAAATAGAATTAGATCACAATGTAATAGGCAGGGAATGCGAGGAGGAGCGCGAATCTGGAAGAGTTAAATGGGATATTTATCGCAAGTTTGTCAACTCTGCATATGGCGGAGCTCTCGTTCCTGTTATTCTTGCATGCCAAGTCCTTTTCCAGGGATTGCAGATATGTAGCAACTATTGGATTGCATGGGCAGCTGAGAGGCAGGAACAAGTAAGCAGGGAGAAGATGATAGGTATCTTTGTGCTGTTATCAGCTGGAAGTTCTGTGTTTATATTGGGAAGAGCTATTGTCCTTTCAACGATTGCCATTGAAACTGCTCATCAGTTCTTCTTAGGCATGACCAGGAGTATTTTTCGAGCACCAATCAACTTCTTTGACTCCACTCCATCAAGTAGAATCCTCAATAGGGTGAGCCAACTACCTCTTCATTTGAATATCGTAATAAAAACGCCCCTTACTTCCAGTTCTCACGGCTTAGTTTTCTGCTTTGCAGGCTTCAACAGATCAAAGCACAGTTGACACAGACATTCCCTACAGGCTTGCAGGGCTTATCTTCGCATTAATTCAGCTCCTCAGTATTATTTTCATCATGTCTCAAATTGCCTGGCCTATATTCATTCTATTCATAATTATAATTGCCATCTCTACTTGGTATCAGGTACACCTTCATTCATTGCAATATGTTTTCCTCAGGTTTGAAAATGCTAGTAATTTGTAAAAACTTCATGCAGAGCTATTACATCTGTTCAGCTAGAGAACTAGCAAGGATGGTTGGCATAAGAAAAGCTCCAGTCCTCCACCATTTTTCAGAGACTGTATCAGGAGCAGCAACTATTAGATGCTTTAATCAGGGAGAGAAGTTCTTCAGGAAGAGTCTTGCGCTAATTGATGACTACTCCCGCATCACTTTCCACAATTCAGCAACAATTGAATGGTTATGTGTTCGCATCAACTTCCTCTTCAACCTTGTCTTCTTTGTGACGCTAGTCATCCTTGTCTCAATGCCTCGAAATACTATTGATCCAAGTAAGCGTTCCCATGAAAAAATAGTATCGTATCTAACAGCTATAATTAGATCTGCAGTCTTGCATTGCATTCCTGCTTATTCTTTTTGGTAAAACAGTGTTTGTTGTTACAAAAAAAAAAAAGGATTTACAGAGAAACCATGTGGTTGTATTTTACGTTTTTCAGAAACCCTAAATGTGTAACTCTACAGTACTTTGATAAATCACAATATTATTACATGGCTATAAACTCTAACCCATTTTGGTTTTCTCCTTGTTTAGGCCTCGCAGGGCTGGCAGCTACCTATGGCCTTAACCTTAATGTGTTACAAGCATGGGTCATATGGAATCTGTGCAACGTTGAGAACAAAATGATTTCAGTAGAAAGAATTTTGCAGTTCTCAAACATAACAAGTGAGGCCCCTTTAGTCATTGAGGACTGTAGACCAAGAGAATCATGGCCCTGGTGTGGAACCATTCAGATCGATTCTCTCCAAGTGAGGTACAACCCGGACATGCCAATGGTGCTCAAAGGCATAAGCTGCACAATTCCCGGAGAAAGGAAAATTGGGGTGGTAGGACGGACAGGGAGTGGGAAATCGACTCTAATTCACGCCTTGTTTCGGATTGTTGAACCATCTGAAGGACGGATACTCATAGATGATGTTGATATATCGCTTTTGGGAGTGCATGATCTGCGGTCAAGATTAAGTGTTATACCACAAGAACCGACTCTTTTCCAAGGGACAGTCAGAACAAACCTGGATCCTCTACAGCAGCATCTGGACACTGAAATATGGGAGGTAAACAATCTATAAAATATAGTGCTGTGAAGATGCTCTTCCAAATGAAATTTCTTTAAGTGTCTATAGCTGTTATAGGTTTTCAAGAAAGCAGTTAACAATTTAAAGACAGCTTCCTTTATCGAGTCTAGTGCTGATTTTTCCCCCCCATCTTTTAGGTTTTGCATAAGTGCCGCCTTGAGGAGATTGTGAGAGAAGACAGTAGATTGTTGGATGCACCAGGTATGAAGAACTATCTTTCCTTGCAGCAGTTTTAATTCTCACGTTCCAAATTCCTTGCTCGAGATGGACAAGTTATATGACTAAAGTTTGATGTTGCAGTTGTTGAAGATGGGGGAAACTGGAGCGTAGGACAAAGGCAACTTGTATGCTTGGCCAGGGTATTGCTAATGAAGAAGAAAATACTTGTTCTGGATGAAGCCACAGCATCGGTTGATACCGCAACAGATAATATCATCCAAAAGACTATAAGGCAAGAGACAAACAATTGCACAGTTATTACAATTGCACATAGGATTCCTACTGTGATTGACAGTGACCTTGTTCTTGTCCTAGGTGAAGGTAAAAGATATCCACGAATAACCCATGTTTTTCCTTTGGTTCAACAAAAGCAATTCTAATTTATAAAAAACTATATTAAGCGATGGAAGTACCTTTTTTATTGTTCGTACTGCAGGTAAGATACTAGAGTTTGATTCTCCAGAAAATCTCCTCAGAGATGAATCATCAGCTTTCTCAAAGCTGGTGATGGAATTCGTGGGAAGATCATCATAGGGTAGACATCAACCAGAGTTAACATAGAGATATCAAGCAGCCACCAACCTACTTAACTCCATCTAGACTTGTATTTATCAACATTGAAACTAACAGGGCATGAAGAAGGTTTACGAGTGGACAGCAGGCATCAGAAGTACAGAAGGAAATTTTGGTTTAAGTGAAGACTATGCTAGCATTAGATACTGATCTTTTCCTGATCTAGCCCTTACCAATTGGACAGTTGCTGAATGGTGTTCATATTATATTGGCAATGCAAGTGATCTTAGATAGATTCATATTCTTTTCCACCAACTACTAGATCAAAATAAATTGTAGCCTTAATTATATTCACCAAATCATTCGTTGTTGATTTGTTTGGATAACCGGGGTATTTTTTATATTGGTTGTCACAGTACGATGCCACCCTATAGTTTGATTTTGTAAACAAAAAGGGGCATAGCTCCTATTTCCATGCCACCATATTTGCTGAAATAACACATGGATCGGTTTTTAGCACATCAGAATTTCCAGGTAACAGAAACATATCAAGAGCAGCGCCTACAGCTCCTCCCACCAGTTTAAGAATACCGGGTTTCTACTCCACAAGCACTGATGCACAATATGCATTAAAAAAACGCCGAAGCTGGCAGATCAGAAAGTAATTGGAAATACAAATCCATGGTCCCTAAATGCTACGATCAGAAACAGCGGGGCGGGTTGGGAGGGAGTCCATACCGAGCGTACGCCCTGCGAGGCAAAAGGTCGAACAGTTGGCGAGCACTTGAAAACGCCCCACGGCTCCATTACACGGTCGCCCTCCCCCACCAGCTCCAGCTCCCCTCCCTCCCACGGACCCGCACGCACGGCCGAACGCGAAAGCAGGCTGGCCAGCGCGTTCCACCGCCGCTGTCTCGCTCTCTCTCCGCCGCCACCGCCGCCGCCGCCGCCAGCCTGCGCGTTCCACCGCCGCTGTCTCGCTCTCTCTCCGCCGCCGCCACCGCCGCCGCCGCTGCGGCGGCGGCGGCATTGGTCTGCGTCGCCGTGGTGAATTCGTTGTAAGGCCCAATCGGACGGAAATCCAAATTTTGGTGGGCCTAGTTGGGCCTCCGCCTTCTCATCTCATGGGCCATTATACTGTAGCAAAAGGACTGAATCTCTCACTGACATGTGGGGCCCACGACCTGCCTTATCCTCTCCTGTTTCAGCTCACTTAAACCCCTCGACGTCGCCACCGCCGGCGACGCCGTCGTCCCCAAAACCCGAGCAAGAATGGCGGCCACTCCGGCCACCGCCACCTTCCCGCACCTCGGCCTCCGCCCCAAGCCCCTCCTCAGGCGCCGCCTCCGCCGCATCGCCGTCTCCGTCTCCCCCTCCGGCCCCGACGAGACCCCCGCGGATGACCCGCCGGTGATCCCCTCGATCCTCGTCAAGAACACCGAGCCCGAGGACGTCGCCCGCCGCCGGAGCTGGGTGGAGCACGGGTGGGCGCCGTGGGAGGAGATCATGACCCCCGAGGTCGCGTTCGCGCGGCACAGCCTCAACGAAGGGGAGGAGGTGCCGCTCCAGACGCCGGAGTCGCAGGAGGCGTTCCGGATGCTCACCCCGGCGTACCGGGAGAAGGTGGAGTCCGAGCCCGGGTACGAGGAGCGCCTCTTCGCCACGCGCGACACGCCCGAGCCCCTCGAGACCTCGTGGGCCGGCGAGCTCCCGCTCCGGCTCGTGCCGCCGCGGGACTGGCCGCCGCCGGGGTGGGAGGTGGACCCCGGCGAGCTGGAGTTCATCAGGGAGGCGCACAGGGAGTTCACGGAGAGGCTGGACATGGCGGCGGTGGCGGCCAAGGGGGTGACGCACGTGGACAAGGTGGAGAACGCGCCGGATGATCTGGGGCTGGATCGATACAAGATGTTCTTGAAGCAGTACAAGGAATGGGTGGAAGCCAATCGGGACAGGTTGGAGGAGGAGTCCTACAAGGTAAAGCCGTTAATTTTGTTCGATCATTTGTGTGATGGTTTGATTTAACTGGGAATTTGCGTTTGACTGTGCATTGTGTTAGTTAGATGTAGAAGTGTTCATGCTTTAGTGGTCTGTGCCTGTAATTAGATATCTGCAGACCAATTGCTTCAGTTCACATTGGTTATGGAACGTGTTGGCATGCTGCTAATTACTATGATAATTATCAGAGGTGATAAGTTCACAAAGGATGGAAGAAATACCTGTAGAATGTAACAGTAGTCCAAAATCATTATTCTGGTAATAACTAGATAGTTGAAAATAAACCTTTTTAGTGATTACTGCAGTGGTTTATTGTGAATTTGTGATATCTTAATAAAAGTATTTTACATTTGTATGAACAGTCTACTATTATCAGAAAACCTAGACAACGGTATCCCGTTGGAACGGGATACCCTTATATGAGACTTACCTAATACCTAATACCTGTTGTGGTACCAGCTGCATGGTACCCTATACCTGTGATACCTGTTACCCGGTACCTGTGATACCTAGGACCTGATACCTGTGATACTCGTGCAAGAGAATAGTTAATATATCTATCCCGTTGCAACGGGATCCCCTTTTGTAGCGGCCCTCTACTATTATTGTATTTTCTTATCACTTAAAAAAAGTTCCTTTTCGACCCAAAAAAAAAAACTGTTATGGTGTTCAGAACCCCCTCAGATGCCTATTTCCTTGTACGTCATGAACACCTGTGTCCTAAACTCTTAGGTTCGATGTTGGCAAGTTGTTTTGTTATTCATTTGAGTGGCTCGGTATTGTCTGTTTTATGCTCTCTTCAGAGAGAGGCACGTCAGATAACCATGGGTTGATTTTATCTCCTGTAACTAAGCTTTGTTTGTTGGTTTAGACCTTTAGTTTAGGGGTTGAGTCTCACTTGTCATCTTTAAGAGTATTTGTAGTGTTCTAGGCGGTAATACCCCTCTTTGGCTATTTTTGTCGTGCAGTTTGATCAGGATTACTACCCTGGCAGACGGAAAAGAGGTGAGGACTACAAAGAGGACATGGTATGTTCATTACCTCTTGACAATTCACTGCCTGGTCAATTTTAATTTCTTGATATTATTAGTTCCTGATGTCTTGATTGCTTTTATGCAGCTTGAACTCCCGTTCTTCTATCCTGGACAGGTTTGCTAGAAGTTCTGATTGTACTCTCATTCTTCAGCAATTTGTTGACTGTTCTCGCCCTTAAATTCTGATTGTTTGGTTGAATGCATCTCATGCAGATCTGTCGTGGTCGAGTGATCAGTGTTCACCTCTATCAGGGAGCTTTTGTGGACATCGGTTGTGTTCATGATGGGTATGGTTTCTTGTTCTGATATACAATTGTGGACCTGGTATACTTATTTGTGAAAGAATTCTGCGTGCCATTTACATCTCATTATTTGTTTAGGTGGGTACCAATAAAAGGAAATGATTGGTATTGGATCCGTCATCACATCAGACCTGGCATGGAAGTCCATGTAGAGATTCTGGTTAGTGATCTCAAATTTCACTCTTACAGTGGTTAATGATATGATGGCAGCAATACAAAAGATTAAGGAAATATTTAAGAAGTTCGCATTGCTAAGTGAATATGCCAATTGTGTCTTTTCAATTTGCATTAACTGAAAATGAATTTATTTTTCATAGAAAAAGTTTTATTCCTTTGTTGCCTGAGTTGTGGAAATTTCTTTAATTAATTAATGGAGCTTGTATAACTGTATGATGCAGGCCAAACGAGATCCCTACCGCTTCCGTTTCCCACTCGAAATGCGCTTTGTATATCCTAACATTGATCATCTAATGTGAGTATCATCATTTGAAATGCGTGTGCCAATGATTTCTGACAATCTGGAGGTTTCAGTGCCCTGTGTCTTGTGCATTTCTTCAGTTTGTTTTTAGTTGACTAACTGTTTGTCATCTTATTTTTCTTTCTAACCGCAGATTCAATAGGTTCGACTATCCACCAATATTTCACCGCAAGGAAGATACTAACCCAGAGCAGTTGTGGGTGTGACCTCTGTCCTCCTGAATCCATAATTTTGTTGAACTTAATAATTTGTGCATTCTCACGTACTAGTTTTGCCTAATGAAATGCATACTCTTCAGTATTGTGCTGTGCATGCATCTGACTCGTATATGCACTGACAGCGTGAAGGTGGAAGACCACCTATTCCTAGGAAAAAACCTTTGAAAGATATGGAGAAAGAACCTTTGGTATCAGACCACCCCTTTGTTGAAACGGTATCTCTTGACCATGTCTCAAATGATAACATGCTTATCATGCCTCTCGCCACCTATATAAGCATCCTCTGGCAGCTTTCATGCCTTGTTTCCTTCTATTCCTGTATTAAATTGATCCTTTTTTTGTTTGCAGCTTTGGCTGTGGCATAATGCAGAGCAAATGATTTTAGACCATGAGGAGGAAAATCCAGATAAATTCAAGGATACGACATATGAGTCCACAGTTGATAGTTCCATTGTTCATGAAGAAAATAGAGTTCAACATACTGAAGGGTATTTCAAAGACACACTGCTGAAAAAGGAAGTTGTGGTACGCAGTCATACGTAGCTACTGATTACTAGCTTTCAATTATCGTAGGGTGTTTTTTTTACAGTACAATGATCCCCCAATGACATTCTGGTTGTGTTCTGAACTCTTCTGTTAGAATATAGATATCAAGGAGCTTGATCTGGATGCCGCTCGTGCTGAGCGTCAGGTACCCTTTCCCTCATAGCGAGGACAATTCTTTATTGATCACTCGCTATTTCCTTTCAACATACTGAAGTTTAATTTCTGCAGCTGATAAAAAAACTAAGAAAGGAAGCAGAGGAAAGAGGAGAGGAATACAAAGTAGGGAAGCTCCGACGAAACAAAGAAATGGATGAGTACGATCTAATGCAATGGCGCCGTTCTTTCGAAGAGCGGGAAGCTCTTATCAGAGACATATGCTGGTAATTGCAACTAATGTTACTACTGCTACAAATTTGATGCCACCGAATGTATATCCACTAACTCAAAAATTGGCAGCCGTAAAGCATTTGGGCTTCCTGTCGACGAACCTGGGCGATATGACGTGGATGAGACCGAAGTTTATGGCAAAGATTACTACGACCCGAGTAAGCCTATGTACCGCTACGACTACTGGGGAGAGCCCAAGAACACCGAGAAGACCAAGCTAGAGAGGGAGGTGGAGCTTCACAACCAGCAGGTTATCGGAGACGCGAAGAAATGGTGCGAGATGTCGTACGACGACTATGTCCGGCAGAAGGTGCGGATGGAAGCCGCTGAAGCCAGGGAGAGGCAGAGGAAGGCATCGGAGCCACAGGAGGAGGACGAGAAGTATGAGGATGAGATGGACCTTGACTTGAAGAAGATGATGGATCCCCAGGCGCCACACAATCGGTGTTTCATCACAAAATGACAGGTTAGAATGTTAGGCACACTATGATTTAGACATAGTAGCTCTTTTTTTGGGTGTTGTATGTGCAAATTTTGTAGGAGATGTAACACTGTTGATGATAGACCAGCAATATGCTTTGCCTGGCATAGCCCTGGATGAAGCCACAGTTGAAGCTAGACTGCTAGAGGCTATGCTGTTTGCTTGGTCACCTGTTCAAAGCTGTAATTTTGGCAATTTTATGTGTGATGGTTTTCTGAAGAATGCAAAATTCAGTTGGTATTGGAAAGTGAAAGAGGAGTTTAGCCAACAATTTCAAAGTCTATGTCAGAGCAATCCAAATTGACTGACTTTAGCATGGAAAATCCACCGTGAACTCCACTTCACAGCTTAAAAAAAAAGCTCTGCAAATCTGCAATTACAGGATGATTGCTTGGATTAATAGCAGGCTATGTGGATTAATGCAGAAAACATAAGTCAACCCTCTCCAACTGGGGAAAAAATGAAGCAACATAAAAGGGGAAAAAAAAGATCTGGCATTGTCTTCGTTGACCTGACTTTGGCGTTCTTCATCTGAACTCCTCGTTTATTGGCTAATCTATGGTTTGTGGACCTGATCAACACCAGACGGGTTAACTACGTCTACATTTGTTATGATTAATTGCGCCATTAGGATATTAATTAATCTGGCAGTCTGTTTTATACGTGAAGCTTTGTGTAAGTTGCTCTTAGTTGCGTAACTGCAAAAGTTTGTGCCAAAAAAAAAATGGCCGCTCGTAAAATGTCCCTTACACGAATCGCCACCATGCAGGTCTTGTTAATCGCTTAATTACTCACATAGTTAAGAAAATTGCGTTCGAGAAAAAAACATAGTTAAGAAAATTATTGTATTTTAAACTGTCAGTAGAGTAAACTATGGGCTAGACAGCAACATTTTTCGACAATTCTGAAATCATAATAGATTTTTTTCGGTTGAATTTAAACTGTTTTTGCACACCCACCCACAGATTCACCATATTGGCGTGGCGGTAAATTCCGCCAATTTTATTTTTTGCGGCGCGAACGAGGTGCATGCAAACATGAATTGAACCAAGCCCGGATCTACCGCCGCCGCAGCAGCACGGACAAAAAAATAAAAATAAAATAAATAAATAAATAAATAAAAGCGCGCCAATAATTCATCATCCATAATACAAGCAGCCGCAACTTGCTTCTTCCTCGGCATATTCTTCTCCATGCTCCCCCCCTCCAAATTCCGATTCCTTCATGTCCACGAGGTACTCCGAAAGAGAGAGTAGTAGTTTTCTGCAAGCTAGAGAGAGCGAGGAGAGGGAGACAGTCCAGTAGGGAAGGCAACGGTTGCAGCAAAGAAATCTCGAATCCGTCGATCGATCGAGCGGAGCAAGATCGCCATTGGTGCAGAGGAGAGAGAAGGAGGAAGCATTTTAGGGAGGAGGTGAGGTGAGGTGAGGTGGGCTATAAATATAGTTGGGGAGGGGAGGGAAGACCCGGGATTAGGCGAGGAGAGGGAAGGAAGGAGGGAGGGAAGGGACGCACCTTGGGGGGTGGGAAGGAGAAGGGAGAGCCATGGGCGACGACGGTGGTGGTGATGGCGGCGCCTCCTCCGCGGGATTCTCCTACTTCGCCGTCTTCCACAACTACCCCCTCGTCGCCGCCTTGCTGGGCTTCGCCGTCGCGCAGTCCATCAAGTTCTTCGTCACCCGGTTCGTACGCCCTCTGCCCCCTCCTCCTCGCGACCTCAATTCGAATCTCATGGGGGGATTCGGATGATGTTCGGTGGAACTCCGGTTTCCTCTCCCGGAGATCTGATCCGGCCGTCAGAACAATCGGTTTCGATTCTTTTTTTTCTTTTTGCTTGCTTAGAAGAATGGTGGAATTGAGAATGTTAGGATTCCGTATAGATTTATTATCGAATGATTTCGGGGAGTTTGAGATGGGGGGCAAAGGAATTGCCGGTGATCTCTTCGGTTTAAGAACCGTTTAAAGGAGAATAGGTGCCATTTAGATTTGCTTAGATTTAATGTGCGTTTTATTCATGGCTAGACTACAATCGACAATTTGACATGTTATTGTGTGCATTTGAGAAATTGGAGTACTTTCACAAGTGAGAAAATTATAGGTATGAATTTTCTTGCTTGACATTGTTTTGTTATCCGATTTCCACTTTGGATTAGCAAGTAGCTCGATGGTGATTGTTGTGCCATTTGAGCCAATTGCAGAGGATACAAAAGCATTGTTTATTCTTTGTATAAAAAAGTTTTCTTTGCGCGCATTGTAAATCTTAACTATATCTTAATTCGGGTAGAAGGACATAGATTTTGTTCATTGACATCAGCCTGATGCAAGATGAGCAATGTATCTTGTGACTTAGTTCTCATTATGTCCTTTTATGATAGAAAATATTGCAACAAGTTTAATGTGTGTTTGTTCTGAAATTAAGGTATAAGGAGAACAGATGGGATCCTAAGCAGCTTATCGGTTCTGGTGGCATGCCATCGTCACATTCTGCCACAGTTACAGCACTAGCTGTAGCGATTGGCTTCCAAGATGGTTTTGGCTGTGCCCTATTTGCGACAGCAGCAATATTCGCAAGTGTGGTAGGTTATCCATCTCGTATCCTGTTTAATTAGTTCAATCGAGTTCCTTTGTTCTGACAAAGACAACGAGCATTGATGGTGTTGCTTGGACTCAATTTCTTGCCTCGACTTGGACACCATGATGTTGAGTGTAGGCATTGTGCAAGAGTTTTTGTTGATTTCCTGTTTGTTATTATTAAACATGTAGTCCCCATCGTTTCGCTTATTGACTGAAGGACATAGATTTTGTTCATATTTACAAACGAAAAAAAAATTGTGAATAAAACTTTTATATACGTGTTCTTAGCAATCTAAAAGCAAAGGCTGAAAAATAAACTTCGATGAACAAACCCTAAAATCAACTTCAAATTTAAGGTTGAAAATTCAAATTTTGGCTGATAAGCATAAGCATAAACGAAAAGATGAGGCTCGAGGGTTCATAATTTCTGTTGTGACTTGATTGGCAGGTTATGTACGATGCTTCTGGTATCAGATTACATGCTGGAAAGCAAGCAGAGGTATGCAGTTACTGTTTCTTTATGTGTTAATATCAATATGAACATGCTAATATCATCATGAGACACCTTTTAACACCATGTATTAGATTTGCCTCTATTGTAATGACACAAAGAAAGATATTTGTTTGTGCAGTTATACTGAACTGTATCTCATTTCTAACTATATTCAGGTGTTGAATCAAATAGTCTGCGAACTTCCTTCTGAACATCCCTTGTCTGAAACAAGACCATTGCGTGAACTCTTAGGCCATACTCCAACCCAGGTTTGCTCAAATGCCATTTTCACTAATCATTTTATTATACTGCACCAATCGAAAGCGATGTCATATTGATTGTGCTGATTACGTGGATACCAACTGAACCACAAACTGGCTGTGCCAATGTCATCAGATCCCCTTTTACCTAGCACCCCATGCTTATCAGTTATCGTCACATCATGCAGCTTCGTCAGCAGTGCTACCATCTTCTTGTTTCTTTCAGTCATGGCCAACTATTTTGTATGCTATCTCAAAAAAAAAAAAAAAAAAAAATCTATTTTGTATGCTGCTAACTTCTTTGGGTGTTAAAACTTGTTCCAGGTTGTTGCTGGAGCTTTGCTTGGGTCTATGCTAGCAACAGCAGGGCAAATGTTCCTTGTAGTATCAGGTTCTGTATGATGCTGTGTTTGAAGGTGGATGGGAATTGCTAGCATTTGAAGGGGACTTGAGAAGAAGAAGAAGAGGCTTCTCCAGTGTCCTGTCACTTAGGTATTGGTAAGATTTGTAACAATGAGATGTTGTGGTGCTGTTGAAGTTTTGACGGCACGTGATACATGTATGTTCAGGTGATGTACTTCTCAGGATTTTTGTACAGAATATTTGTTCGATAACTTCATTATTCTGGTGAAATCTAAAATGTGAGTATGTCAGTGATGGTTGTTGATCTACCATTTTGTTATATTTGGTAAGTTCATTGCATTGTACTTAGTGATATTCAGTTCTTTGATTTGATATTAATGCTATCTATTCAATAAAACAATAATTCGTTACCATATTATGATTCTGAAAATTACCATTCGAAAAACAGAAATGCTGTTATCATAAACAAGAAATCACACAATCAAATTATTTACCACATTTTTTAACGAAGAGAAAATCACTCACGTTGACATAACATCTCTGAGTTAAGATCATATGCATTTCAAGGTAATCAGCGTACGTAAGAACTACACAAACAAAAATTATTGGTCATGGACAGGGCATTTTGTCATAGCAAGCAACACTGAACTGCATGGCAGTTCAGATCGAGCAGCTGAGATCCCTAACTACACTTAGCTCCTGTCACTGAAATGATGACAATTACTGGATGCGGCTAGTTAGACATAGAACTTCAGAAAAGACTCTCCTAACTTCTGAATCTGCATCTGTCACCCTGTCAGATTCTGTTCTCCATGCTATATGCTCGTCAGGCCTAACCAAAATTACACTTTTACTAGTTATCTGGCACATCTCCCACCAAGAATTAACAGGAGCTCTAGGTACTTCTTCGACATCAACATAGTTTGTCCATGGTGCCAACTCCGATCTGCTCCCTTTCACTTTAGCATCAACTGAACCTTGTGGCCATATAACACAAATTTTGGTTGGTAACTTGAGTTCATCTGCTATCTTCAGCATAGCACGAGCAAGCTCATATGACACTTTCATTGGGGCAATGATAAGAGCAAACTCAGGCTTGTCCCCATTTACTAGATCCAGAGTTGAGAACACACCCTGAAAGAGCCCATTGGAGTACACAATTTACACATGTAGAATATTAGCTAAAAATGTGTACATCAAATAGGTGGTGAATTGAGCAAACCTCGTTTGAAGTAGACAATGCTCTCATTAGCATATGTGGAAGCCGTGAGCCAGCCTTAGCAGAGGGGATGTACTCTCTTGACCTCTTAGAATGCTTCTGCTTTTCTGCTTCATAAGTGGTTTCAGCACAATCTTCAGCAACAAGCGCTCCTAATTCGTAACTGGAAGTGCAGAAGTTAGTTAGCATAAGAAACCAGACATAGTAAATGTTATTGAAAATGCAGCACTAATTCTAGAAGTGTGTGATCTACTTTATCATTTGTGCTGTCCCTATGTCCCATCAACAAAATTTGTGAAAGTAAAAATATCAAAATTCTTGACAAATCATTCACTGTAATGAAGCTTACCGGAAGCCAAGATCCTCTGCTGGGAACTGCAGCTGTAGACTTTTGCCTTCATCAAGAATGCTTCTCAATCTTGCTAATCTCAAGGATCCAAGGGGATTTTTCTCATTCAAAATATAGTCTGAAACCTGTGCCCGACCAATGGAAAATAATCCTTCCAAAACCGATTTCTGCAGATTTCTTGGAATGACTGATCCTAGGCTGCTGTTAATTACTTGGTGCACTGGCAAATACATGCAAAGGGTACATAAAATGAGATGATAACACATTACTTAGCATTCAACTATCACCTAAAAACAGTTGTACACACTGCCAATATTTTACTTGAAAATAACAAAAATGTGCATAGCCCTCTTGCACAGGCAGGACATTTCACCTGAATTTGCAACTGTTGGGTCAAGACCAAGGGCTGCAGGAATAGACATTGCTGCTTTGAAATTTTCCACACTAAGTTCTGTATTGAAAATGGCAACCTGCAATTAGCAATCATGCATATCATTATTCATGAATTTTGCGACAGATTAAAATTGGATTGTAGAAAGCCTGTGAGTGTGAGGAGAGTCTAACAGGTCGGCGCTCTGATTCATAAGTCTGTAATATTGATGGTGAAGCAACACCATTCTGCAGTAAGCACAATTTCCAAGCCAAATTGTGTGCATCCTGGACACCAGTGTTCATTCCTGCAAATAGAGATCCCGACGTGCACAGCTTTAGACACTTCAGATACATAAGTGCATAATTAAGCAACTTCACATGGTGATCTTTCAGTACCAAAACTGAAAGTTATACACTAACCAAAACCGCCAGCAGGAGGAAAACGATGAGCAGCATCACCAACAAGGATTATACGATTGTCGCAACCAATGTATTTCTCTGCAACTTCAGCATGCATTACCCATGGTTTTATGTCTAAAACCTGAACATCTGATGGCTCCCATCCAACCAATTTGACTATAATTTCTTCGCATATCTAGAATCACAAAATAAGAAGCATATAAAAAGATTATGCATGGATGCAAGCATATCATGTTTAGCCTGAAGAATGGCTATGCACCACATGTTCAATTCTGAGGATAGCAATAGCAAGAAGATACTAAAGTTGATTTAAGAATACTTATAAATATATATTTCAGAAGAAAAAAAAAGCTTATATACAATTTGATACAAGTTGTACATGTGAATGAGGCAAGAAATGCTGATGAATTGAAAAAGAGAAAAATATCCAACTGGAACCACCTTTGTGCTGAAATCTTCAAACATCTGCTGGGGAGGATAAAATGGAATCTGAAAATATATAGTAGATAAAGTGAATACAAATAAAGCACAAGATAAGTTCACATCAACCATCTAGCATACAACATCATAAAAGCCACAATAAGCACGAGTCTGTTAATGTGGAATACCTGCAATACAAATTCTCCATGTTCCAGGTCATGTGCAACCAGCACACCGATTGCACCAGGATTGAAAATAAAGAATAGCATCCCTGGCCTCTCACGAGATAGATACTTGCCGAGATCTTTGCTCCGAAAATGCACACTGACCAGTTTCTGCAGGTCTCTCTGACCTTTCATATGTATGCCAGCCAATTCACGCACTGTGCTTCTGGCACCATCTGCCCCTAGAAGAAGCCCACAATGAATCTTCCTTTCCTGCATCCTCCCCGCTTCGTTAAACGATGCTCCAATCAAAATGCCTTTGTCTGTCAGTTGAACAGAACTACACTCATGACCCAACAAAATCTTATTTTCCAACACCAAATCTTGAGTCGAGCTACCAATATCACCAGGCAAGCATGTCTGAAAGCCAATGCCATCCAGCTTCTTGAGTAACAAATCAACTAACTTGTGCTGTGAGAAGTGTGCAACAGATATAGGACTAATGATCTTGTCAAAATCTGCAACAAAACAATCATCAGATCTATGTGAAATTGCACAAAGATGCAGGATACCATGACAGAAGAACTAAACCTGCCTTCCTGCTTCATGTGATCAACTGAACCAAGAATGGAGCCAGAGAGTGAAGTGCAATACACAAATTTCCTCCACAAATCCACTGGTGGCTGAGACCTCTCAATGTCCCCAGCCAACCCGTCCAATTTCCGGAAGATCTGTTCATATCATCCCTCCAACCAAACCACACTGACTAACAGAACACGAAACAAATACATCTGAAATGGAAATGTTGGCGAACGCGGTCAACACACCTCCATGGTGCGGTTGTTGATGAAATGCGCTCGCGGATGCCGAGTGAACTCCACATTCTTCTCTAGAACCGCGCACTTGATCCCTGCGAGATTTCAGACAGAGAGGAGAGCAGCGCGTCAACGGGATGCAGCTCTTGCCACAGAAGCAAAATCTCCTTCAGCTGAGCGCGACTGGAACCGGGAGGCGCGGAGTGGGGGTTACCGAATTTGGTGAGGAGGAAGGAGAGGACGAGCCCGACCGGGCCGGCTCCGACGATGACCACGGGCAGATGCGGCGTCACGTCGTCTCCCGTGCCGCCGCCGGCGAGGGACGAGAAGAGCGGGCGCTGGAGGAGGAGGAGGCGGCGGCGGCTGCTGCCCCAGTAGGCCGCGGCTCCGTTCACGGAGAAGAGGCGCCCGCCTCCGGCGCCGGCGATCGACGGCATCGCGGTCGGCGGCGGCGGCGGCGCCCACTGCAAATTCGCGAGGACCAAAACCGAGAGGGGTTTTATGGGTTTAGAATGTGGACACGATTCATGAGCCACGTGGACACACGACGGGGCAGTTCGTCGCGGAGGAAGTCGAGAGGCGGCGGCTGACGGAAAATACGTCTTCTCCACTATAAGACGTATTATTATCACGGGAGCTATGGGGGAAAAGGTTCTTCTATTGAAAAAAAACAACTTCTTTTATTTTGAATAAAAAAGCATTCCTATTTGTCTATTTGAAGATAATATATTATAATTTATTAAAAAATGGATGAATAATATTTTTGTTAAATCGTAATGTCATATATGTCTCCAAATAGGTAGATATTAATGATATTTTTTAAAATTAAAAAAAGCTGTAATGGCATATATCCAATAAAAGAAAAGGAATGGAGATGTAGATGGTTTATCTTTGAATTTTGTTGCGTGCCGTCATTTCATCTTCTACCTCGAGAAAAATAGCCATCCAAGGGCACGCAGTAGTAATGGTTCCGACTTTCAATTCAATCTATTTAGAGTTTTAAGGGCGTTTAGATCCCATTCTAAAATTTTACACCGTGTCACATCGAATGTTTGAACACATGTATGAAGTATTAAATATAGGTTAAAAAATAACTAATTGTATAGATTGCGGCTACTTTGCGAGACGAATCTTTTAAGCCTAATTGCTCCATAATTTGACAATGTGATGCTGTCGACGGGGGATACCCGTAGACCGGATATAGAGGGTATTGGGGTACGCTGGTATGAGGATCTACGTAGTACGACATCAGGGAAACAGGAGACAAAGATTATACTGGTTCAGGCCCCTTGATAGGTAATAGCCCTAATCCAGTTGGTATGGGATTATATGGTGGGAACCACAAATTACAAAGGGGATAACAGAACACGATGATACCGACGAGATCGTAGTCGAGTTGGTTTGACTAGATCACCTGGCGACTTGGCTCCTGTAGACCCGGCTTCGTAGGCTGTGGTAGGTATGTTAGCGGTAAGATTCGATGCCTTAGGTCCTCCCGGGGGGTCCCTTTTATATCGCAGGTCAGGTGGTTTCCAAGTAGGACTCGGAGACATCGGACCCTGCACGATACAGTGACGACCCAGTCCTATACGGGTAGGAATCTTTCCATCGGTGAACTTCGTGATGAATTTCCTTAGCGTATACAGAGAACATCCGTATACGCGTAAATATACTATATTGTCGTATAGCGTATATCCAAGGGTAGAGGGTATGCCTTATCCGTAACCCTGACAGATGCTACATAAAATATGTGCTGCTGATGGATTAATTAGGCTTAATAAATTCGTCTCGCAGTTTATTGACGGATACTGTAATTAGTTTTTTATTAGTGCCCGAACACCACATACGACACTCTATATAATAACCGATGTGACACGCCAAAACTTTACACCCCTAGATCTAAACACCCTCTAACTAACACGAAAACACGGTGGATATCTAACTATATGTATGACAAATTGATCAGCTAAGAACAGCTGAATCAATGTGAAAATCATAGGAAGAATGGTATATATCTCCAGTCTAAATACAACATGCCCCTATTAGATATAATCATATACGCCTCTTCTGCCAGAATATAACAGTATTTTTTTTGTTGTCAAAGTCTGGAGGTGGAGGCCATGGCCTGCAGTACAAGCTCTCGTCTCAGGATCTTCCCTGCAGGAGATTTCGGTATTGCATTGACAAAAGCCACACGGCGCACTTTCTTGTAGGGCGCAACCTGCAGTCAATTGACGAACATTTTGGCCTGAATTTGTGTTTGAATTTGAGAAATGCTGAAATAGACTTAATAGGCAAACGGACCATTGCACTACAGGTAATTAAATCCAAAAGCGAAGAATTTGCTTGTAGAAAAATAGAGCTGACTATATGACAGACACATTTTAAGCCAGCATCAACATCAATGTGGTAATGTAAAACTTACATGTTTAGCGACGCAGTTCATGACTTGTTGCTCGGTAAGGTATGCACCCGGTTGCCTCACTACAAAAGCCATTGGCAGTTGCCCAGCTTCTTCATCAGGATATCTGCATCGTGCATACATCTTACATGTTCCATGACGAAGGAAACACCGTTTTTTAATCTACAGTTCATACAGAATAACTGAAGGTATACTCTCGAAAGAAAGAAGAGAGCAACAGAAGATGCTTACGGGACAACAGCAGCATCAGCGATTTCAGGACGAGACTGTAGAATGTGCTCCAGCTCAGCTGGTGGTACCTGAAGATCACAGGTGTAAAAATCAGCAATTAGAAGCATCACGCAAAAATGGCAAACAAAAACTATTTCAGATAATTCTCCAACGATAGTGTTGTTACTGTAGTTTCTGAATCAGCCGTGCAACCATGAAGTCAGTACCTGATATCCCTTGTATTTTATCAGCTCCTTCAATCGATCAACAACGTAGAGATAACCATCTTCGTTGAAGTAGCAGAGGTCACCAGTTTTCAACCAGCCGTCTGGAGTGATCGTTGCTGCAGTTGCTTCAGGATCACCCACATAGCCTGAAAAAAAGATCCCCATATATGACAGTGTCAAGCAAAGCCCCTAGATTAACCAAATAAAAAACATACCGAGTAATTCACTATTTCTTCTAGCGAAATACGGATACGAGAAGAAAGTATAGGACATGCTACCAAGATGGACCTCACTCAAGCAGATCAAATCGTCAATGTGGAACACAGCTACGACGGTTCATGAAGGGCTACCAAAAAGAGGCCGTATTCCCATTCTATTAACGGCATGTGAAACTTGAAAAAAAAGAAACCGGAAAGTGTTTTAACACAAAGAACTTTTAACGATAATCCTAGTGGCAAAAATTAAGGAGACCAAAACCTGAGGTCCAGTATAAGCAAAACGATTCTTGCAGCTTATCCTATAGTTTTTTTTTCTTTATGGTACAATTCTTGGTACTTATACAACTCATTTTACTCTTGCTATATATTTAATGAATTTGAAACTCTCTAAGTATCGATTCATTTAAAAAAATCACTAACTCTCAATTTCAAACATAATAAACCAAGAAAACATGTAAAGCAAAACGTGCATTCAGCCCAGTGACTTGCCTTTCATGACGACTGGGCCTCGGATCCAGAGCTCGCCGCGCCGCCCCGGCCCCAGCACCTCGCCGGTGGCCGTGTCGACGATCTTCGCCTGCACGCGCGGCGCAAGCCTCCCCACCGATCCGTACGCCGCCGACTCCTCCGGCCCAGCCATGGTGGCCACCGGCCCGGTCGACTCCGTCAAACCGTAACTCTGTAGCCGCAAAATTACGTAGTTAAGCAACAAATTAATTAATTAATAATGAGTAAATTTTCCAAAACCACATATATAATTGGCCAAATTGCATAAATTCACAAGGATTTTGACATGTGACACATAACTCAAGGTATTATGATCCTAAAATTTCACAACGCCATATTACTGATCATTTTGATATTAATCTAATATATTTTTGAGTTCTAAAATCACATCTCAAAATTATAAGAATTTTATTCATCATATAAATATTACATCTATTTTATAAAATTTTGATACGAGAGTAGGGTAAAACATTTAACGGTGTGGTTTTGAGAAACTTTAGTACCATAATACCTGGCATTATATGCCACGTGTCAAAATTTCTGTGATTTTGTGCAACTTAGATCATAATAGTTGGGGTTTTATAAAATTTACTCTTATAGTTAACTAATTAATAATTCGAGGATTATGTTAACCTGGACGATCTGCACGCTGGGGAAGACGGTGGCGAAGCGCTGGGAGACCTCGCGGCCCAGCGGGGCGCCGCCGACGACGATGGCGACCAGCGACGAGAGGTCACGGCGGCGCGCCTCGTCGGACTTGGTCAGCGCCACCACCACCGGCGGCGCGGCGGACAGCTTCGTCACGCGGTACCGCTCCACCGCGCGCGCCGCGGCGGCGAGGTCGAACCGGCGCATCACCACGGCCGTCTCCCCCGACGAGATGGTGCGCGTCAGCAGCCCGAACCCCATCACGTGGAACAGCGGCAAGGGGAACAGCGTCACGGCGGCCGGCGGCGACGGCGACGGCGGCGGCGGCTTGCCCTTGCCCGCGTCGGTGGCGGCCTCCCTCGCCACCGTCTCACGTATCGCGTTGTACGCGCTGATCTGCGCGATGAGGTTGCGGTGCGTGATCGCCACCGCCTTGACCCGCCCGGTGGTGCCCGACGAGTACAGCAACGCCGCGGTGCTCGGCTGCTTCATCGCCACCGCCGGAGGCGCCGCCCATCCGCCGGCGGCGGAGGCGGAGGCTAGCCTGTCGAACACCTCCGACCCGATGACGACGCGGCTCACATGGCGTGGCAACCTCGCGGCCACCTCGGGGGCCACGAACGCGATGGCTGGCCTGGATAGCCTGACCTGATGCGCGTACTCGTCGGCGGTGGAGGCCGGGTTGGCGGGCGACACGACGACGCCGATGGACATGAGCGCGAAGTAGAGCACGGCGACGTCGAGGCAGGACGGGCTCACGACGAGCGCGACGTCCCCGGGACGCAGCCCGAGGGAGCACCAGAGGCCGCCGGCGAGGAAGCGGACCCGCGCGACGAAGGCCGGGTAGGAGACGGCAATACCCGTGGCGGCGTCGACGAGCGCGGGGCCCCGGCCGGCGACGACGAGCGGCGGCGCCGAGGACAGCAGCGAGAACGCGTACGCGGCGACCGTCAGCGGGAGCTCCTCCGGCGGGAGAGGTCCCACGGAGCGGAGGCTGTGGAACGTCCGCGTGGCGGCGCAGAAGCCGCTGCGACTGCGACGGTCGACGCCGCCACCGCCGGCGGCGGAGGACGCGTACGGGTACGGCGGCCGCCACCGCTGCTCGGCCATCGGGATGTGAGCGGGCTGCGGCGGAGGCGAGCGTTTGGACATGTGGCCGTGGCGGGGGTCGGACACTCCGGAGATAAAGCCGCGGTGTGCGGCGCCCCTGCAGACTCCGGCGACGGCGATGGCGAGAGCGAGCGAGTGGGAGAGTGAGAGCGTTTGGACTCTGCAGCCTATTTGGATCGTGGTAATGGAAAAAAAATATAGGAGTAGAAAAAATACAGATTCAGTCTAAAATGGAGGATTATAAAACGCACAAATACAAAATGGAGGATTATAAATCGCAGAAAAACCAGACCGTTCGATTGGATCATGAAAAAAGAAATTTCTAAAAGGTTAAAGCTCTTGCTAAGTTTTGCTTTAAAATCACTATAGAATTGTCTATTTTAAAGGAACTTCAAAAGATATGATATAACTCAATCCTTTGTTTAAATATTTTTATAGGAGATTTTTCTATAGGATTAAAATACTCTACAATTTTTATGTCTTTCCTACAAATTAAAGGGTGCCTTTCATTTGAGGTTACAGCTAGCCTGACAGGTGGCGGGCGACGGCGAGAGCGAGCGAGTGGGAGTGAGGACAGCGAGGACGCTGGCGTGTTCCGGCGACAGCGAGCGATCTGGAACCATGCAGCGGCCCAACGTGATTCTCATTGCACACTTGGTTGCCAAAAACATCGCCTTCAAGCTTCACTGTTCGTTTATACCACTTTTAACCACAGGGACTCATCTATCTTGGCCTCCGTTCTGAAGCAACGGGAAGGAGGATTATTCATTTATTATTCCACGGTGATGCCCACTGATCTCTCTCTCGCTTTCTGACGTGACTCGTGAGTTGCTCGCCTCCTCCTCCTCCTCCATATCGGGCTTCCCTCGCATGTCGCCACTCGCCGCCTGTCTGTCTGCGAATGGAGAGCGTTCGCGAAAAAAAAAATGTCTGCGAATGGAGAAGGTATTGAAGGTGTTGGCTCTTGGATGATTGCCAGATGGTGATGCATGGTGCCCATCCATGTGCAAGGAATGGCTGTGGAAGCGGATCCTCCGATGTTACTGTTCACCGTAATTGACATGTCGACTCCACCACTTCTGGACCGACATTTCAGCCACCATGTATGTCGACTCCACCACTTCCGGGCCAATATGTCAGCCACCACGTCATATGAAAGTTACGGTAGAGGATCTCAATCCAATAGCTGCATTCTACCTCGGTCCAAAAAACATATTACAGATTCTACACTATTTACAATTTACAATCAAAATGGAAAACTGCCATATGTAAATCCATGCAGAAAATATACGGTGTAGACATGGAAATATGATTGGACATTTGGAGGCCGTGTTGTTGAGCTAAAATATACTAGCTCTGGAACATGGGAATTTACATAATTTTCGTAGTCCTCCAAAATTCCCCCCAAAATTTCTCAGCCTCCAAAGGAGGTGTTAATTGGTAAAGCTTGAGGCCTATAAATCTCCAGTTCACTATATGTAAGCAAAATATTCTCTACTAGACTACTGCAGCAAATTACACATTTCAAAGCTTGGAGGCACCCATCGACAGGGCCTGCTGCACAAGCTCCCGCCGAAGGATCTTCCCTGCAGGCGATTTTGGTATTGCAGTGACAAAAGCCACTCGTCGCACCTTCTTGTATGGCGCAACCTGTCGAATGAGAACAAGGGTTTGAAGTTGCAAGCAATTGTCAAAATGACAGAAAGGCCTTGAAAATTATGCTATATTGAAAGGATCGCTCATATAATTTGATATGCAGACTAAGATTTCCATCCATACCTATCACTGCGAACAATATTTCTTTTTGCCGGGTCGGCCAAATGTTATGCGAATGATATTTCTGTGATGCAATTTTCGCAGCAAAAGAATGTTTTTTTTTAAAAAAAAATCCCTAACTGGCAGCAACCAGTGGAGCACTAAACCACTATCTTTTTACAAGGAAGATGGAACTTAACCACTAATGATACTAAAATACTAGAAAAAAAATTGCTCTCAAAAAGCAAAATAAAAAAAAAACAAAGATGATTATGACAGGCACCTTAAAAGATATGCAAATTTATCAGGTACGTAGAATGCAACATTCAGATCACTAAAAAGAGAGACCATACCTGTTTTGCGACATAATCCATGACTTGTTCCTTGGTAATATTTGAACCTGGTTGCCTTACTATGAAAGCCATTGGTAGTTCCCCAGCTTCTTCATCTGGATATCTGAATGGTACACACAGAAGAAACATCAAATGTTGAATGACGAAGGAAGCTTACAAGCTATCTGCAATTTTTTTTCTTAAGATACTAACGGGATAACTGCCGCATCAGCGATTCCAGGATGGGACTGCAGAATATGCTCCAGTTCTGCTGGAGGTACCTGAGAAAAAATTTAAAGGCCAACATCATGCAAACAGAAACTTGTGACAACTTACCCAGGTGGCTGGCGTGAATGTAGTTTTGAACCAGCTGTGCAGCTATGGCAGGCAGTTACCTGGTATCCCTTGTACTTTATCAACTCCTTCAGTCGATCAACGATGTATAGAAAACCATCTTCATTGAAGTAGCAGAGGTCACCTGTTTTCAACCAGCCTTCTGAGTCAACCGTTGCTGCGGTCGCCTCATCATCACCCACGTAACCTGAAAAAGCATCCCCAAAAATGATACAATCAAGAAAAGGCTCAAGTATTAAGGCAAAGCACAGATATGCTAGATGTCCTTGTATATGCTGCACTGGGAAGGCCTACTACCAAAAGGTCAAATCCATCAACAAGCTAAATATTGGCTTTAATTATTTCAGATTTCTATATCCTTAAGCGCTTTTTAAACTAATAACACTACAATTCCAGAAGTTCAATTGGATAGTCGAAAACAAACTTGATGTCTAGACCAGCACTAACTTTCTAGTCTCTCTGATAAAGCATGGATGACGTTTAGTAATATATCAGATATCAAAATCCATGTAGGACCAGTAAGTGATGCCTCCATACAAATAAACAACTTGAGAGCATACCTACTCCTACTGGCATGCTGGCTAGCCGTCAAGTAGCTGAACAAGTGTCCAATTATCTGTTGCAAATGCTATTACTACCACATGGTCCATCACTATTTGGTCTGACAAACTCTCATTTTCTGAAACTACACCGATAACTAAGCCCTTGTTTAGTTCCAAACTTTTTCTTTGAACTTTCAACTTTTCCATCACATCAAAACTTTCCTACACACACAAACTTCCAACTTTTCCGTCACATCGTTCCAATTTCAACCAAACTTCCAATTTTGGCGTGAACTAAACACAGCCTAAAGAAGAAGGTGTCGTGCCACAAAGCACAAGCAGGCAAAACGAGCTAATCATTTACACTTTACCCAAACAACTATTGACCACAACATTTACGTGATACGAGGGACCTCTTACAAGACCTATATATGACAAATAATTGACTGTATGTACCTTTCAGACAAATAATTGACTGTATGCACCTTTCAGAAAGAATCAAACGATAACATAATATTATGTATGGAAAGTTTCAGGCCATGAATCGTCATTGTTGGATGTAATGTTGAAATTTCCTGGCTGTATTATTATCTAAACAAGTAAACAAAAAATGCATAGTCACTACTTGCCTTTCATGACGATTGGGCCTCTGACCCAAAGCTCGCCGCGCTGCCCTGGTCCGAGGGCCTCACCGGTGGAGGGATCTACAATCTTAGCCTGCAAATGCGACCCCAGCTTCCCGACCGATCCGTATGCCTTCGATTCCTCTGGCCCGACTGTGGCAGCCACCGCGCCAGACGATTCGGTTAAACCGTAGCCCTGCAATCGTACAGAACATTGTTAGTTTAATTAGATTCAGTAGATTATTCTGCTGGAACATTATTGTAAGTTTGATGAGATTCAGTAGATTATTCTGCTGCAGAGAGAGTGCACGGGATTGTTGGATGGATGCTTTGCTTAACCTGAACAAGCTCCACGTTGGGGAAGACGGAAGCGAATTGCTCGGCGACCTCGCGGCCTAGGGGAGCGCCGCCGATGCCGATGACCAGCAGGGAGGAGAGGTCGCGGCGGCGCGCCTCCTCGTACTTGACCATGGCGACGAGCACGGGCGGCGCCGCGGGCAGCAGCGTCACGCGGTAGCGCTCGATGGCGCGCAGCGCGGCGATGAAGTCGAACCGCTCCATGAGCACGGAGGTCTCCCCCATGGAGACGGAGCGGAGCACCATCATGAACCCGAACACGTGGAACAGGGGGATGGGGAGCAGCGTCACCGCCGGCGGCGGCGGCTCCTCGCCGGCCTCGGCGGCCTCCCTCGCGACCTTCTCCCGGTTGTCGGCGTGCAGCGACATGAGCGCGATGAGGTTGCGGTGCGTGATCGCGACGGCCTTGACCCGCCCTGTGGTGCCCGACGAGTAGAGCACCGCCGCCGTGTCCGATTGCTTCACCGCCACCGCCGCCGGAGCCGCCGCGCGGCGGCCGTCGGACGCCGCCAGCCTCCCGTACTCATCCGACCCGATAACGACGCACCTCACATGCTCGGGCAGCTTGGCGGCCACCTCGGGCGCCGCGAACGCGACGACCGGCCTGGACAGCGCGACCTGGTGCGCGTACTCCTCGGGCGTGGACACCGGGTTCGCCGGCGACACGACGGCGCCGATGGACATGAGCGCGAAGTCGAGCACGGGGACCTCCAACCTCGAGGGCGCGACAACCAGCGCGACGTCCCCGGGGCGGAGGCCGAGGGAGCACCAGAGCCCCCCCGCGAGGGAGCGGACGGCGGCGAGGAAGGACGGGTAGGAGATGGCAATGCCAGTGGCGGCGTCGACGAGCGCGGGGCGGCCGGGGAGCGTCGACGACGACAGGAGGGAGAAGGCGTAGGCCGCCGCGGTCATCGGGAGCGACTCCGGCGGGAGGTCGCCCGGGGCGCGGGTGCTGTGGAAGATCCGCGTCGCCGCGCAGAAGCCGCTCCTGGAGTCGATCCCGGCGGGCGGCGGAGGCGGAGGCGGCGCGCGGTCGGCCATTGGGGATTCGGATTCCGTTCGCGGCGGGGAACGAACAGAGGAGAGGATGTTGGAGACGTGGCTGGCGGAAATCCTAGGCTTTGTACTAGTGCACGGTCCACGGAGCCGGGGACTGGACGGAGCGCACAGTGGTTGAGTCGGGTACAGTACAGAACTACAGATATCCTCGTTGGTTACCCGGATTTTAGTTTTTTAGGAATAAAAAATACACCATCCGTTCACAATGTAAAACTTTCTAACATTATCTAAATAAATATAGATGTTAATAAATATAAACACATACATATTCTAGATTTATTAACATCTAAATGAATATGGACAATGGTAAAAAAATGTTATACTGTGAAACGGAGGAAGTAATTTATAGGTAAAATTTTATCGGAATTGCTACCTTCTTTCGACAGAAATTGCGTCCTCAAATCTTGCAGATTTTGGGACACTGTATGAGCTTTGAGATTCGTGCTCTATGCCTTCTCCTCCAACTCCGGCGACCTCCTCTTCTTCTTCGGCGCCGGCGACACCCTAGACTCCGGCAGAGGACCTACAGGTTATGGTCCCGGGGTGGGAGAGGGAGGGAGAAGGGGAGGAGTTCGCCGGCTCTAGACGAGAGGCGAGGGGGAAGGGGAGGGCGGTGGGCCGGCGTTGGTGACAGGAAATCTTGTCGCCGACGCTCGAGGAGGAAGAAGGGGAGGAGGCTAGGGGGTAGGGGACGGGGGGGGGGGGTCTCGCCGGCACCGTTGATGCCCTCCGGCCAGCCGGTGGGTCGGTGGCGGCGGGGGATCGGGCGGAGCAGAGAAAAACGCGATGGTGGTGGTGGAACTAGCAATGCGAGGGGAACCGAAGGAGGATAGGTAGGGTTAATGTCTCTGCACGAATCTTAAAGCATATCCGATGGTCCAAAATTTGAAAGATAGGAAGTGGAATTTTCTGTCAACAGATATATAGACAGTCATGTGTTCCTGTTTATTTAAAACCAATATTAAATTAACTGCATTAAAAAATTTTAAACTCAACTTCAAAATTAAATTTTAAAATTCAAATTGCAGTTTTGACTTTAGCTCGTCTAGGACAACTAGTGGGGGATCACCGATCGTGTGGTCCGGTGGTCCAGTCTCCGGTGGGCCCGACTGTCATCAGGGCTACTTCGGCCGAGTTTGCCCAGCGCCACAGCCCATATGCGCTTGTTTCATGTGATATTTAAGTCATCACCATATGATTGATTAAGAGTAAATTGTATTAGCGGTACATAAACTTATTGGGTGGGTGCAATTTAGTACATAAACTTGTAAAATGTTCGTTTCAATTCTAGTTCGTGCGAACGAGGACCAAAATAACTTAGCAGTGTTAATTTTATGAAGCTAATGTTGATTAGGATCTGACGTGCGTACGTGTAGTGAGTATGCATAAGAAATACAATATTTATAAATTTGGTCTCTACTTTATCCTTCATCACAGAAATGATGAATTTTATATATTTCTAATTTTTTAATCCTTTTCTCCTATCACTATATCATATTATATTTTTTATTGAAGAGGTGTATGTCTAATAGCAACCTTCTCATATATATGTTTACATAGCATTCTAATCTGCTTCTAAATCAATAAGATTAGACATGTAGTGTCCTTTTTGCCTTCCTCCACATGCACCAGACAAGTTTATGCATCAAAACGAGCATTTTGCAAGTTCGCGCACTAAATTGCACCCACCCGACAAGTTCATGTACCGGCAATGCAATTTACTCATCGATTAAATTTTGGTTGTTACAAACTTAACAATAATATATATATATATATATATATTTGATATTTTAAAGCGATTTCTACTTAGAATTTTTTTTTTCTAAACACACCGTTTAGTAGTTTGAAAAATATGCTAACCAAAACTGAGGTGGATTTTGATCTTTATGAGAAAAAACACATGTGCAAAGGCTATTTATGTGTTCATGTTGTAAAGTGCTTAAAAATACAAATTTGTGATGTTAAATAATTGGATCGTGCATAAAAAAAAGTATGCTCAATGTTCATCTACTAATGACAAAATTGACGCGTATTCACGAAGTAAAATGCATAATTAGTAAAGATTCATGTGTTCCAAAGAAAACATTATTAAAATAAAAAAACTCTGAACATGGATTAAATTTCACCTGTACCAGGCATGGATTTTCCTTTTCCTTTTTAAAAAAATATCATGGCTTTATGATATGGTACATTTATATACATCATCCAGTATGATATGGTACATTTATATACAATCATCCAGTTGTCTTCGCCATAAATATCTCCATGTAATGACGTTAATCCCACGGAGCAAAGACACTGACACGAGGAGATAAGTGTACAATTAATCCTTTTATTAGTTACTCTCCCAATCCTAAAATATAAGTATTTTTAGCACAGTGACAAGTCAAATATTTTCAACTTTAACCAATTATACCATAAAAAATAAAAAGATCAATCATGTAAAATTGATGTTATTAGATTTATCATTAAACAAATTATCATAATATGCAACTATTTTTATTTAAAATATCACATTGTTGATCAAAGTAGCATCTTGAAGACCGTGTCAGGGTCTGAAAATACTTATATTTTGAGACGGGGGAGAGTACTCCACTTGGCTGCTGGTGGTTGTCGTCCCGATCAACTTACATATATACAAGGTGACTAGATATGTGGTTTGATATATATAACCGTGTTACGTTGCAGTATTAAGGCTAATACCAAGTGGCATATCTGTTAATGTACTAGAAACAAGACGCATCTAGCAGATTAGAGCCGGTGTCAATATTACTTGGTTTAGTCAAATTATATGTACCTGTCACATATCAAAAGAGACATGAAAGGCATAGTACCATATCATAAACGTGTTTCTTAACAAAAAAAATTTCTCTCTCCCCTTTTCAATTACACGAAAGTTCCTACTTCTTTATCATGTAGGAGTACTATTTTTTCAAACAAAGTATAGAAATATGGCTATCCAAAACCGTAGTCACAAAGTTCGTCACGCAGAGATCCGTTGACCGATCAAGGTTTTAATCCAAAATACTCCTTCTTTCTTTGATTTAATCGGAGAATTACCAGAGGTTTTATGAGCTATATCTGGTGTACTTTTGGTTTTCTCGGTGTCGTGTTTGATGGAATACGGATGTTGACAGTGAGGGTAATATGAACACGGGTGATTAATAGGAATTGGACAGAAATTTAATGAACCTACAAATATATTAACGCAGTAGTAGTTTGCCTTTATGAGAGGTAAATATATTTCAATAGAACATACATATATGTATGACATTAACTATTATAATAGTAGTATATACTTAAAAAAATATCTCAACAAACATAACATTCGTAATCGTGCATCAAATACTAGAGAACAGAGTAACGCTCTAGTAGCTCTAGTACCTTGTAATGACGCTGACTATACGATCGTTTCTCCAAAAACGAACGATCTACTCCCTTTATCGCAAAAAAACTAACCTAATTGGGATGTGATAGAGTCTAGTAAGATGAATTTAGACATCCCATCTGTTCAGACTTATCGTACTAGATTATTTTTTTTTGAAACCGAGGCAGAACTTTGTTCTAGCTTTTATATTTAGAAGAAGAGAATTGATCTAGTTTATAAGAAAAACCGGACCCGAAAATCATACAATTGCACGGTTAATTCTCTTCAACTAGAGTACTAGATTGTCTCATCTTTAACTATGTTGGGATTTTTTTTGCGGAGGGAGTAACTGTTGCTCTCTCCGTCCTATAATATAAGGGATTTTGGAAGTACGACGAATCTGAACAGAGAGCATATCCAAATACGTTGTATTAGGATACGTCACATCACTTCAAAATTCTTTATATTATGGGATGGAGGGAGTAACAGTTAATAACAGAATCATGCGTTAGTGAACGACTAATACATCAACAACATGTACTATCATCGATACATGACAGATTGCTCCCCTTAACCATATTAACGGCAACATAAATGGCCGTACCAATTGTTTTTTCACAACATTTTATTTTTAGCTGCCCATCCTTCTCCGGCCGGTTGGATGGATCCAAATATATCCCCTCGACAGTGTGTTTATGCTGTGTTTAGTTCACATTCAAATTGGAAGTTTGGTTGAAATTAGAACTATATGATGGACAAGTTGGAAATTTATGTTTGCAGGAAAGTTTTGATGTGATGGAAAAGTTGGAAGTTTGAAGAAAAAGTTTGAAACTAAACAAGGGCCATGTGTACGGGTGTGTTTAGTTCACGCTAAAATTGTAAGTTTAATTGAAATTGAAACGATGTGACGGAAAAGTTGGAAGTTGGAAGAAAAAGTTGTTAAGTACACCATGCCTACGTCGGTGAGCGTTGTACTTGCACAGTTGAGTTGTGTGTGGCAGTACAACTTAAACACACATCAATGATGAGAGTAGCAGGCCGCTGGTACAGTGAGCACCGCGCTGGTCTGGGTCCTGCGCAATCTTTGGTTGCCTGGTTCATCAATGGATTCCCTGCTCAACATTGAAGACACGGATCTGACCACATGCTGTTTGAAATGATGAAGATGAAAGATTAAATCGACACACATAAAACGAAAAAAATATTAGTATATAATAAATTAAGTTTTACTTATTACTCCCTTCATACTGAAATAAAATAAAGTTCTATCTATGAAGCTTAAGATTTCTAAGAAGCAGATTACTGGTAGCCAAACTTTTGAGAATATGAAAAAGCTAGGTTTCGAAGCTTCTGGATTCTACTTTATTTTTTGAATTCAACAACTACGGCTTCTCAGAATCTGGACCAAAAATTTTGGAGGAGTTTCTGATTCTAAGAGAAACTGCAATAGTTAGAAACTCCCTCAAACATGATCTAAGTGCAATTTTGCACTGTTTATGTCAACGTTGTCTTATTTAAAACTCTTTTATATTAGTATTATTATTATTAGATGATAAAATATGGATAGTACTTTATGTGTGACTTTTTTAAAAAAATTCATAATTTTTTAATTAAGATGGACGGTTAAACTTTGTACACGAATATCCACGGCTGTACTTATTTTGGGATGGAGTTAATACAAACTTGATAAATAGTATCGTTTAATAGTTTGAGAAGCGTGCTATCATCTATCCATCACCCGAGTAATTTTATTGTTATCGAGAATGTATAAAAAATATTGTATCTTATGGTGTAAAATTTTATCTTATATACTAAACTTTTACAAATTTCATTAGTACTGTAAAATTTCTCGTATGTCACCGTCTCTGGACGAGACGATCAACGCAACGGCCAGGACGAATGGTTGGTTGGCGCCGGACAACGTGGCTGAGATGGGCAGAAACCAGTATGCATCTCATCTGACGCTGCTCTTCTTTTAAGTTGAGTTGCTGGTAGGTGGTGGTGCTAGTCTCTGTGCCTTGTTGGCCATTATCGTGACGAGATATGAAACAGAAAAGAACCGAGAAAAAAAAAGAGATTGTCGTGACGAGATATATGAAACAAAAACGAGCTGTAAAAAAAACACAAAGGCGAGAAACAACGAACTATAAAAAAAGGAGACCAAACATGAAAAGACAAGCAATTCCCAAAAAAGAAAACAAAGATATGTAAAATAGAGATCACGAACTATAAAAGAACCGAGAAAAAGAAAGAGATTACAACTAATAAAAAAATAAAGATGAAATCGAATCATAAAAATAAAAGCAAAAGGTGGCCCATGCAGGTCTCGAACCTGCGACCTTCGCGTTATTAGCACGACGCTCTAACCAGCTGAGCTAATAGGCCACGTTGAACAGAAGCGAGTCATAATATAAATAATTAAACTTACTGTCCTTGAGATACCTTCAACAACAATAACTCAAGGCTGAAGACAATTGTCCCGATGATCTAACACCAACATCTGTTATATAAAATTTATCAAAGAGGTTTCAATTGTACATCAGTCTGAAGAACAGACTCGGGCCAACTTTTTATTGCACCTACGGTTACAAATCGGTATCTCTCTGAATAACTGTTTGGCCTCCTTTATTCTTCAGGAGCTGCACTGGACAGGAACTCCAAGATGCAGCTCTTCAGTTCTTGGAATTCTGATTCAGACAGAGACGCTTCGACCAAAAACCTGCATATGGTTGCTTCAGATGCTTCATCGTAGTCCTTCCTCCTCTTCAGTACCAAATGGCCACTGAGCTCCCAGACTGCTGGGTTTATTCTCATGTCGAGGAATTCTTGGCTCACTCTCCCGAGGGCCTGCTTCTCGGCGTAGCACTGATCGATCGAATCAGACGGAGACAAAATGTTTGTTATCCATTGCTACTGTGATATAGAGTGTGAAATTATTTTCAGAAGTTATGCAATAAGTGTTCTAGGGTAGTACCTGTGGTAGCAGGAACACTCTCTTGCCAGATTCAGAGATGAGGGCATTGAAAGGTTTATTATTCTCTTGCAAGAAGATGCAGACTTTTGAAACAACATCGGACAAATCCTCCAGGCATGCCCCTCCTTCAAATACAAAACCACTAACTGGATACTGAACCAGCTGAATAATGCTGACACCATTCCCCAGAGTCGTAAGCTTCTCCGTCAGTGCCTTCTCGACTGGATATTGCACTTTCAGATAGTACGCCTACGAATTAATGTGTCAACAGCAGGACATCATAAGAAATTTAGAGTTAGGACACGGGAAAAAGTTATGACATGACCAACCTGGAAGTGGAGATGATTGATAGTTGCGAAACCACCCAGACTGTTGTAACCAACTCTGAAGAATGGATCCTTTGCTTCACTTGCAACATACATGGCAAGTAGGAAGCTCTCTTTATCAACCCTTTGCGGTAAGCAATCCTGGATTCGAGGGATCAGAAGCACATGGCAGTAGCCAATTGGACTCACCTATCAAACAAACAATGGCAAAAACAGATCATGTGTGCACCATATTGGATTAGGATTTAGGCATAACTGTTAGAGGGGTGTAGCACTCACTAACATTGATCAAAATGGCAGTAGGAGAAGCTGCAACAGCATGAGGAACATTGTCGAAGTACTTTACAGAGTCATTCTGAGATTCTTTGAATGTGAAGATCACTTCCTCTGGGCTAACTTTAGTGAAATTGAATTTCACGCTATCAAAAGGCTGCAGGACTTGGTTCATTCCAAATTGAGTAGGCCGCTTCTTCTGGTCACGTCCTTCTATTAATGTCGCCACAAAATTGTGTTCACCAGGTAGTACCTGCCGCATAATTATATGGGATTCAGCTACAAAGAATCAATCAATTCACCAGAAAGTGCCCATAAATCTATTTGGAGAAGAATGTAACACCTTTGTCTCGCAGGAACTGATGTCATGGTGAAACAAACCCCTTGCCTTGCGGTCATCCCACTATATAACAATCATCCATGTTTCACTCCGGTTAGCACTATCATCAAAGATGGGCTAGATTAAATTCATGTTACTGAGGAGCCAACAATACAAACCTCTTTAAAAAGTTTGCGGACAAATGGCGACAAATTTGTGCCATTTTCCTCCTCTTTTCTCAAAGAACAACTCAAGTCAAAACTTCTATTGCCCATGCCTGTTTTCCTTTCAGCTAGCAGCAGTTTCAAACTATAAAAACATCAGACACTTTCCTGCAACATAAATATCATAGTTGACCTTTTTTTTTCTACTGTAATGCATTCAATAGAAGCTCCACAATATTATGAGTAACACAGATTAACAAATGTTCCAATTCCTTCATCTTTCTATGTACTGTATAATTCAAGTCATTTGAGCTGAAACTATGCTGTAGGCTGCAGCGAACAACACGGCAAGTGCACACAGTTTTAAAAAAAACTAGTCCAGATTACTCTTCACTCTCTGCTCCAGTCATAAAACCCAAAGGTTCAGAAACATGCTGAATCATAAGTACAAGTAAAAATCATTAGCTAGCAAACCATTTCTCTAGCTTAACCCTAACAACTCCTACCTTGCACGAGATGAACAACCCAAAGCACAAAAAGATAGCAGAGCTTGGAGACGCGAATTCGGATTTACCAACGAAGCGCCGCCGCGCCGGACGGGCACCAAATGCCGCCGGAGCAACCGAGGACGGAGCGAGGTGGGCGAGGAGAGGGGAGATGGGCATGCGAGCTGCTTCCTCTTCTTGATGAGGAAGAACTCAAGAAGAACTAGATCTCACTCAAAGTAAGCAAAATCTCAATCTCTCCCCCAAAACCAAACCACAAGCCAGTGGCCGGCCGCCCGCTGGATTGGTGATTGATTATCCGAGCAAGCAAAGACGATGAACTCTCACGCGAATCTCACATGGAGGATCGATGAACACTGGATCATAGAGCTACTTCTTAGGTCCACGAACATTTCTCTCAGATCAGCCATGAACTTGAGCACCCATGAGGCTACGAGGAATAAGTCTATTTTGCCTCCATCATATATCGAACCGTGTCCATCAATCACAAAACTGGCTATAACGCCTCTTCCATATTCAGAAATCGGTGTTCACCGAAGGATCATGTTTACGCCGGTTTTGAAGTTGGAGGACACTAAAGACTAGATTTGCACTTTTTTTTGAAGTTGAGAGAGATATTCATGCTTTTGGCGATTCACCTTCAGTGGTTGAGCAAGTTAACAGCTATTTAAGTGTTTTTATGAACTATTGAATGGTTATTTGGACCAATGTCTAGATATAGTTAAATATCGCTTGACACTTTTACTATTCGACACATATCTAGAGAGGATAATGTTGGCTGTCACCCGGTTTTGCGGTGGAGGGATGCGTTTCGATCAAAGATAAGACACGAGGGAGATAAATAGACTTATTCCAGGCTGGGAAGAAGAAGGCGCTCCACGGGCCGGGCCGTAATCTCCAATCGTTCATGGGCTCGTTCCTTCTGGGCCGCAGAAAGTGCCCCAGCATCCTGTGGCCCATTTCCACGGGTTGAAGGATAGCTCGCTGAAGCTGACAAGTGGGCCCCACCCGAGAGGACCGCGGGTGGTGGTTGGCGGTCTTCCCGACACGACCCCCGAATGGGGAGAACGGCGGCCGAGAATTAAAAGGGGGCAAAAACCACCGCAAAAAAAGGGGGCAAAAACCCTAAACCCTAGCAATCCCCACCCTCTTCCTCGCCGCACGGTTCCAGGGGTCGCCGCTGCCGTCGCCGCCGCCGCCGCCGACGACGACGACATGGCGAACCTCCTGAGGCGCGCGTCGCTGCGGCGCGCCGTCGCCGCCGTCGCGGCAGCAGCCGCGCCCTGCCCCGAGGTCGAAACTCCCCTCCTCTCTCCCCGCCGTATTTGACTGTGTTTTTTTTGCCCCCCTTGGTGGCCATGGAGTGTTCCTACTGGCAGCTTGTGCCATATGTGATTGCGATTTGGCATCCTTGCTGGGGTTTGATCGCTTGCGTTTGGTGAACCGCGCGGCTTATATGCCCTCGGCGATTTGCTCTGTGCCACCGAATGACCCCCATTTTGATCACTGAGGGTACCCCTCCCCTTATTTTGTACTACAAACCTAGAATCCGGGATTTTGGAGAAATGCCTATTAAGGCTATGTGCAATCTGTGTGCTTGGACAGATGCTTAGGGGAGTAAACTGTGTCTATTTTTGCCACGCTGGTGCTGCGTGAGGTGCTTGCCGCCAAGTGAAACAGTCGATGCTTGCGAGCGCCTGCATGAAAAATGGAGTGGAGAAGCACCTGAAATAACTAAAGCGTCCGTAAAATAGGTGTTCTCTATTGGACATCAAGGCTCTTGAACAGATGCTAAGGGATTTTTTTCCTAAGCATCTGTACTATTTGTACATGCCCTTTAATGCGCCATAAATATATTTTTTGCTTACAATAGATTAACCTGCAACACCAAAGGTGATTTAGGTTATTAGATTAGTGTAGCCTCCAGGGGTTTTCTTGAGGTTGCAACACATCTCCGTGTCATCTTTATCCTGACCTCACGATTTGTTTGCACCTTCAGACTTGTAGGTATTTGTATGCACTTAAGACAAATACTGGATCATTTGTGACACACACAGTATGCACAATGAAATTGATGAGAATGGAAGAGATTCACTCATAGTGTGCACTTCAAAACAAATACTGAAATCATTTGTGATACGCACAGTATGCATAATGAAATTAATGCGGCTGGAAGATATGTATTCATAATTAGCTTTAAATGATGCCGGTTGAGAATGAAACAATGCTGTTTAATCTTTCACATAAAAACCTTGATATGGTTTTGCTAATGCATCAATCTTTGTGCAGAGCTATAAGCAAGGGATCTGTGGCTCTACTTTCCACTGCCGGTATTTCTCGTCTAAAGGTAGTAGACACTTATTCCTTTTATGATTTATTATGTGCATACCTTACCTTAGATATACTAAATACTGCATCCCATGGCTCAGTTGCTATCATCTTAAATCTTGATATTACCTGTATTGACACATAAGTTACATTGTGAATTTGTGATGAAATTGAACTGCATGATTTTTTTTCTTTTGATTTATGTTTTATTGCTGCCATCTACTGAATCTTATATTTATTCTTTTTGAATCATCTACTTAGCCAAAAAGAAGACAAAGTCCAGTGGAACTGACTCTGGTGAAGAGAATCTGTCAAAGAAAGACTTGGCTCTACACCAGGCTATTGATCAAATAACATCTGCATTTGGGAAGGGCGCAATAATGTGGCTTGGTCGTTCTGAAGGTCGTAGAGAAGTACCTGTTGTGTCAACTGGGTCTTTCTCTTTGGATTTGGCATTGGGAACTGGTGGACTTCCAAAGGTAAGGATTCCTATGTAGTTACAAAATATCTTGTAAGTAGAATCTCACTTGTATCAATGTTTAATTTGTATTGCATGATATTCTTTGCAAATCTAAGTTCTGCTGAGTGTTAACTACCCTAAAAATTAGTCTTCTCTCATCATATGAAGTGTGCAAATGTTCTTTCATGGACAAAACATACTTTGTTTTGTATGAATGTCATGCTATTGTTCTCTGTAGGGTCGTGTTATAGAGGTGTATGGTCCAGAAGCTTCAGGCAAGACAACTCTTGCACTTCACGTTATTGCAGAAGCACAAAAGCATGGCGGTAATATCAGCACTTCGAACCTAATCTATATATTTTAGCAATAGCATATATTTTACATGAGAAAAGGTACAGATTATTCTGTGTTCTCCTTTAATCCAAAGATTTAGGCTAACAACATCTAATACGTATAAAAATTATTACCATGTGCTTAATGCTGTGAACTTGTGATGGTATAGTCAGTCAGATGCTTTTTATGTAGTATGCATAAGGGTTTTGCTGGCTTACAACTGCTTGACAGTGAAAGTGATCTTGCTAATTATGATGTGAACATAGTTCTTAAACTTGTCTGTTCAAAATATTGTACCATTGAGTATTTTGTTGACATCATCAGCAGGGGAGGCCCCCACGGTGCGCTATGTATTTTACCAAGCAGCTTGGTATCTGTGTAATAGCCAATAGCATTATAGTGTCTTTATATTTGGAGTTTGGAGAATGGAATATGACGAAACCAGTTTTAGTGTTTTAGAACATGGAATATGCTGACATTGTGTAGCCCAATATTAGCTCAAAGCCCAGCAACCATGGGATAAGCTACATATGCAAAGTACCTGTCGTGGGCTTTTGTCCTCGTTCGCTCAGAGGGGTTAGGGAATGCTATGTTTTGAGCTCACAGAGGTTATATAGTTTAATTCAGTGTAAACATTTAAATATGAAGGTGTTATTTGCTCCTTCATACTTCTAGATTACTAGCTTCACCAAATAATGTTGGTCTTCAAACACGCACAGAACCTACTCGGGAAAATCTGCCTGTAATGCAATTTAATGGAGCATTTCAAAAAACCATGAACCATTTGGTCTGGAAATCATGAGCACTGACAACTGCAAGTTCATCTAAAATAGAATTTGGACGAACCTAATATATACCTCACCGAGTTTTTGTTTTTGCTATTTTTCTAGGTTATTGTGCCTTCGTAGATGCAGAGCATGCCTTAGATCCAGCTCTGGCTGAATCAATTGGGGTCAACACCAGTAATTTACTTCTCTCTCAGCCAGACTGTGGCGAGCAGGCACTCAGTCTTGTGGACACACTGATTCGAAGCGGCTCTGTTGATGTTGTTGTTGTTGATAGTGTAAGAACCTGACCATCTATCCCCCTCCCATTTTTATTTTTCTTTTCGGAGCATTGCCTTCTTTCAAATTGATAATAGTGCACTTTCTGCTTAAAATTTTAATAACAATGTCCAATTAGCAGTTGGAACATGCTTATCGACACTCAACGTTAATAAATACAACTTCATTTATATGAGAAGTTTGCTAAGCAGTGCATCTTATTTTGTGACATAGGTAGCAGCTCTTGTCCCTAAGAGTGAGCTTGACGGGGAGATGGGTGATGCACATGTTGCTCTCCAGGCTAGATTGATGAGCCAAGCTCTTCGCAAGCTGAGCCACTCTCTCTCACTTTCCCAGACAATTTTGTTATTCATTAACCAGGTATTAAACATGTGCACTGGGCACTGCTCTTAGTGTTTGTTGAATTTGCTTTTTTCAATTTATATATCCCATGTTTTTGTTTGGTGAAGCGAAGGAACAAATTTAACTAGTCTTAAGGCTGTTAATTCCATGATGATTAGCTTATTAGCTGAAAAGCTCCAAAATACGTGACACTACAGCTAAATAAGGATGGTATTTTCAGAAACATTATTGTACAATTCAGACATTTGTTTACAGTGATGCAACTGATTCTACTTGAATCTTGTTCGTCGATCATGAGTTCTCACAGAGTGATCATTTGAACACTCGTTCAATACATTCTGTCCCATCATTACTATAGACTTATATTCAACCTGTCCCAGAAAAAAATTAAATACTTTGTACCCCACTAATCAATGCAGTCTATTCGCTTCATTTCTCTCAGTTTTATATTATTTGCATCCTTTGTATGTGTTATAGATCAGGTCTAAAGTGACCACATTTGGAGGATTTGGAGGTCCAATGGAGGTTACTTCTGGTGGAAATGCCCTTAAATTCTATGCTTCCGTTAGAATGAACATCAAGCGTATTGGTTTGGTAAAGAAAGGCGAAGAGGTAATTAACCAAGTCATATCCTTGACATTTACCTTATTTAGACAGTTAGTCAATACTTGACATATATGCACTGCTATGCCCATATCAAGGTTTCTTTGGAACCTAGTTTTTCACTCCTGCGTCATATCTATTTGGATAGCATCTCCAAAACACTGTTAGACACGTGGCACATGCATGCTTTGTATTTAGCCATATGATTTTATAACCTCATCAATCAAAATTACAGACCTAGTAACCTTACAGATTTAGCTTCAACATATTGTAGTGCTTCTTGAAATGTTACTGACAATTTTTACTTCTGTTTGCAGACTATAGGTAGTCAAGTGCTTGTGAAGATTGTGAAAAACAAGCATGCCCCACCGTTCAAGACAGCACAGTTTGAGCTGGAATTTGGTAAAGGGATATGCCGCAGTTCAGAGCTTATTGAACTTGGATTAAAGCACAAGCTTGTCAAAAAGTTGGGTGGTGCATTTTATTCTTTCAACGAAGAGTCATATCGTGGTAAAGATGCCCTTAAATCTTACCTCAACGAAAATGAAAGTATCGCAAAAGAACTGGAGACGAATTTAAGGAAATTGATGGAAACTCAAGCACCTAAAAAGCAGGAGGATGAAGGTGATTTCCTGAGTGATCTGCCTGAAGAGAGTCTCGCCACTGAAACATCCTCCGAGGAGGAACTGGCAGCTGTAATAGAAGCTTAATCAGTGATGCTTAATCAGTGATGATAGATCAACAAGAAGGAATATGCGCTGAGCAGTTATTCCACTGAACCATACATATTTTGGTTCTTGGAGATGTCATTTTGGCTGCACCGGGCATATAGAATGTGTGGAATTCGTATTTGAACATCCTTCAGTTGTCAAATGCCTGGAGCGAAGTGAGGTAGAGCCGGGGAAGGACCGGGGGGCTTACGTATGGACTTGTATGGTGGCTATTTAGACATTGAAAGGGTTATTAGTAGAATGTAACCATGTATATATGTCGCATATCTGGGATTCCTCGTCGGTTCTGGCTTGAGATACACTTACTAAATGCTTCTGATATTTGATTATTCCGGTTCCATTCCTGTGCGATTGTTTTGGGACTGAATGCTTTTGGTGAACACAAAGCTGCAATATGCCCATGATACAAGGTTAGGCCTGCTTTGGAAGTCAGAATGATGCATTGCCCTTGTTTGTACGGCCCATTTCTTAGCCGGTACTGTCCAACGCTCTATGTTTATTTTCTTACTGGAAAATAAAGAGTAAATTTCACAAAACTGTAGGTACTATGGTCAAACTATTACAAAACTACAGATTTAACTCGGTACATTACAAAACTACATTTTTTACTCCAAATTTATCACAAAATTACACATTTAAGATGAAGTGTTATAAAACTACATGTTTAGTAACTAAATTGTCACAAAACTATGGGTTTAGAAACAATTTAGTCATAAAACAATAATATTTATAGCTCCAGTATAATAATGGTGCTAGAGATTTAAACTCTAGAAGCTATATTTTTGTGATAACTTCAATATTAAATATGTAGTTTTGTGATACTTAACCTTGAATGTATAGTTTTATGATAAATATGGTGCTAAATCTGTAGTTTAGTGATACAACGCCTTAAATATGTAGCTTTACGATAGTTTGATCAAAATACATGTAGTTTTATAAAATTTACTCAAACAAAAATGGCCTTGTTTCAAGGAATGGCATTCTTCCACGTGGCAGTATTAATGCTACTTTTCGTTCGTTAGTTGGTAAGCTTGATGGCCTCCTTTTCTTAATCTTTGAGACCAGAAGAGAAGGTAAGGGGGTAGTACGACTCACCTAGTCCATCCATGATCCATCCAAGTGATAATCTCTCTCGTCTTTCGGCCATTGGTTGACACATTTATTCTAAAGAAGTCAACAACAATAATGAATGTCATGTGAGTATTGTTTATTGACAAGATAGAAACAATAGTAACAAAATAGCATTGCCTCCGGTCGAGTGCCATGTGCATTATCTAATGACATTGGACAAAATAAAGATACTACCTTGCTACTCCCACCTGTTCGTCAACTAAATATCTCAGTTCTTCCTGGATGAATTCTAGTAGTCATGATAGCAAAATTAACAATGGCTACATTCTCGAAATCGACAACAAATTTTAAAAGTTTTCTTAAAAAATGCTATTAACAAAATGTTTTCTCAAAGACCCACAAAAATAGGTCATCAACAAAATGTTACTGCCAGTAGCAAACCAACCACAACCAGAAGACTGATCTGAAGCAGCAGCATGAGTAATCAGGCCTGTCCTGGCTGCAGCCCTCTCCAAATCTCAATGCATGAAACCAACAACACAGCAGCATATCCAGGCGTTAATACGCACAACCACACATGCCCAGGCCCCGGCCTCTGCTTGTTCTTGCAGCCAAACCAGGGCAAATGCAACATTCAGAAATTCAGACATTCAAGAAATTCAGAGAGATTCAGAAAAATTCAGATACATTCAGGAAATTCAGCATGGCACAGTGTCCGTGTGGCTCTTGTCCTTGTCCCACATGCTCTGCACCTTGGAGCCTGGAGGCATCAACCTCACCCTCTCACCTCACCTCGCCATTAAAATTTCTGTGTGGAGACCGAGACCGATGCAGGGAGGAGGGAACATCGCCATATGCACCTCACATGCGAGGCAACCATTGCGAATTCTCAATGGCCTCTTGATCTTGACCAAAGGGGGAAGAACCACATGATGGTTTGGTATCTCCCCTTAGTTTTATGCCCCCCAAGCAAGCACACAAACACTGTCATTAGTGTAGATATAGTTATGGTTAGCAGTACTAAGTAGGAGCAGTAGTTGTTGTTGTTTTAATTAATTAGTACTGCTAGGTCACTTTGTTTGGCCAGTGTGTTGTGCAGTGAGTGAGAGAGAGAGGACTGAAATATATCACTGTGTGTGTGTCTGTCTTTGTTTATAGGTTGCTGCCGAAACTTGTGTTTTTTGCATGCACAATCCCAGCTTGCTCCATTTTCTTCTGGTGATACATGACATGAAACTAAAGTTTGGACTAATATATAAGTATACTATAGGAGTTCTTCTACATTTTGGCAGGTCTATGCTAGTTTCATCTTAAGCTCAAGCAGAAGACTCCATTTTATAGTAAGTATGAGTTCCTATCAAAAATCTGATTTTTACCATTTATTTAGTCCCAACATGCATGCTAAATTAACCACTAATTCTACAGTTCCCTGACAGAGACTACAAGAATGGATCAGAATTAAACTAAGCTAGTACCATCAAGAATGGAGAAGAAATTAAATCAGATGAACTGAATTCAGAGAGTTGTAGTAAGTTGCAACATTGCATCTGCATGAAATTAAAATCAGATGTACCTGTCAGCTGGGATACCGGGCGATATTATGCAGGTGTGCATTGACAATTTGACAGTACTCCACCACTTCATTCATCAGACGACATGGCGCCGAACAATTTACTCCTCCCTGCCGGCCCCTCTCTCTGCGAGACAATCATCTGCTCGAACTTAATCACCATCGACAATTTTCTCTGCCAGTAATTAAAGCTCGGCTGCTTCAAAATTAACTGCAACATCGTCTCAGAGAAAAACTGTCAGGCACCAGGGATGAAGAAAAGGACCAGAAATGCCGGGGAATTCAGATGAAAGTGGATTGAAAAAATATTGAATTGCTCTATCTGTTTATTAGTGTGCGCCATGCAAAGCAAGCAGTACGAACAGAGCACTGATTAGCTACTAGCTAGTGACTATTCAGAGGAGATGATCAGATGAACACGCACTACTGCACATTGCCCAAAATCTGGGAGAAAATGATTAATTCATCTTGACCATCGCTAACCATAGCTATTTGAGAGTATCAACTATTAAAAAGTTGAAAGTTTGTTTTAGAAAAGTATTTTAAGAAAATTTTATATAGAATTATTCATTTTCCACGAAACACAAAGCTGGGCAGCGCTGCGGGATGGCTGATCTCCTCTAGAAGTGTGGCATCGATAGTTACTCGGCTTGCCCTTTTTGCGCTCAGGATCTTGAGACGGCGAACCACATCCTCCTCGTTGCTCGGCAGGTCTGGCTCCGAGTGTTGCCGCCTTCTGGCTGGTCTGCCCTCTCTTCACCCCGTGGCAGTTGGTTCCAGGACTGGTGGCCGTCCTCCAGGGCCTGCTTACCTGAGCACCTCTGCGACAGCTTCGACTCCCTGGAGCTCCTGGTCTCTTGGTGTCTGTGGAAGGAGCGGAACTCTAGGTTTTCGACTACGCTCTCTCTTCGGTCCCAGTGGTTCTGGAGTCCATCCATGTGGAGGGCTATCTATAGTCTTTAGCTGGCGTCGCCGCTTTTGGGGATTTGTTGGAAGTCTAGCGTGGCTTAGCCCCTTCCCGCTGCTTGAAGTCTGTTTTTAGCCGCCGTAGTTTCTCTAAGCTTCAGTTTTTTCTTCTTTTGCTTTTTCTTCCTTCCCCTAGTATAAGCTAGTCTGGCTGATTGCGGTGTGTAACTAAAACTCTTTTTCTTCTAATATATTAACGTGCAATCCTTTTGCGTGTTCGTGAAAAAAGAAACATAAAGCTGGGAAACATATTAAAAAATATAATGCATCTTAGAATAATTCCGAAGCCGACACTGGTTGCATGAGCTAGCTAGTCCATTCTTTGATCAGTATAGCTATCTAGCTAGGAGTGTGATGTGTGAGCTAGCTGCCAATTTTTTTCACCCGTTTCGTAGCATCTCCGGTTTTCATGTGTGACGTGGACAGCTTAATCAGCCCCAAAAAAATGATAATTAATCAATTAATCTAATCTCGCACGGTTGAAGTTGACACGCATAAAGTTCGGTTTGACCGAGAAGCTAGAGCTTTATCATCATCATCATCAGTAATCGCTTTCATCCCGTCAAGAACACGCATAAACAAACAAATTAATTATTAAGACACTGTTTGTTTGTGGATTAGTAATTAGTACGATGTATGTGTTCTAGTTGTGCCACGTCAGCGAGTAATTAAGGATCGAGCTGTACACGTACGAGTACAACCAATACTTAGTTAGATTGCTAGCTGCAGGCAGGTCGTAGTATTTATAATTAGTCATTTTCATTTAATCGTTTCCCAACTGATCATATCTATTCCACCTCACAAAATGATATTAGAGGTACAACGAATTAATTAGATTGACCAAACCTAAAAAGGTTAAGAGGATTCAAGCTTGGCTGGCCGGAAATTTAGGCCCAGCTAGCTGGTGATGATCATTAGCTACCTCGCTCTATCCTTTGCAGCTCTCGTAGCTAGCTTAGGTTTTCAGTTCGATTGGATTAATGATCACGGATAAGTGATTGATTAAAGACAGTGATCTATCGATGGATCGATGGGGTTCATGAATTGGTTAGGTCCAATCTCCATTTCGAGCTGGTGAGGAGCTTAATTTTGTGAACGCGTTGTGAGTGATTAGTGTTCAGCTGTGTGTATTAATCCAAGAGATATGGTGATATGCATGTATCGATAGATCAAAATGGCAAAGCTGGCTACTCTAACGCGTAATCGACGAAGCTAATTAAGCTAGGAATTAAGCAGCTGCATCATACTATGTCTCATAGGCATGCAGGATTGCAGGCTGCTCCTGGTCCGAATGCACGTGGACTTAATTAGGGATGCATTGCGTGCACACTCCTTATCATCATTAATTAAGGCGTGTTTCAGGGTTTTATGAGACCTCTACACAACATTATGATGTGTTTAAATTCGTAATTCAATTAACTTTCTGATCTCTCAAACTTCTCTACAAATGAACTTTTATGCAGGTAATTATATACACAAACATAAATAGTTACCTTTAAGAAAACACACAAGTCTACAATTATATATACGCGCACATATGAGAGATGAGTGGTATATGTTGAGATCAATGAATTCGCCTTGGCAAAAAAATAATGAGATGGATCGACGGACAAAGTCGCCCAAAATGAAACTGAATTTAATCAACTGATCTTTAACCCTGATTATCTGTGACTTCTTTTGGCTCGCAACGATATTCTAAGTGCGTGCACATGCAGTGAGATGATCGATCGATCTAGCCTAATCTCCATTTCGGTTACACCAGATTGTCGTGAAAGCATGCAGGATTAATTGGTAGTTTTTTGTTTAATTATTTATTGATTTATTTCGACCGCCTGTTCCCCTTTCTCCGAGCCCTACTAATTGCTGTCGGTGGCGATGCATGTGGATGCTTGGCTAACCTAAACCTGAAATCCTGAAATCCCATGATCGATGCATATGGTCGGTACTAATTAAGCTTGAGATCAGTCTGATTAATCTCCAGATATAATTCCATTCTGCCTCTGATATCGCAAGAATCTCGCAGGGGCATGTGGGTATCACAGAGATGGTTAGCAAGGTGTTTAAGTTTGGTGAGACAAAAGGGGCTCATAACAGAACCGTGCTAATTAATTAGTGGTACATGAGATCGGCTAGATTTGCTCGAGATGCTTCAGGTAGTTATAATTGATATATATACTACTAATAATTCTCTTTATACAGTTTTAAATAATGATCTTCATAAATATTTATGTGTATGCATTCAAGCTTTCAACATGATTTTAATAAGATCAAAGATGAGTTATTGGTTTTTGTCTCTTTGAGTATATGTATTAGAAAGCGCATTCGCGGTGTGTAAGTGTGGTGTTGTGTATATAGTGATATGCATGCGTGCGTGTATATACTATGTGTAAGGAAAAAAAATCTCTTACCAAATTAAAGGGTGTGTGTTATGTTTCGTCTCTGAATAACTGGATAATTTGTGATGGTTATTTGAAGGTACAAACGAAATAATTATACATTGTAAACTTTAAAAATAGACTTTGAACAATATTTTAGGAAATTCATATATAAAACAATTTTTAAAAGCTCAAATCATAACACATCCAAACAAACACAGAAAGCTCAGAAAGCGTATCTCTGTTCATCTCAAACAAACACTCCCACACTAAACAATCATTCATCGGTATATCAACGTACACAATTTTCAAATAGATTGTACCACACAGATAAATAAGTAGGAGTATGAAATTTTTGCTCAAATTTTATCTAAAAATATTATCTCTTTTTTTTTCTCCAAGGACTCGAACCGATCTTCTGAATCCCGATTGGCCGGCAAGTTCAACGCGTGCATGGGGACCAGTAGTGCAGCTGAGCTGTAGCAGAGTGGTGGTCACTGGTCAGGCTCCAAAGCACGAGGACCTGCCGCGTGTACAGCCCCCCGTGCTGACCTGTCGCATTGATGGCCATGCCAGCTGGCGCGGACAGGGTGGCTCCAGCGTGGTGGGCCCCGCTTGCCTCTCTGGTCAGCGCGCGTGCTGGGCCCCACCCGTCAGTTGCTTCTACGTATGGACGCGAACGCTGCTGTGTCCGATCCCGTGGGTGGCGTGTCTCCCCGTCCACGGGAGCACAGGCCAATAATGTGAATTTTCAATTTAAAGCTGATTTTAATGTTTTTTCATCGAAATTTATTTTTTAGTCTTTGCTTTTATATTGCTAAGAACATATATAAAATTTTTATTTACAAATTAATTTTCGTTAGTAAATATGATGTGGCTCCATAAGTACAGTACTAACAGTTTTGTTCCGATATTGCCCTCGTTGGTGTACTGGTTTTGGAAAATGACCTTTGTTTTTTTCTCCTCTTGAATCAAGGGCTGTCAATGCAATTGGAATGCTGAGTTTGTGAAAGTCTGGCCAGTTTTTATACGGATAGTAGTGGCAAATCAAGTAGTATGAAATCGAAACACAGGAGCTTAGAGTTTAACATGTTCCAAGTACCTGTTGGCAATGCTCCAGATCACTCATACATGCTGAATTTTGGAGAAAATTTTAGTGTTTGTAAGTTATCTAGGGTTCTAAAGTTTTTATATATTTTTAAAATAGAAACAAAATTATTTATCAAATGTTATCGATGTAATTATGGTCTCACAAATATGCATTCATTGATTTATGGATTTAGAAGAGATACCTGTAGGTTTAAAACCTCGAATTCAAACTGTACCAAATATAGGGATGAGTGCACGTGCGTCGTAAGCGTTTGTACCGTGTTTTAAAATAAGGAGGATGCTACATGACGGTATTCCCATTCGGACGCAATGATACCTAAGAGGTATATACTCAGAGGGATCATCCCGTCCGAATGAGGTATCAACCGATACGTACCAATTAGCATGTAATATTTTTGAGGTATCATCCCGTCCAAACAAATATCGTCGTATAGTATTTTCCTTAAAATAATACTCTCTCCGTATTTAAATGTATGACACCGTTAACTTTTTGATCAACGGATACTGATCAACTTTTTAATCAGTATTCGTTTTTTAAGCATGACATAAATATTTTTATATTTGTAAAAAAAATTCAATAAGACGAATGGTTAAACATTGATAAAAAAGATCAATGGCGTCATACATTTGAATATGAATATGGAGGGAGTATAAAAAATGTGCCGAACATGCTCAAACACTGGTTTTGCTGGGTGCAGTGCAGGCCACCGACAGCCGCGTGGCCGGGGACGACAAGCCGGGCCAGCCGCCGACGCGGAGCGGCGCCGCCCAATTACTCGTGCGCGTGCGTGCATGCACGCCGCCGGCGGCCGGCCGGCCGGTCGGACCGCCGCCGCCTCAGCTCGTGGCTCCGTCTGATTGCCACGTAGGTGTACTGCATGTTCTTCTCATCAACACATGATCAATCTGATCCAACCAACCAACCCAACCAAACCAGCTTGCTAATCTCTCTCTTATCTCAGAAAATGAGAGATGCAAATAAATGGCCGATGTTTGTACTGTAAGTGATTAAAAGACCAACAGAAAATTGCTAAATCTCTCTCTTATCCTAAAAATGAGAGATGCAAATAAATGGCCGATGTTGTAGTATACTGCAAGTGATCGAAAGACCAGCAGAAAACAACTGTTCAGTGTTGATAAGAGAGGTTAAGTCAGCTGTTGATGGCATTGTTAATTACTGCTACTAGTTTGTTTAGGCTTCGTTCGTTCCTGGGCGATCCAGGGGATTGAGAGAGAAAAATATTTTATTTTCCGCGCGGACGCTTTCCAAACTACGGTGTGTTTTTTATAAAAAAATTCTATAGAAAAGTTGCTTTAAAAAATCATATTAATCCATTTTTAAAGTTTAAAATAGTTAATACTTAATTAATTATGTGCTAATGGCTCGTTTTGTGTATCTTTTCGATCTACCTAATCCCCTTCTCTTTAAACACACCCTTAGTGTACTGTTTGTACGTAAAAGGTGAAATTAATAGTAAATAGCTTAGGCCACCATATCTGCATGATGGGCATCAGTGATGTCGGTTTGACTTTTCCTACCAACGACGGATGGGTAACTAGAAATTCGAGTTCTTGCCGACAGTAATATACTTTTCCTACTCACGACGGATGAGTAGTACTGTCTCATTCTGTTTAAATTACTTATCTTTCTTTTTTCAAGTCACAAATTTATATCTTTAACCATCATGTAAATCCGTACAATTATATATGATTTCAGACTCACCATGATTTTTTTTCATAATATATAATTTACATGTTGTTAAATTATACAAATTTCTTTTGAAAAAAATTGATGGCAAGAATGTAAATGTTTGATTTAGGACGAAGCTAGATTGATAAGTGATTTGAAATGGAGTAAATAATTAATTTAACTGTGTTGTTACTCCTGAATCCTGATGCATTCATGGTTTCTGACTTCCCGAGAACTTAGGACAGTAGCAGTACTATGGCCGTGTTTAGTTATTTGGCCAAATTTTTTTAAACATACATACACATATTTAAAGTATTAAACATAGTATAATAACAAAATAAATTACAGAATTCGCAAGTAAACTGCAAGATGAATTTATTAATCCTAATTAATTCATCATTAACAAATATTTACTGTAGCACCACATTGTGAAATCATGGCGTAATTAGGCTTAAAAGATTCGTCTCGTAGTTTACCTGTAAACTGTACAATTGGTTTTTTTCATCCATATTTAATGATCCATGCATGTGTATTTGATATGACGGAATTTTAGAAGTTTAAAAGAAACTAAACACAACCTATGTTATTTTTCCCTTCTATCATTGGAGTCAATGCCGGTCAACTGCTGTGTCGTCTGACTTAAATTACTGCAATCACCAACGTAAGCACCTTAAAAATTCTCAAATTCTTTTAGATTATATGGAGATGGTCATGCCCTTTGATTTGCGCCCTTTCCAATCAGAAATGATTGGAATCTTTGGGTATTATTCTGTCCTTGTAGTACACAGTTGTGTACCTCCAGTATCTCTGCATTTTCTCTGTATACATGTGTTACCCGGTTCTGAATTGATATTCAAAACAATAATATTTTAAAAAAATTTCCTCCAGAAAGCGAGCTACTTTTGCATTTTTCTGAAATTAGGTCGGCACTCTGCTTCTTTGTTACTCATGTCTCAGTTTTAAATAATTAATTTCTCTTGCAAGCTACTACAGCTTTCTCCATGAATTCTGAATCAAAGTTAGTGGGCAATATTCTTGCGCCAAGTTTGTTGGTGCAGAAACATCCAGCGCTTTCAAAAGCAAAAAAAAAAAAAAGAGCCATAAAAGATAAGCAAAGAAAAAGAAATCTAAGACTAGATGATCAGTAAGTTGCTATCAAAGTAGCAAACATATGTAATTAATCAAATGGGTGGGCAATGCATTACATCATGGAATTAAATTAGTGGTCAATCCTCTAATCCCTCCCCCTTTTAATAATTTGTCTAACCCATCAACCAAACTTGCCCATCAAACAGTAACATCTTTTCCCTTATTCTCTGCTTAGTGCTATAGCAAAGTTGCTAATAGTTCCTTGACACATAAGTACAAGTCTACTAAGCAATATCTCTATCACCTATGGCTCCAAGTGCTTGTCTCTTAAAGGCCTCATGGTATATTATCTTCTCAGGAAAAAGAGCTTTTTTTTTTCCTGGTGGAGTTAATTAGCAAGTGATGACCTTTCTTAATTTCTCCTGAGACAAACCAAAATCAAATCTGGTTGGGTGATTTGATGTGTGTGTGAGGATCCACTGGAAAGCAGAGCTTGATCTAACTCTGACAAATTTAAAATTCTGAGGGGGAAATGCTTGGAATCATTGAGAGGCTAGGAGCCAAGCCAGTGGAAGGGGGTGGCCTTTCACACACACAATCCTCCTTAGTTAATTGCTTGATTAGTACATAATGCATTGATTGGCATGTTAAGATTTGGTTTTATATTCTTCCTGTCTCATGGCCATGTTTGGTTTTGGCATCTGATGGAATCAGCTGGGATCCCTAGCTAACAAAGTACTCCATCCGTCTCAAAATGTTTGACGCCGTTGACTTTTTATCACATGTTTGACCGTTCGTCTTATTCAAAAAATTTAAGTAATTATTATTTCTTTTCCTATCATTTGATTCATTGTTAAATATATTTTTATATAGACATATAATTTTATATATCTCACAAAAGTTTTTGAATAAGACGAACGATTAAACATGTGCTAAAAAGTCAACGGTGTCAAATATTTCGAAACGGAGGGAGTAAAACATAACAAAATGTTCCAACTTGAGATGCACACCACCACTCTGCTGGCACTAGCTAAGCTAGATCTCTGTTAATTACACTGGCTTGAGTTGTTAATCAAATCTGGGATCAGATCGATTTGGCGCCATTTCCTGCACATTATATTATTCTAATATTCAGAGAAAGCTTGGGTTTATGGGAGAAGTTTGGCGAAATCAAGTTGGCATATTTTGGGGTGTTTTTGGCAGAAACATGTGTTGGTTGTCCAAATTGTTCTGATGCATGCATCAGTAGGTCACAGCGTTTGTTTTTTTGAGATCATCAAGTACTAATTCTAATAATTAACTATGAAATTTTGTGGAGATCACCTTGGTTTAATCTCCTGTCCTAGTGATCAGAGTAACTATTCATAACTGTGAATTCAAATATGCTGATAAGATAACTAAAGTAAAAGAGACTGATTAAAACATTTGAACATGCAGTTGTACGCAACTAAGTTTGTTTAAACATCAGTTTCGTGACGAAGTGATGGGAGAAAAGAAACATCACGCGCGACATGCCATGAAATCATCTTGATTTAATTTGATCGAATTCTTTTTTATAAAAAAAACCGTGCTTTAATTTGAGCAGGATCTCTTTTTTAACCTACTACATGTGTGCGGCATGTACGTCCTTCGGATGCAACAAAAAATAGCTTAGGTGGTAGTTATTGGTAATTATAATATACGATCGCTTTTCAAAAAAGGACCAAGTGAATATATAAACCAGCTATTGAGTATAATGATATTAGAAACAGTTTATTATAGTTGAATGCTGGAGTACATGATTGACTAAATCAAGACCCAAATGAAGAACACAAAAATACTTAAAAAAACACCAGATTTTAAATCCCGAGCTTCCAAAATTCCAGTGCATAATTTGAATTGCACATTCCATGCAAAAATAAATAAATAAATGAGTGCACAACACATATAAAAGCACACACATGGACCCTAACCAACAACTACTAATGTCAACGTCTCACATTATACAACTAGAAAGAGTATGTCTATAAAATGATATATGCTTATCCAAACACCACCAAGGGCATCATGAAACAAATAAATGAAAAGAAAAAAAACACTGGATAAGGGACTCTAACCCTTTTTTTTTTCAAAAGCTATTTTAATACCTCCCTCTATCTCACAAACAATACTCCATTTTGTACAATTTAAAATTTCTCCCACGAAAACTTCACTTCTAGGGCTTACAACTTACAACCAATCACACTAAATCATGCGCATTGAACTAGAGCCTAGGAAAATATAACCAGAGATCCCACTATTAATTTTTCTGAGAATTGCTAGAAATTAAATCTTCATGGATCTGATAATTTTTTTTTTCAAAACACAAATTAATTACTATCTCCGTCGCAAAATAAGAACTTATAGAGCTGGATACATGTATTAAGAAAACAGATAGAACAATATGGAAGAATATTGTGATTGGTTAAGAAATAAAGATACGTTGAATGATTAAGGATTGTGATTAGTTGGATATATGATGTTGGTAAACATACTCCTGTTCAGATTCGTAGTATTATGTGTCTTATCCGGATAAAATCTCTTATACGTTGAGACATATGAGTATATTTTAGAATAAATTCTAAAAGCTTGAAGATGTTATATTTTGAAACGGAGTGATTAAATTAGTTAATTAGTTAATAATCCCATTGAGAAATGGCATTTCATTTTCCATGGGTGACCACCACCACCACCACCTCCCTCTACCCCGCCCTGAAATCTGAATAAAATCCGCCACTCTCCATTCTTCCTCTCCTCCTCCCCCCGCTTCTCCTCCCCACCTCCGCCTCCGCCTCCGATCCGCCGCCGCCGTCGGCGACCGCCGGAGCCGCGTGTAGCACGCCGTCTCACCCCCGCCCCCCCCCCCCAATCGCTCTCCATTTCCCTCCCCTTTCGCTCGCTGCTGCTCCCGCACGCCGCCGGTGCCCGGATCCCGCTGGCCGACGTCGCCCCTGCCGCCGAGCTGCCTCCTCCTCCCCTTCTCTCGCCGCTCGAAATGGTGAGGCCTTCCCACCTTCCCCGTAGGCTGCTGCTCCTCATCCTCCTCGCGCTTCCGCTCGTGTTCTGGTCGCTGCAAATGATTAGGATTTTTTTGGAGGTCGCGGACAAGAGCTGTTCGTCCGCGCCGCGAGGGTCGTCTCGTGTTTTCTCTCATCCTCTTCTCTTCTGATCTTCTCTGAGTTCGTGCATTGGGGGTGGTCTTGGGGATCTCGGGTTAAACCGCGGTTCCAGTGTCGCCGAGTTCTTTTCTTCCTCTGATTTTTTTTTGGTGTCTCGCGGTTAAAAGTAAAAAAAAAAAAGAAGTTCAGATGGGGGAGATTTCGAGTGGTGAAAACGATGTCGCAGCCCACACCTTATCGTATTTCCCTTCCAATCACGGAGGATGCTGCGTTGAATTCTTACTTAGTTTGGGGAAGACTTAAAGCAAGCTGCCGACGTCTGCTTATCTGAATTTTTTTTTTAAAAAAATGAGGCATGATATGGGGTCAAATGCAGCATTCTGGGAACAGTCGAGTGCCTTGGATTAGTTCAAAAGATGTGAGATTGGTCCAAATTCATGGGCTCCAGGAGCTCGAAATCTTGAATTTTAGCCGAAAGATAGGTATCGATCTGTTAGGGAGCACTATTTGTGTAGGCTTGCAGCGGCTGGTTTCTTCTTTTGGCATTCTTATCTCTTCTATTTCGTGCTCATAGGCTGGAAGGCTGCTTTGTCCCGTTCTCTAATGTCCAAATCTGTTCAATGCATTAGTGCTAAGGGAACTTGTATTCTACTATCTGTTTAATTATCTGTAGTGTGAGAATAGCTGGGAGCGATCTGTTCATCTAAGATGGTTTTTTTGCTCTCTTGAATCTTTGTAATCAGATGTTGGAGCTCTGGTGGTAATTAACCATGGATGCAATGGAGGCCGAGGAAGGTCCTTTTCTGGCTAATGATGCTAAGGTATCATCTTGGCAGTGCTTTTATCTTGATGGCAATGAGAGTATATATTTGTTCTTGACCTACTGTCATTAGCCACCTTACTGGAATCTTATCAACCTTTTCTGGATGTATTTGTTGATACATGATCTAAGGAAATCGTGGTTTATGCAGTTGCATGCCGGAATGTACAGAGCATTTCATCCTGCGGTCTCAAAACTTGTAGCGATTTTCCCTTTCATTGAAGCATCAAGACCCAGAAGCAAATCTGGCATACAGGCGCTATGCTCTCTACATGTAGCTCTAGATAAAGCCAAAGGTCTTCTTCAACATTGTGCAGATTGCAGCAGGCTCTACTTGGTAAGCTTATGTTACCAGCATCCCCATAAAGTTCTTCAGAAGATCCGTGCCATTGGGATCATTAAAAATGTTATATGCTTAAATATATTGTTCATTTTCAGGCCATAACTGCAGAAACTGTGCTTTTGAAATTTGAGAAAGCAAGAACCCAACTTCAGGAGAGTCTTAGACGCGTGGAGGGCATAGTAACAGAAGAAATTGGTTGTAAGGTATGTCATGTGAAAATCCTATCCTCCTAGTACTTGATTTCTTTGAACCACAAAACCAACTCTGCCCAAGTTATGTTATGGTTTTACAATTTAGTACACCATATGGTATTTCCTGACATCTGGACCTGTTGGTGCACAACAGATTGTAGAGATTATTGCTGAGTTGGAAGAAGTGGTATTTACATTGGATCAATCAGAGAAGGAAGCTGGTGACGAGGTGATCAATTTGCTCCAGAGAAACAGGAAAATGAATAGTTCCAGTGATAGTGGGGAGCTTGAGGTTTTTCATATGGCTGCACTAAAGCTGGGAATTACGTCTTCCAGGGCAGCACTCACTGAGAGAAGGGCCCTGAAGAAGCTAATTGAGAAGGCTCGTTCTGATGAAGATAAGCGGAAAGAGTATGTTGTGTCATACCTGTACAATCTAATGAGGAAATACTCAAAATTTTTCAGAAGTGAGGCTGGTGATGATACTGATTCTCAAGGATCGTCTCCATGCTCGCCGACAATATTAGGCATGGAGGACATGTATGGACCCTATGGTAATGGCCGAGCATTCAGCAGACAACTTTCGAGTATTCAATCATTCAATTCAAGGTTTGGATCTTTCAACTCTAGGCTTGGGTCATTCAATTGTAGGCGTAGTGGTCCAAGGTCCGAAAACATGTCGATCCCTCCTGAGGAGCTCCGGTGCCCTATTTCCCTACAACTGATGTACGACCCAGTTATCATTTCATCAGGGCAAACTTATGAGCGTGTTTGCATTGAGAAATGGTTTAATGATGGTCACAGCACCTGTCCAAAGACTCAGCAGCAATTATCTCACCTGTCTTTGACTCCAAATTACTGTGTTAAGGCCCTAATTGCCAGCTGGTGTGAGCAGAATGATTTTCCTGTTCCTGATGGTCCACCAGGATCCTTCGATGTAAATTGGAGACTTGCTTTATCTGACTCCGAAGCGACTGGCTGCGTGTCTCTTGAAAGTTTTGACTCTATCAACGTGAAGAGTGTCAAGGTAGTTCCATTGGACAACGTGAGAAAAGAAGAGCCAGCAAACAACGAATCGGGAACATTGGACGACAGCTCTTGTTATGATTTCGATATGAATGAGGGGTACCGAAACTTACTGCTAATGCTTCATGAAAAAACCAACTTACACATCCAGTGCAGGTTGGTTGAGCAGATAAGATATCTTCTGAAAGATGATGAGGAAGCTAGAATCCAGATGGGCTCAAATGGGTTTGCTGAGGCACTAGTTCAGTTCTTGAGGAACGCTGTGCAAGATGGAAATGAGAAGGCACAGGAAATTGGTGCCATGGCTCTTTTTAACCTTGCTGTCAACAATAACAGGTATTGAATTTAATTTCCATTTATGTGCTGCTTATCAATTACAACTAGCTGAGTTCATCTTCAGTATTTCTACTTAATCTGTAGTTTTGCTTAACCTTTGCTTGTTTATTTCAGGAACAAGGGACTTTTATTGTCTGCTGGAGTAATCGATCAACTTGAGCAGATGATATCAAATCCACGCCTATCTGCTCCAGCCACGGCACTATACCTTAACCTTTCCTGCCTACCTGAGGCAAAGAACATCATTGGTTCGAGCCAGGCTGTGTCATTCCTAGTAGACCGTCTGTTCAGTCATGAGGCCCGCGACACAAAAGGCAGCTCTTGCAAGCATGATGCCCTATACACACTATACAATCTCTCCAACCACCAGGCCAGCGTACCGTCGCTTTTGTCTGCGGGCATTGTGGAAGCTCTTCACTCTCTCCTTTCGGAGTCCCTGGCGTCTGAGGGCCTGGGTTGGACAGAGAAGGCCCTTGCAGTGCTCATCAGCCTTGCGGCAACCCAAGCTGGCAGAAAAGATATCATGTCCACCCCAGGTCTGATCAGCACCTTGGCGATGCTGCTGGACACCGGCGAGCCAACAGAGCAGGAGCAGTCGGTGTCCTGCCTTTTGGTGATGTGCTCAGCCGATGACAAGTGCATCGCACCGGTGCTGCAGGAAGGAGTGGTGCCTTCCTTGGTTTCCATCTCGGCAACCGGCACAGGCAAGGGGAAGGAGAAGTCCCAGAAGCTGCTCAAGCTGTTCCGGGAGCAAAGGCAGCGAGATGGGGCACAGCCTGTGCCGCAGCAAGCTCAGCAGCAGCAGCAGCAGCAGCAGCAGCAGCAGCAGGCGGGAGAGACCGGTAACGGCACCATGGTGTGCCGCCGCGACTCAAAACAGCTGTGCAAGTCTAAATCGAGGAAGCTAGGAAGGACTCTGAGCTCACTGTGGAAGAACAGGAGCTTCTCCCTGTACCAATGCTAGCAGATTTTTGAGCTGAGTTTGATCAGTGGATATGTACATCTTTTCTTGTTCCATGTTTCTCTTGATCTTTCTTTTTTTTTTGCCTTCTTTGTTGTTTCCTTGTGTAAAGTAAAACTATCTTCCCCCCCTTCTCGGTGGGGTGATGTAGGCCATTTCCTCTTTGTTTTTCTTTGCCAAGATATGTGCATAGCTCATCTTTCACTCTACTTAACAAGTTCAGATCAGATCATCAGATTGTCTCCCCTGAATCCATATGTTCATAGCTCTCTTCACTTCATTTCACAAGTTCAGATCAGATCATCAGATTTTATGAATCACAACTAACATGTTAACGTGTCTATACTCTATACAGGTTCACTCATGCAGATACTTGTCTTCAGGAGGCCCAACTGCTCAAGAAATTCAACATCAGACAGCTCAAGAAGGTAGTACTACCAATCTTGGTACAGTAGTTAATTAAATTAAATATTGTTGAATGCTAGTACCTCATGGTATAGTTTTGTCCCAAGATGCAACAGTGATAAGATGCAGGGTTAGGCTATGGCTTGACAGGACATGGAAGCCAAGCCAGTGAAGACGATGACATGAGATCAAAAAGGAAGAAAATGCCACAGGAGGCAAGACAGTGATTCGAGGGCCGACATGAATGAAGAAAACTCGTGGACTGGCCTTCAAAGTTTGTTGGTGACATTTCAGCCTTGGGCCCAGGCTACTAGTGTTGTGCAAGAGAGACCTCTGTTGTGTTTGTCTCTTAGGGTCAAGACATGATCATGATGATGATGATGATGCCACCTTTATCTCAAAAAATAATGAGATCCCAAAATATAAACATTTTTAGCTATAAATCTAGACAACTGTGTGTCCAGATTCATAGCCAAAAATTGTTATATTTTGAGACGGAGGTAATATAAGCTAGCACTTTGAATCTAGATAGGCCTCTATAAAGAGCTTGTAGTATTAGAATATATCTAAACTCGTACTATATTACTATATTTCATACTATATTACTGTATTTTAGGACGGAGGAAGTATGTGTCGGCTTTGACATCAACACGAATTCTGGACCAAGTATTTTTCCAGTAGTGCGATGCATATACATCTATATGAACAGGTCTGAAATTATTTTTCTTAGGCTTTTTCTCTTCCCATGAATGGCAATTGGATGGTTCTCATCACCTCCACTTTTAATTATTCAAAACAACATACATTCTTCCATATATAAAAGGTTAAACAATAAATTACACTAACCTAAAATGAAATAAATTTACAATTACGCACATTTATAAAATTCCATGTAAAAAGAATTCAAACTCAGATGAAAATAAATTAAAACTATAAAATGAAATAAAGTTGCACATTGCATAACACTACAATTTTAAGCTCAGCAATGTGTAATTTTAGGTGACTGAAAAATTACAAATTTTCATATGCCCTTAAATCTAGCAAATCTCTTGTTATTAACACAGACATATGAGGGTGAATTTTCTTGGCCATTGGATCCAAGCTTTAACAACACATGATATAGGTGTGCGCTATTGAGAGGTTGATGGCAATGATGATAGAGATGAACCATGGATATGTGATTGTTGGAGGATAGCCCCACCCATCACTTTTGACGATCGAAAAATGACAAGGTCTTCGATAATTGGACACTATTTGACAATGGAATGGATGGATTAGAACGAGTTCTCCAAAAAGAAAAAAAATGGCTCGTGGAGAACTTGACAGGTAAAAACGTCTTGGCAATCTAAGAAGGATGTTGTCAAAAGATTAAAAAAAACAACGATAATTCTGATAACCTTATACACAAAAAATAGACGACAAGATTAAAAAGGATGGAGTATTGAAAAGCAAATAGACCACTCGAGTATCAAGCAATCCATAGAAGACCATGGAATGGCATGGTCCCCTCCTTGTCTAGACTCATGGAACGGAAGAATTAGTGGGGACTATAAGGATAAATTTAGTCCACGTGTCTACGTAAGAAAATAAATAAGTAACATACTTTAATATCATGTACATACGACGAAAAAACAAGAGAAATTATATGATGACGACTATATAAACCATTATTTATACGTGTCAAGAGAAAATTAACGGTTACATATACATAACCTTTTTTTGAAATGCACGAATTCCGTATCCAGAATACAATTTTGATATGAACTACGAAAAAATTCCATGTTGCAAATCTGAACCATAGGTATGTCAATTGCATTTGTTTATACTTTAACTAGGGAAACACATGTCACATACTCATGTGCAGGTAAATAGCCGTTTCATTCCAAGGACATGGCATCACGGCAAACTGGAAATGTTATTTAGCACAATTGTGTTATCAGCGCACACTATTTCAGGATTTTTTTTTGATGAACGTTTTTTTTTTAAAAAAAAGGTGTGTGCATGGGAACACAATTTCGCTGAACAACAACCCACATGGCAAACTATAATTTTATTTTATTTTCAGAAAACCTAGATAACGGTACAAGACAGTACCTGATACCTGTTGTGGTACCAGCTGCATGATACCTGATACCTGTTACCCAGTACCTGTAATACGTAGTACCTGATACCTGTTATACTCGTGCAAGAGAATAGTTAATATGTCTATCCTGTTGCAACGGGATTCCGTTTTGTAGCAGCCCTCTTATTTTTATTAAAATATAAAAAATATTTTTTTCAAAGTATTATAGATCTCTACTACACCTCTAACGCTTTCCCGAAATTTTTACATCTAAGCACATGCAACCTTCTAATTCCAAATATGAGTAGGTAATGGATGTAGTTCTATTTTTAATCAAGAAGCCCACATGTGTGTGTGCAGTGGTCTTCCATCGGACTTAATGTCAAACGAAATATAACAAACTAATGGCTGCTGATCATTGGACAAATCACTAGCTCGTAGCAACTTGTTTAGGTCTAATTGATTGTTTGTCGTCAGAAAAGAAAATCTTATTACCATTTGCAATTGGTTGGATCAACCATTACGAGATAGGGCACCGTACCGTCATGCCGTTAGTCTCGAGCTTTCTTCGTCATTTTTTTTCTTAATCCATATTTGACTTGGATGTTGTTTTCGTTTTGAAAATTGGAACTGTAGCGGTCGGTTGAAATATAATCCATCTGCTTGGATCATCAAAATCATAATATTATGTGTGCTAATAAATCTTGATTTGTTTCACATAGAAGCTGCATCAACAAAGTTAATTGTAATACTAGCGAAACATGTTAATGGATCATTTGCTTTGTGCCTGCTAGCTAGTTTGATTAGAAACAGAATTCAGGACAATATATGCTCACATTTGGAATTATGAGGTCGCATGTGCTTAGATTAAAAAAAATCGGAACGCTTTCTGGAGGGCTTTCTTTTTTCTTTTCCTTTTTAACAAAAAAAAATCAGCCATGCGCCGCTGACACGGAGGGCCCAGGAGCAAGATTCAAAAGTGGACGTCCCACGGCCCACGGCCCACGGCTCTCCCTCCCTCACTCCCGCCATTTATTTGTGGCGGGAAATCGAGCATCCGAGACGGCAACGCCTCCACCCACTCAGCGGCAGCGCCACTGTGGCAGGCAAGAGAGAACTAGAAAAGAAAAAGAAAAGAAAAGAGGAAGAAAAAAAAAAAGAGGCGGCAATCCGAACAGGGACAGAAGCGGAGTGCGTGGGGAATCCAATTCCATCCCAATCCTCTCTCTCCCCACCCCCCCTCCACGCCCAATTTGTTCTTCCCTCCCCCCCATCTCCTCCTCTCGTGCGCCCACGAGCCTGGTCCCCTCTCTGCCTCATTCCAATCCCCCTTCGTCTCCGGCGACGACAGGAGGAGGAGGAGGAAAGAGGAGGATCGCGGCGCGGCGGATGTCGGATCGGGAGCTCCGCCCGCTGCGATCGATCCGTACGTGACGCCGATCGCGAAATGATGCGATGCCCGGCTCCTGTTTTGATTGATCCCCTTGGATCCTTGATTGCCTTGATCTTTCCTCTTACCTCTTTCTTGTTCTTCTCCTGTTGGGTTCTTTATTTTCTTGGTTAGTGATTGGATGCTGCAGAGGAAGCAAATGAGTTAGTTGCTATTAGTGCAAGGTTGCTATTAGGGAGTTGTTACCCATTTGTGAAAAGGTGGGCTTTCTTTTTGGTTGTGATTAGTGGTAAGAGAGATCACTGATTTTAGTATTCGGGGATAAAAAAAGTAGATATGGGAGAAAGGAGAGATCAGTGTTGATTTGCAGTCTAAAGGCTGTAATCTGAAGCGATAAACTAATCGGGTAGCAAGATGCCTTTCCTGTCGCTCCTAGATGTGCTTTTCTTGTGCGATTCTTTCCCTGTTGCGTGTGTATACTATATGCTAGTTTAAGGTCAAGGTCGCAGCTTAAAATAATTTGGTGTCCGCTTTGACAAAATTAGATGAGAGATCAGTCTCTTCCCTTTTGAAAGAAGAAAAGAAAATAGTGACTTTCTTCTTTACATATGTCCTGTTGTGCATCGGAATAATTTTTTCACTGCACTCTCTAACAGTCTAACTTATCAGTTCTGATTGTGTTCTTATTTTTGCTTCAGTTGATGCTCTAGATTGCTGAACATAGGATGTAGCTAGAATGATGTCGTCTTCACATTTCAGGAATTACAGGCGATGGGAGATGCCTCTTTAGGTCTGTTGCGTACGGTGCCTGCTTAAGGAGAGGAAAGCAGTCGCCAAGCGATAGCATCCAGAAGGAGCTTGCCGATGAGCTTCGATCGAAAGTGATTGTTCAATGTTCATCACTTGATGGCTATGCAATTCAGTGAACTTGTGTGATCCACTGAAGAACTTTTTTTTGTCTGTTCCAGGTAGCAGATGAGTTTGTCAGGAGAAGAGGGGACACTGAATGGTTTCTTTTCCTTCCTGTTGTCTATTTGATGCATCTTTTACCTTTGATGATACTTTTGCAGAAGCAGAAGGAGTATAACTAAAAATATGCTTAAAATGACAAACTAATCACTTTTGCTGGTTTATCCATATGTGAAATTCTCATGCAACGACTGGCTTTAGCTATTACTCCTACATGTTTGCCTTCTGGATTTCATTGTTAACTCATAGTCTAATGATGTTTCAACCATAAATTTTAAAAAAGCCTCAGTCAGATAATGTATTTTTTTTTCTGGTTAATCTTCATTATGATGGATAGGTTTCTTGAAGGAGATTTCGAGAGCTATGTGAGACAGATAAGAAAGCCTCATGTTTGGGGAGGAGAACCTGAACTGCTCATGTGCTCCCATGTTCTTAGGTAGGTACCTTTCTTGTGTTATCCATATCTTCCTCTGCATAATTGCAATTGTTATTGAGTGATGCCATATTGCAGGATGCCTATCACTGTTTACATGTATACCAAGGGCTCTGATAGCCCCAGGATCATCGCCGAATACGGTCAGGAGTATGGCAAGGACAATCCAATCTGCGTGCTCTACGATGGTTACGGACACTACGATGCGCTGCAGCCATCTCTTGTAAGAACACAATCAAGGCTGTGAGTATAGCACTGTACAAAATCTGACAATGGCCTACTCATGCTATTAAGTTCTTTTGCTTCAGTCTTCTTTTTGAGGAACCATCCCCCTGTAAAATTTGCAGGAGAGGAATACAGATAACCGAAGATTACGCTACCTAAGATTGTTCTCAAGGACAGTATCAAGATCCTCTGCTACATGATTTCACAAACTGTATAGTGGTATTGTGACACATATGAAATGCTAGCCTGGCTTTACTGTTCCATATTTCATATTTCAAGGCTGATGATAAATAAACTTCAGATGTGCAACTCTTCTTCCAACCAGAAATTGAATACATACCTGACATTATGTATAGAAAAAAATATGCATACTTAGAATCCTGGTTCTGCAAAAACATTTGTATTTTTAGATCATGGAAATGACACAACAACTAATAAGTTTGTTGGAAAAACGAAAAGGAGACATACAAGGTGATTTACAGCAAAAACAACAGTAATGAGTCGGTAATTCACAAAAATGGTGCCAAAGAGGAGGATACTTTTAATAAGAGCAATGATAATAAGAAGCAATCCCATTGGCGTTGAAATGGATGATTTTACATACAAGCCACTGCCTTACATCAATTAAAATACAACAATTAATCTACTTTGTCACCGCCTACTCTTCAAGTCATTGACGCTGTCCATAACACAACCGATAAAGGGGAGGGCGAGGCATGGAGGCCACTTGACATGTGAAGTGCTTTTACACCCTAATCTTCTGAAGCAAAACTTTGGGTTCACCAATCACATCATTACAACATTAGCTCGGAGATCTGGTTCTCCAGCCTCAGCAATCGTGCTTGCCTGAGCAAGTGCAGTTTGCTTGGTCATGTTTTAGCTTCTGCATAAATCAATTTCAATATATGAGAGACTTATTTCAGATGTAATTCTGTAACAGTTCCATTTTAATTCCCTGAATATATCTGTAACTTAGTTACTAATAACTCTACCTATACATGCAAATGAAACCTGTTGGGAGTTTTTTTTTTTCTCTGAAGAGATTTCTGAAGTGGAGCTAGCATACCTCAACTTGGCCCTGAAGCTCCTTGATGTAGGTTACAGCAATATCCAACATGTCTGATGTATTCGTTTGCTGTATATTTGAGAAGAATCCAGTAAATATCACATCAAACATTTTGAACTAATTTCGATTTATAACCGAGGGACAAGCACAGCTCCAATCAGGTTCAGAATTGTCAGGTTCAATTGGTAGAAATGACCCAAACAGTTCATTGAGTTACCTTGTCCATGTTCGGCACGAGATCCTGCAGCTTCTTCAGCCTCTTGCTAATCCTCGTTCTCCTCTCCTAAAACAGCACAGAGAAAACATGAGATCTCCATACCAGCATCCAACATCGATCGTATCATAATCATATCATATGCAAAGATGGGTGAAGGGAAAATTGCCAAATTATGACTAACCCTCTCAGCGATGCTCCGCGGGTGCGTCGCGCAGCCGCGCTTTGCCCGGGCCCTGCAGGCGACGGAGTCTGGCTGGAGCTGCAAGAAGTCATCCATGCCGGCCATCTCCAGCGACGACTGCTTCGACAAGCCAAACTGGATAATCCCAAGAAATGCAGTTTCAGCACAAGGGCAAAAACACAAATCTGAATTGTACCCATGGCAGTGTGGAGTATTACCTGGGAGTCGATGTTGCTGAAGCTGGAGACCATGTCGTCGCCGTGGTCGCCGGCGGCGGCGGCGGCGACGCGGGCCTTCTTGCTGCTGCTCGGGGGCGAGAACATGATGGAGTTGGTGTCGTCCCAGGAGCTCATGGAGAAGTTCCTGGAGGAGAGGAAGGAGGAGGACTGCGCGCCGTGGCCGGCGCCATCGCTGGAGCTGTTGCCGCCGCCGCCGGTGACGATGCTCTCCCCGATGTCGGGGATGAGGCCGCCCATCTCCGATATCTGCGGCAGGTCCTGCCGCGAGAAGCTCCACTGCGAGCTCAGCCTCCTGTGCGCCATCGCGCCGGCGTCGCCGCCGCCGCCGGAGTAGCCGCCCATCCCTCTCGTCGCGGCCATGCCATTGCCTGCAATTCATCACAGGCAGCACGTCAGTTTTTGCAACAGATTCTTCTGTCAGTGAGTGGTCATAACTAATAACTCATAACAATCACGTCAGTTTTTGTAAGTTTTGGCCAATCTTTAAAACAAACTACTGTATAAACGATAAATCTCTTATATTACCAAAAAAAAAAATCTTTCAAGGTGATACAGTACTACAGTAGTATGGTACTCCCTCCATCCCAAAATATAAGGTTATGTCTTATATTTTGGGATAGAGGTAGTACCTCGAAGATTAGTTACTCCCTCCGTTCCAGAATAAGTTCATTTGTTTCCTCTATTTCATCCCAAAATAAGTTAACTTTATTTTTTAATAATTGTTGCATCGGAATTTATAAAAGTAGTGGATAAATACATTTGGAGTAGATAAAAAGACAAATAATTGCATTAAATTTGATAAGTGAAGGTATTCTAATTTTTTTTATTAATAAGTATAAGTAGGTGAAAAATAAATTTGTTTTGGGACCAAGGGTGCCGAACTATAACGTTGCTGATTTTTTTTTTTGTGATTTTTCTCCTATTTTCGCGTTGTCTCTCCTCCGCGCGGTTTAATTTTTGTCGTGTTCTTTTCGATTTTTTTTTCAATCTGCAGCACACGTGTTTTCAAATATTTGACTTGAAGGTTTTAAAATTTAAGTTGAAAGTTTTCCAATTTAAGTTGAAAGTTTCAAATTTGAGTTGAAAGTTTTCAAATCTGAGTTTAGAGTTTCAAATTTTTATTTGAAAATTTTAAATTTTAGGTATGTTATTAATTTTTAATAGAAAATTTTAAATTTTATTTGAAAGTTTCTTTCATTATGTTAGTAAAAATTCTAAAAAAATAAAAATCTTATCTTAATTATCATCATTATCTGAAACTAAACAGAGTTAGTTAAGTTAACTTTTGTGACTGATTTTGGCAAGAACCTTTTGTTGCAACTTTTGGTTCTAACCATTGATACAAAACTAGAAATGAACAATTTTCTTTTCAGAAAGCAAGGACACCAAACAGTACTGCAAGAAACGACACAGATGGTGAAGAAACTATTTTTGGCCCCATCAAACAGCAAATGTCTGTGTAAATCGGCTAAAGAGTAAAGACAATCAGTATGGGGCATCCATTATCTAAAAGCCTACCCCATGAAGGCATAAACAAAAGCTAAGCTAAAGCCAAGGCTTAATCTAAGCTAGATCTAGCATAGCACCTGGCCATTACTCAAGCTGGATATTTGTCATCGCCTTTACATCTTATCCGTGAATGCATCTGATCCGATATATCAGCCCATGATGAAAAGTTGCAAGTTGCAACAGTAATGAATTTACCATGATCGATGCAGTAGCAATTATTAATGCCGTCCCTGGTAATATTTTTTTTAACCTTTGCTTTACAGAAAAAAAAAACTCCTTTATACTCCTTTGTTTATATTCAAACTATTTTATCATGCTGAAAAAAGGCAGTGATGCAGTATTGCTCGAATATACTATTGGCCCCAGCATGACTCATACGACAAGATATGTCTGCCGTTGCTGTCACTCACCTTATGCATGGTGACATTAATCAACAAAAATGGATTGACTTTTCAAACTCAACGAGAACCTGATATTACTATAACGTTTTATCCCTTCTGAATTAACCATGACCATAGAAAAACAAACAATATATTTTTGTTGGTGACATTTGCATTATGCATGATTGGAGCATAGCTGACAGAGCCAGCAGGTTAAACTAACCGATACACTTATCTTAAATCATACTCCTACCTGCACCAACAAGAATCACTTATCTTAACCTTCCGAATAAATATAAGAAAACGGCATTTTTGGGGGACTTATCTTGCACCTTCGAAAATAAATCAAAAATTAAATCCATGGGGCCCGTTTTGATCGACAACAAAATTATTTTTCTGGTGCGATAGAGAGAGGTTTAGTAGCAGGTGCAGTGAACCGAGTGGTACGTGCTTCATTGTTAGGAAATGAATTCTGCGGACACTGACATGTGTCCAGGTTCGCTGCAAGCAGATGGCCGCCAGCAAGTGCGCCAATAAACGGTCGCAGTCATGTCGGCAACATACAATGCACCAGCCTAATCATATCAACTTGATAATACTGTACATTGTACTAAGTATGTTGCAGCACATAATGTATAGGACAGTGTCACGCTGCTTAGTACTATTCCTTCAGCTGTAATTACTGGAGACTACCTATATTTAGCCCTAAGTTACATTAGTAACGGACATTTTTTACTATAAATCTGTGTCGTTGTTGTGTTTTGGATCAACATCCTAAATATAAACAATATGACTTTTTATAGTCAAAATATTTAAAAATTATTAGTGATTGAAGCTATAATAATACTAATTAACAGTTACATGTATTTGGAAAAACGGAGGAAGTCATACTAAACTTGCTAGGCAGTACTCAAGCTCTACAATTGGAAATATAACGGTCGAACTAATAACTATAAACCTGATGCACTTATATAGGAGTAGTACACTAGATACAGTGTGCGAGGATGGGATTCTTTTCCATTTCTTTTGTTCTACTTCTTGCCAGAGATGCATTATTGCACTGTCACGAGCACCATTATTGAAGTTAATTAAGCTTACTTGTGTACAGTAATAACAGCACATATGCCCCTGGAGTATGTGCCAGTGGGGGACTCGCATGAATATAATAGTGGGTCAATTATGATAGTAGAATATGATACTAATATGGATGAGATGAGGTTCTCGGATAACTAATCAGGATACATAATTTATTTTCTCTCTCTCACTCTCTGTTTCCTTCTTTGATTAAAATAATTTAGTCCTAGCAACCCTTCATGACATTTGCCAGCCACCCAAAGGCAAGCTATCACGTATCAGAGACGCGAGTGATCGATCGGACGGCGGAGCGCGAGTCGCCGCGGGGAGCGGGGAACCAATCGGACGGCGACAAGTGCACGCAAAAAGCTAGTAGCGAATATGGTGGCACACGCAAAGGCAAAGCTAAACCCGTTGCCGTCGCCGTCGCCGTCGCCGGCGACGGCGAGATCGACGGATTCGTCGCCGGGGAGGGAGGGGAACGTACCGTGCGGGTCAGCCATGAGGCGGGAGAGGAGGCCGGCGGGGGAGCTGCTGTGGCGGAAGAGCGGGACGGCGGCGGAGGAGGCGTCGACGTGGATCTCGCCGGAGCCGCCGTACGCGCGCTCGAGCGGGTGCCGCCCGACATCGGCCGCCGCCGCTGTGGACGTCGTCGTCGTCGTCCGGCAGCTGGACTCGCAGGAGGTGAGCCCCGACGACTCCGCGGAGAAGTACCTCCCCACCATCTGCTGCTGCTGCGGCGGCGGCGGCGGCGGAAGCTGATGCTGATGCTGATGATGATGCAGCTGATCGACAACCCCAACCCCGCGGCCCCGGATCACCGAGTCGGCGATCGACGCCAGCAGCGACCCCGGCGCCGAGCCGTACCTCGCCAGCCCCCCCGCCGCCGGCATCGGCGGCGGCGGCATCCCCCCGTGCGGCGCCGTCATCCTGTTCATCTCCGGCGGCGCGGCGGCGGCGGTGGTGGTGGTGGGTGGAGGCGGAGGCGGAGGCGGAGGCGGAGGTGGACTTGGTTTTGCAGGTTGCGGCTTCGGCTTCGGCTTCTGCTTTGCCTCCGCTGCTTTTTAGCGGGTTCGGGTCGGCCTGGGAAGGGAAGGGTGACGTGGACGGGGCGACTCCCACGATGCGTGTGCACATGTGTGGGTGTGGCCATGTGCCTTCACAACCCACGTCGGATCTTGACAGCTCGGATGGTTAGCACACGTCGGGATACGGATACCCCCGGGGGTGACTTGGTCAGCCACGTCGGCTCAGGTGGTGGGTCGGCCTGTTTGACCTGCCATCATGTCTTAACTAGTGTAGAGTAACTGAAACGACTTACTACTACTAACTTTCTTTTCAATCTTTTCTTCTCTTAACTTAGGTTGTGTTCTTCTAAGTTCTCAAAACTCATATTCCTTCTTTTTTAACGCGCACGCTTTCATACATAATGTGTTATTTGCAAAAGTTTTTATAAGAAAGTTGTTTAAAAAATATATAGTGATGCATTTTTCATGCGTTTCCGCGTGAAGAGGAGAGGTTCCCTGCACCTCCAAAAGAACATAGCTTTGGACCTGTTTTGGAAGTTTAATATTCTAAGAAGCTACTGGTTAGTAGCCAAGTTATAAAAAATGAAAAAGCTGGGTTTTCCAGTCTATGACTTTTAGTTCATTTTCTAGATTATACAACTACATCATCATAGAATCTTAAAAAAAATGAACTGTTTAGGGGGAGCTTTAGGGGGAGCTTTGATTCTGAAAGAAATTGCAGCAGCTAGAAACCCCTTAAATAGGTGCAAAGTGACTAAACAGAGCTATTTTAACGTATCCCGATGTCTTGAAATTATTAAACGTTATTGTTTGTAGCTTTTCAGAATTATTAGCACGATATACGGAGTAGATAGCTGCGCCCACCGAATCCTATCTTGTTTTTCCCCCCCTTTTGCAGACGGCAATGAAATCCTATCCAATTATTATTATTATTATTCAGTGAAAGGCTGAAAGCTCCACACACATATACGCAACAATAGATGCATATTCTAATTTCGCAGTCGTTGTGTTGGCACTCTCTGAATCACACGAATTAATTTTGTTGGAAGAGAATAAAAAAAATCCACGTCACGTGAAAATGCAAGTTGGGCTGGGCTTTTTTTCCCGCGCCGACCTGAAAAGGTAGTTAATTGTCCACGCGACCCACACATATAATTTGTGCGCGTGCGGAATCCGTCTTGTAGTTTCAAGTTGTAACGAAGTGATCAACTGAATTTCTTTCTTGGCGAACGTACGCACGCACGCGTCCGTTTCGTGGCAATCTCCGGCCTTCTTTTGACTCCTCGTGTGGATGGATCGATCGGCCGACCATCTGGCTACTACTACTAGGGTGTAGGAAGGATATTTTGCAGCTAATTGATGGCAAAAAAAAAAAAAACTAAAGTCAACCATAGTTTTGTTTCTATGTAAACTCTCCTTTTGGATGGAGAAAGCATCAGAATTTAGATACATCTAAGGTCGAGTTTAGTTCTAAAATTTTTTCTTCAAACTTCTAACTTTTCCATCATATCAAAATTTTCCTACACACAAACTTTCAACTTTTCCGTCATATCGTTTCAATTTCAACCAAACTTTCAATTTTGACGTGAACTAAACACACCCTAAATCCAATGTTCGTTTCTTCGGTTAGACATATGCATTCTGCAGGAATGAGATGCAAATCTGATTAAGATACATGTTTAGCTTGGTTTCCGTTAGCACGTTTTTCAAATTGCTAAACAGTGTATTTCGTACGAAAACTTTCTATATAGAAATTGCTTTAAAATATCAAATAAACCTATTTTTCGAATTTGAAATAACTAAAACTCAAATATTTTTTTTGAAAAGAATCAGCACAAGATTGTGCTATTTCATTGAATATAGAAGGAATAAAATACAACCCCTAGGGGTGAAGGAAAAAAAGACTGTTCAACATTTTCAAGATCTACAGGCGGCCGGTTAGGAAGAAATTCTCTGAGCATCTTTGCACCTGCCATGGTTCAGGTTCTTGCCTCATCTTTTATTTTAGCCATAAGGCTAGGGGCTGTGGTCTCCTTTTGTTCAAAGACATGTTGGTTTCTTTTCTTCCAAATTTCCCAGACAATTAGTAGGGTAAGGGTTCGCAGGCCTTTCTTGGGGACACCCTTGATATTGGATAGCATTTCCCACCAGTCTTGGACGCTCTGACACAGATCCCATTGGCTTGGATCCAGTTGTGATATGCCACCCAGGTGGCCGTCATACTCCAGATCCTTCTAGTGTATCTACAGTGGACAAGGAGGTGGCTTGCTGACTCGTTTGTTGTGCGGTATAGAGGGCATGCCCCGTTGTTTGGCCATCCTCTAGCCACCAGCCGATCCGAGGTCCAAACTCTATTCTGGATCACAAGCCATGCGTAGAATTTGCATTTTGGGGAGCCCAAGATTTCTATATTAAGGTGTTGAAGTTGGTGCCCGTGGTTCCATACATTGCGCTTTATAAGCCGAAGCGATCGAGTATTCTCCATGGTTTGACAGCTTCCTGGTGATTTGGTCATGTTCGTTTTTATCAAGGATGATGCCCTGTGTTGCGTTCCACAGGGAGACAAGTTGGTTGATTAAATTCACCGTGAAGTGGTTGTTGCCGTTTAGGTTAAGATTGTCAATCCAAGCTCATTTTCGATGCCATCCCGTAGTGTTTCCCTCTTTTTCTTTTGATATCGCATAGACTAGCAAATGATTTTTTTTAGGTGCCCATATTTAGAGCCTCATTGGTTGGCCTAATAATTCAAAATCAAAACCATAATTTAAAATTTCAAACTTAATTTTGAAGAAGGTTTTAAGATATTTTCAACGTAATCTCTTTTTAGTATTGGTTTTTTAAGTAAAAAAAATACATATATAAAAGTTTTACCTATAAATTAATTTATATTTCATAATAAGCTGTTTTGATTTATTAGAGAATATGCGCAACCGATAAGACCGGACCTTATTCTTCACCCTCATCCCATCTGAACGAGGCTGTCACGCAAATCTTTAGGTAAACATCTACTCTATCTACGCATTTAGCAACCTTGGAACGGAGGAAATAATACAGTAGTATGTCTCCTCTGAATTCAGCATCTGGAGTTCTGAATCTTCTGATCCAAATTAAAGCGAAAAAGCCTGCAGAATTCAGATGGTTGCGTTGGGTTGGTTGGTTGGTTGGTTCGTGGTGGCTGCCAATCTGCAATGCCACCCAACCCAAGGACACACGCACGCCATGGCCGTCGTCGTGCGCACGCACGAGAGGTTGCCGTCGTCTTCTCCGTCCTCCCCATGTGAGCGGCTACTATTTTACAGGCACACACACACTACATAATTACTAGACTAGACTAAACACGCCCCGCCCAATCTAGTACCGGATCGCTGCTGCCAGCTGCTTGGCTAGCTATGGCTGCAACACGACGACGGCCATGGCGGCTAGCTACGGCATCGATCTGCACAAACAGCAGTACACTGTTGGCTATGGTTGGCATTGGCCGGACGTAAGCATTCATGATCATATGCATAATTGCAAGCTGATTGGGGAGCAAACTGCATCGATCGATCATCGATAAACCGGCCGGATATCTGGACACCTAGCCAGACAGCCTATTTCGCCCCCGGGTGCGATGCGATGGCTAAGATTCTCTCGCTGTGGCTGATGGATCACTGTCAGATTAAGGCCCTGTTTAATTTTCGAGGGTGAAAAGTTTTAGCGTGTCACATCGGGTATATGGACACACTTTTTTGAAGTATTAAACGTAATCTAATAACAAAACAAATTATACAGATTCTGCCTGTAAATTGCGAGATGAATTTATTAAACCTAACTAATCCGTTATTAGCAAATGTTTACTGTAGCACCACATTGTCAAATGATGACGCAATTAGCTAGGCTTAAAAGATTCATCTCGTAATTTACACGCAATCTGTGTAATTAGTTTTTTTTATCTATATTTAATACTCCATACATGTGTCCAAACATTCGATCTGATATGATGAAAAATTTTTGCGTGGAAAATAAACCGGGCCTACTTTGGAGTACGTGTGATTCTCAACTCTCGAATAGGCATTGCTAGCTTAATTAGCTGCAGCTATGCCTGCATCAGCTCACATCACTGATGACTTCATGTGCTGCTTCTGAATATTTTTCTTGATTTCTTCAGAGAACCGAGGGGGGTCGTCGTCCTACTGCCAAAAACAGAGATTTATTTTCAATAGATCGTACTGTCAAACCTTAATTAATTACTACTCTTACTTGTCTTCTCAAGATAGTTTGGCGGACGGATTAAGTGACTGGCATGCAGATTAGCTGTTGCGTGTTGATAGTACAGTACATGCATGTCAAGAATGCCTGAACCTGGAACCGGTTTTTGCGTTAACCGGCCTTGACTTTCGATAATTTTATACTCCCTCCGTTCCATAATATAAGAGATTTTAAGTTTTTGCTTGCATTGTTTGACCACTCGTATTATTCAAAAAATTTATGCAAATATAAAAAATAAAAAGTTGTGCTTAATGTACTTTGGATAATAAAGTAAGTCTAAAAAAATAAATAATAATTCTATTTTTTTAATAAGACGAGTGGTCAAACGGTGTAAACAAAAACTTAAAATTTCTCCTTCTTCTTCTTGCCCCTAAACCCAGCCGAACCAATGCCTAACCCTAACGAAAAGCTTTTCGATATCCGGTGATGCTTGCAGTACTAGCAACAGATTATATTATATTAAGCTGTGTGCGTTTGATTACTCATCAACAATTGATATATATAATTAATTATTCCCAATTGGGCATGCATGCATGTGGATGCTGCTGAAACCAAAGCCCATCACACACGAACCCTAAAGTAACATCAAGCTTTAGCTATTAGCTAGCTAAGCTAGCTGCCTGATCGCCAGATCTGCTGCAAAAAGTACACTGGGCAAGTACAACTCTCGCTGAATCCAACGAGATGACGAGATTTTTTGGGCGCCAAGTTGCAGGCTCTCTCTCCTGATCAGGCTGCAATTAGCTAGCATGATCTGCATCTGCATCCTCC